TCCAAGTAGGTCACTTTTTATATTCGCCCGTTTAGATCTTGGTTAAATTTAGAAATGCTCTTTGTGAACGAGAGATCATTCTCGATATCTAAATATTCGAAATTTCTTTTGCTCAAACAATTTCTTGACATACGTGTTAACATTTGTGTATGTTTGCAAGTATGATCGACAAGCTAATATGTCACCAAGACAACACTGAATGGATGTCGTTGCCAATTGATTAAGAAATTGAACTTTGACAAGTTTCTCGGTCGGTCTTTGAACTCGACAGATGTACAATTCACCGATTGTTCATAAAATCGATTTTCCCGATTATTCGCAACTGTCACGCATCTCGTGTAAAATAAGATCTTGGATTTATCTGCGAAAGAAGGTCAATGACGATGAGGTCAATGAGATATCGTGATTCCGCAATCTATGAACGGCTAGAAACGACTATCGTCGAAAAACTATCGTTGAAATATATCGCTCTGCGAAAATTTAATACGATACGATACTTATATGTGAAATTAAGAGAACAAAATATGTTCAGGTCGTCGCATCAAAATGAAAAATTAGCTGTTGTTAAACATGCCGAAATAGATTCTCATGTTGATATGACAATTAATTCATTGTTGCACCGTAATGATACACGTCTGCCTGATAATATAACAATTAACGACGTATTGTTTATGGAAACAAGTGATTTCTTCTGAGCAACGTGTACGAACGTCAACAACATGAATTCACAGTGATTAATAATCGCATTGACGTAATAAATGTTTTAACAATTGACGGATAGCGGCGCTGCATCTCCTCTACTGACGTTCGTCACTTACATTCGGAAAGCCGATAACCCGCTCTGGTCTCGTAATTATCAATATGAAATGTAACTTTAATCTTCGAGCAGAGGAAATAAAATATGTGATGAGATATATTAATAAACTAGTGACAACTTTCAACAGTTGCAACAAATTAGTACGATATAATGAAAACCTAGTTTAAAAAAAAAGTCTTTATCGAACGTTGAGTACTTGCAAAGTTGTTAATTAATTCGGGAAACTTTTTTCACCAGCAACCGTGTAACCATGTTTTTAATTAGCAACCATATCATGATCGGGCAGATAGATACTTTATGATGCTTGATTTATTTTTAGAAAGTACAGATAACATCGTTCACTTCACACGCGTAATCTTTCAAACTGCTTAACAAACTATCAAATTCAACTTCTATTTCACGTTTAACTGAATGGCGAACGTGTACTTTGATCTAAAAGAAAAAGAACTGTCTTTAAATACAATCTTTTACATACAATAAGAAATTCGTCCTTGTTCCGATTGCCTGTGACGAACGTAAAAATCATGTGGCAAGTTCCATTCTACGAGAATACGAGACAAGAGAGAGAAGGACAGAGGAAGAGAGAGAGGCGACTACTTATCGTGCTCAAGGCCAAAAACATCGTAAGCAACGATAAGCGTAGATAGAGAAAGCCCGACATTTTATCCCACAAGGCGACAAATCAAAAATAAGAAAGAGTGGGGACCGGTTGGTTGCACATTGGCAATTATCAATGGGCCGACGGAATATTTCGAGAAGAAGAGTGTCTCGCGGGGAGTGTGACAGGACGCGAGATTTCGTCAACCTCCGGAATTTCGTAAAACGATCGCGTTTTTATCGTCAGTTATTTTTCCTCTTTCACGCGTCATCGTTATGCGAGAAATTTCCTCGCGTGCATATTATTTCTCGCACTTATTTCAACGGGCCGGTTTCTGCGGAATTTTCTAAACACCGACAAATGCCACCGCTCGTGCACGCACATGCATAAGTAACAGCTGATCCTCTTCGTAGTTGAAACAGGAGAGAAGCATTACCTCTCCTCTCTTTTTTGCACGCTAAAAATAACTAACGTTGAATTTTGAGCGAAGTCATAGTGTAGATTGTTCTTTTCTTACCTTGTTCGTCATAGAAAGTTAAGTACCATCGCCGCGACTACCTGCGTTATCAAAATTTGCACAAGTGAACGTGATATTTGGAAGTAAATTTCACATTCATCATTAATAGCGGTTTGGAACAATTTGACGGGAAGTTGTTTAATCGAAGGCACCTAATGAAACAATTATCGTATATGCAGAGGAGAATGTCATTCTATTGTTAACATAAGAGCGATTGCTCAGTTTACTGTCTCCTTCTTCTAAGTAATGATTATCTTTGAAGAAAAATCCTCTCTTGATAATAGTCTTAAAATACACTTATCACAAATTTTAAAAGAGTTCATTATCATATACGGAAGAATATATCTCTCTTTTCAAGAGTATTATAAAACTTATGTAACAATAGTAAATGAATATCGCACACACATATAAGAGAATATCATAGAAAACAAATTGAATCTTTGATTTAATATTCTTGTTTCAATTTAGTAACCTTGATTGTGAATTATTGAGTGCATTAGAATGTGCTCCGAATATTCCGAGCAAATTCGATGCTTTTTGATGAACTTCTGACATATTTGCGGATATATAAACTTATGATGTACTCGAAGCAAGTAACATTTGCCAGAATGCAACATAATTAATATCTTGCTGCGTGTATGCACGCAGGTATCGTGTTGGAATTTGAAAAAATCACATCTCTGCAAAACACAGTTTTGCAAAACAACGTTCACAGACAACAGTCTCGACTCAAGAACGCACGAAAGCACGTTTTGCATTCGTGAGCCTTGAAATTGATAATTATCTGCTGCATTTCTATTAGGTCAATCGTGAGCTAACGACGCCGCACGGACGTTCCTGTTGAAAATTCACTTTGAACTGGTCACGTACGGTGTTTATTAAATCGATTTCTTCGTATAGTCGGATCGCGCTGCAGAAGATTTTGGAATTTTTTTAAACTTGTTGATTGACTCTCTGGCCGTTTACGCAATATCGATGCGCGACACAATATCGATTCACGTAACGCGTATATACGTTTGCCAGGCGCATACAGACATACCGAGATTGTTTTCGAGCATATGTTAATCGTGCATAACGTCGCGTAAATATCGACGGGAATCGTCAGTGAACTGATTAAACGAGTCACGATCACGTGAACGCAAAGTGCATACCTGGTCGGTCGAGCTCGTTCAGATATCAATCGATCGTAAATTAATTTGTAGATACGCTCGATTGACAAGACACTCAGTCCGAGTAAACTTATCCTCAATCAATCAATTACACTATATATTTTATCATAGTTTTCAGTTTTACAACTATAAAATTAATTGTTCGTACAGTTCGTTTCAAAAGATATACAAAAGTAGTATTTTTAAATCGCAATTTTTGCCGCGTTTTTTTCATTTCCTCTTTATAATCTGAAAATGTCCTCGCACGTTCTTATTCCAAACATGATTTTCATATAAAAAAAAAAAATTGAAATTTCGAGCCTTACAGCCGCGTATTTACATGTTCACACGTGGTACAAAATAAATTCGAGTGCATCGGTCGGCTTTTCGGAAGCCATTGACCACATTTCCGTTCCTAACGCGGTTCTCACACCGATTAACTGCTTGCCCAATCGCTCTTTTGAATGCCATCCTTCTCTCTTCCCCCGCTACTCGCGTTAACATTTTTTACACGTCAATAAACGAGCATCGCACATGACACATTTTATTTCTCTTCTTTCATTTCCGCCTGTGATTGGACCAATTGGTATTCCAGTCACAAAATGTCGCGACGTTTTTTTAACTCGTCTCTCTTTCTCTCATTGTACTTTATTTATTTACTTGAAATTTCGAACGCGAACGAGCGAACGGATTTGACCTGTCTTCACCGCCAACTATTATACACGTTTTATACATTTTTCTATTTTTATCTGCAGTCTTCTCCATCGGAAACAGATACTTATCAATATTCGATTAAAATGAACATCTCTATATGATACTTTATTGTATTTATTTTGATTTATACACTCCGATGTACAGCACAAACGTGCATCGCTCATTTTCAGCAGACATCGCTTGACCTAACGATTTTATTAATTTTTACCTCTCGTGCAACCTACACCAGGAAAATGACTTAAAAATAATTATCGGTGATTTGAATATCGCAAAACGGATATTCCTGGACGAGTGATATCTAAAAGATTTCTAAAAGCGTGCACTCTCGAAATACCAATATCTGCGATACGTAAAAATTCATAATATCACAACGATCTCGAGCATCCATTCGCAACTGCAGTAATTAAGCAAGACTCGCGCAGTCCTCGTGCCTCATGAGCTGGTCTGTCAGTCTCCGAAACGAGAAGAAATCGAATTAACGCTAATGGAGAACGGACGAGCCCTCGTTGTCATCGTCGTCGTCGTAGTCGTCGTCGTCGCGCCGAATGCCTTCTCTTTCCCGGGATCAATTAACTCTGCGTTAATCCCGAAACACCACTCTCGCGAACACCCGACGAGGGATGCGGGGGAGATCGTAACAACGAAACAACAGGCGAGTTGAAAACAATGCGCCGAGGCGAAGCGCGAAAACGAGAATCAAGTTGTGGATTTTGCTCTTCACGAATCATACAGTATTTCTCCTTTCCTCTCTCTCTCTCTTTCTCTCTCTCACTCTTCCTCTCTCGGTGAGAGGATGACAGAGACGAAATAAAAAACGTCCGTAAAGAAAAAAAGAAAAAAAAAGAGGAGAACGGACGAGCCTCCACAAAACTTGTTGACTCGTTCGCCGCTCACGTTCTGCCTTCTACATTTAAATCGACCGGCCTCGCATTAAATCTTGGCCGCCGCTACGTATTCGGCACGTGGCGTAATCAGCACGTCGCTGGTCAGGTGGACTGCCAGCAGGTGGGGTCGCCGAGTGGTTTGTTTACCGCGGTATCGTCGCGGACGGAGCGATTGCTGAGCAGAGGAGAGAGAGGCGATGAGAGGAGAAAAGAGACAAGACGAGACGTGCTGGTCTCTGTCGGGCCTCCTGAGGCACCGATCGCAATTGGAGAGGGGCGCCCATATAAATGGTACCACTCTCTCTCCACGTCGTCCAGTCCTCAGGGTGCGTTGCTCCCTCGAGCTCTCTTTCACTTTGCGTCGTTACGCTTTTCTGCTTTCTTCTCCGAGAAGAGGCTGCTCTTTCTCTCGAGAGAGACGCGCGAAAGACTGACTGACAGACCGACCGTGTTCGTTCTTTTCGCGAACGCACGTCCACCGAAACTCCGTCACGATGAGCACCAACATCCTCGTCAGGATCTGCGGACCCAGGGTCCTGCGCGCCGCCTTCGCCGAGCAGAATTCATGGATCACCGTTGGCAGGTGTCTAAGGTTGGTAGGATTAAGTAGGATCGAGAAGGTCGAGCAGATTGATCGGATCTTATACGGATACTTCGTTTTTCAATGCTGAGGTTTCCTCGTCCTGCTTTTGTCTCATAACTATGCGTCTCGCCTAGTTGGACGTGTATCGTCTAAAGAAACACGAAGGAAAGTCCGTCTGGCTGGCTTATTAGCTAATTTAAACGTTAATGACGAATTATAATTTATGAAGAATAGAAAAAAAAGGTCGATTGTAAAAACAAAAGTGTCTCATTCGAAAATTTGAATGCTTTCTTTTGAATATCCGTAAGGATTTTATTGTACGATTAAAATTGTAGACATGGTCGACATTCTGGAAGATTAAAATAGGAGCTCTTCCTCGAGCTATATCTTTAATCAAACGTCCGATAACAATATTCATATGGACACAATAGCGGTAAATGCCAAAGTTCTAGCCCGATCCATTTGATCGAATTGGTCTAGAGAGTCTAGAGATGAATTATGAGACGCCCTGTACTTTAAAAGGACACCTGTTATCCGAAGATTTTAACGGATCCTCTGTTAGTTTAAGCGATTTTTATTGGTTGTTATTCTTCTCGCGCAAGATTCCTCTCGACATTCCTCGAATACCACTTAGAATGGGAAGGCTTCTTTAACTCCTTTGTTTGAAAATCATTATTTTGAAGCCGGGATTTTTCACGTAGATAACAGAAAGTACTCGTTGAGCTGTGTATCTTGGTCGAGAGCTCGGTTGATGTTTCGAGTTTGCTTCTGTTGCATTCTTTCCTTGTTTGAATACGCGCGGAATTATCATTCGTAAATCACTGCTACTCGCATCAAAGGGGAAACGCTGAAAACAGTGGTAAATCAGAATTATTTGAAGATGATAAAGCACGCGGCCGAGAGTAGATTTCCGGACTTAAGATGACACACGCATACACACACACACACACACGTACGCTGCATGCGCAATTGTAAATTTACTTGGAACGAAAACATTACAAGACAAGTAGAGAGCGGTAAAGGTTGACAACACATTGTATTTAATAGCGGCGGTATCGATACCGTTGCAGCGCGTTATTCAAGCGCGATTACGCCGCGCTGTTCAGCTGGGAGTTATAGTAATCGGCGGCTCTCGGTGAGATTAATGATTACGCGGTTAATAGTATGTGGTCCAAGTTAGGGTCGTCAGCAGACGCGCTGAACCTCTCTCCCCGTTACAAAGCGAGTTGTTGTTGATGAAGACCACTCGCAGCATGAAAAGATGGGATGCCCGTTATACATACAAAGAACCCGCGTGAAAGAGTTACTTCGCTCCGACCGGGCTAGTAATCCCAGCGAAATTAAAATCTAAATTGTTGTCGTACACAAAATGCAAAACAATGCAGCGAGGTGAATGAGACGGGAAGCGACGAGAGTCGCTAACGGGGATCGACTTGCCCGAGAATGGGAAAGCAATTAATACGTTGTTAATTAAAAACTCGAAATGCGTACAACGACTACATACGCGTTCAAGCGAACAATTTGTACAGTAGCGGTAATTTAATAGGTTGTAAAAAATGATTTACAATAATATCGTGATATATACACGCATACTTTCGTTCGTGAGAGAAAGAGAATTTTTCGGACTTTCTTCCTACAAAAGCACGTGTGGTAAAAGAGGCAGTGGTTTCCAACGAGTCTCACTCGCTTGTATAATGTTCTAAATATAATTTTGATTTGAAATATATGTAGAGCTTTGAGGAAGTCGCACCGAGGTTACGCACACGCGCGTTCAAATTATTTATAATTTTGTCGGCAACATTGTGCTTATCACGATGTCGCGATAAGGCGTTGCTGTTTACGCGACGATCCGGCATAAATTAATCGATACCCGGCATTTAAGTGCGACTGTGTCGCCGATGGACTCCATCGTCGGGATGCATATTCCAGCCGTTCATTAAAGCAGAAATCATACGATTCGACGATTATCGTTGTACACTTGTGAATCCGGAATAAACCTCGCGCTGATATTTAAATGTCAAGTTGAGACGAATGGAGTCATGTGCTTGCGTCGGCGACGGGCCGCATTGAATTTCAAATAAATTAACCGCGTTCCGCGCTCGACGCGCGAGTTTGTTTATGCTGTGTAATTCTCATTTTTTTCTTACGCAACTGACTGATCATGGTGTAAGGACCACTCTGGTATCTCTCGTCTCTTCTCGTCTCTTCTTCCTCTTCCTCTCTCTTCCTCTTAAAAGTATCATCTCGACATGCAAAATATCGATAAGAGGGAGAAGAAGCGGTGAGGAAAAATCCGGATACCCGACAACGGATCAAAGATCATTCAGTGCAGATAATTAAGCAGATAAAAGCGCAGGGAATTCCTTGTGTTTACTTGGCGGTATATCGAGAAGTATCGATAATGTCCCGACGAGAGCTTGCGATCGTAGCAATTAACGCGAACGGCTATCGGAAAATAACACGAACGACTATCGAAAATCGATTACGATGAGTCGGCGACGACGAGCGCATGACCGCGAATACACATGTGCACGCAGAGAGAGAGAGAGAGAGAGAGAGGGAGGGAGCGCTAATGATTCGCCGAATTCGCCGGGAAAAGCATTCTCGCGATCTCGCGACCGCGATAGCAACAGCAAACGGTGATAACGTGCCGAGTGAAACGGACGCGTGCTCGTAACAAACTCCATCCGACAAATTAATAATCCTCCTGAGAAAAATAGAACGTGTCGTATCTCGCGATACTTCACGAGCAAGCCGGCTGACCGTCGGAAAATACCGCGATAATCGAACCGAACGGTTTGATAAGCAAACACGTCGGTTGATGTTTTATCGTCATATATTTTTTGCTTTCTCGTCCAACGAGACACGCGCCTCTTTGTTCGCAATGGTGGATAATATTTTTGTCTTTTCTCGGCTTCCCGAGCGGAGAAGAGCGCGATCAGGAGAGTTTTGCTGCTGATGCATGAGTCGTTGGCGTTTTAAATATAGGAGGTCAAGGATAGCGTCGCCCAAAGCGGACTTCTGCGCTTTCTTTCCCCTCATTATGTATTTCGCTGCGTTTTTCTGGGGAGTTTTTTTTTCTTTCTTCGAGCCCCATCCGCTCGTTCCAGATGCTTTCTCGAGACGGCGATTAACCTGTCGCGGAAACCGGTAAATTATACGTTTAATCCCGGCTGACCTTATTGCGCGAGATCATTAATGCGCGCCGCGTGCGAAACGTGAGGCACGCATGAAAATTTCGTCGCAAAGTCACTCATGAGACGCGGCCGTAATTCCTGTCCATCTTCCTCAGGAATTAGCGGACGAAAATGCTGTCGATTGGTCGCTATATGACGAATTTTGCGTGAGAGAATTTGCGACAACAAATTTTATCCCACGAAATTATCGTGGAATATCTCAATAAAGCTTTCTTCGATATCTCCTTATCAAGAAAGCGGAGGAGCGAAGAAATTGATCCAAGTTGATCCTTCAAATCGTCATACAGATTGATCGACGAAGAGAAGTCTTCATGGTCATTACGGAATGACATTTTCACTTAATTTGTAAATTCAACTGAGAATGGCATAACGTCACAATTCGACAAAGTAGAGCTTTCTTTGTACTCTCGTCTTTGTACTTGTGGAAATTTAACGGGTTGGGGCGTTTCGAGCGTGACGACGCAAGCTTCTGTCGTCTCAGCGTTCCTTTTCGCAGAAGACGCACGATCGAGTCACGTGATAATTTGAATAAAGACACACGTATGTACATGCAGTCATCCACATACCACAGTTTTTCACGACGAAAGAAAAGACGCGAGTGCACACGCGTGAAGTAGTTAAATTGCATATATAACTGTTTATCACTCTGTGATGATCTCATTTTCGACGATATCACCGTGCGGCCCGCACGTGGCGCGTCCAGATACACAAGCGTGACGCATGGGCGCTCACGTGCGTTTCGACGCACGGCACTCGCACGGCAAAACAACAGACGCAGATCGGGCAAAGGTCGCGAACCCCCCGTCATCGCGAACGCACCCGCGCTATATCCACGCGCGACTTGTGCAGGAAGTGCATTAACCTCCGCACTTATTTTCATCCTTCGGCCTTTGTTCTCTGCACTACGCATTGCATTACAAGCGAAAACTGGAGTATCCGGGTGCGAGAGCACGGAAAGAAAACTCGTCATCCGCCGAGAGAAACGACGATCCGGCGGCGCAATTTATTCCTGGCTATCGCGAGATAGAGTGGATTTTGATATGACGATCTGTCAAATTCCGCCGAGCTCTGTGGACCGTCTTTTTTCCCGTCCCAATGGAATTACGATAATATCATCGTTTAATTCATCGATCAATCATCATCGTCAAACGTAACGTACGTCGGCACACTGTCGGCAAAATCAAATTCTCTGATAGAACGTTGTTTTATGTAATCGTTGTCGTAATAATTTATCACATAAAATTGCGGAGGAGTGATGGAAAAAAATCCGACTTTGATTCGACTCGGGAAATCTTTTTCGATTTCTGCGGGAGCTACTGCGGCGAATCGCACATTGAGGAAGGGGATCAGTCGATGCCGGCCCGACGATAAATATTAATCCGCGGCCGGCTGACACGCGAAAAAGTGCACTGGCCGGTTCAGTTATTGCAGTCGGACCTTCGATTGGCCGCGATTATCTCGGAATTGCTATACAAGTAGATCAATGCTCACCAAGCGTAATTGTCTTCTCGGTTCACCGGTCACGACAAAAGTCGCTCCTCGATCGCTTCATGAGCGCAGAGGTCAATTCTCTTCGATGCACTTTCCGATTTTTGTCTTGTCGCACAAGTCTTAAGTAGCCCGTTAACAAGATGTTCCGGACAAACAACACAATACTGCACGAGGAGCGAGGTGAAGTTAGATAAAAGATATCGCCGATTTCTAGGAACACCACTTGCAAAGACGCCGACGCTTGGTCGAAGGAAGTTATCGCGATCACGCTTCTATCGCAAAGTTCGTGGACGTCAGCGTGATGCTAATTATGTAATTTCGAAGTGATTCGAGCGAAATATCTTTTTGACGTACACACCCGACTGACTAATCATCGGACCGATATCGGCGACTCGGTATCGGCTCTCTCTAAATCGAAGGCCAAAGGGCTCCGTATAATTCCGTGCCAGACGCGTGCGACCGGCCAAAGCAGCAGTCGGAGATATGACCATAACTAACTTCGAAAATAAAATTCATTGAGATATCTCCGATGCTCGATGAGAATAATTAGTAGCGGAACTTCCCCGGAATAAACGTAGAATGTCGGTGTATCTCTTCGAGATAAATTTGCATGAAGGCTCTTGTATATTCAATCACTGCACGGGAAGAGGAATCTCAATTTGCGCAACTGCAGAGATACCAGACGAAACTTCGGTGTCAAGAAACGATATCTCTGTTACCATGACCGAAATCATTCACCTGAAATCGCTCAGCTGTATGGACGCTCGGTTGAGATTAATAATTGAGAACAAACGACTGAGTAGAAATTTCAGGGATCTTTTTGTTACTACGATTGAATTTTCCGTCTGATCTATTTCGCTCAAGCGACGGAAAACGCAGTTACATTAACGAAATTGTTTTCTCAGTATATAAGAGTATTGCAGCTGTAAGAAATTGGAAAATTAAGAGAATTAGATAAATCTCAATTAATCTTAGAAAGTCTCTTAATTATAAAAATTGACGGACACAATCGGCAAATCAATCATTAAAATTGATCAACCTTCGCACACGTGACGATTACGCATAATTTAACCAGCTAATAAAATTATTCAATAATTAATCAATGTATAATCGATCGAAGCGGAGCAACCGATTGAAACAATCGTTAAATACAATCGCTATTATACCGTATGTTAATTTTGATTATCTCTCATTCAGCCGAAATTCCAATCGATTAGTGCTCAACGCTGTTTGCAAGCGATAAGTCCATGGGTTTGATTCTCGACCCGTCAATTTGAAGCTGCCGTTATATATTTTCTCCCCGACTCTTACACAACGATTAAGAAGAGCCATACAGATTGATCCAGTGTTCTAATGTGCCGATACACACACATTTTTTATTTATACTTCCGAATTAATTCATTCTCGCTGAGGGTCTAATTTCAGTCGTTAGTGCGGCTTTGACGTCACCCTTCAGACAACTCCAAATCGGTCAGGAGATAAAATAAGGCAACGCATTCCGAATTCTGGGTTATCCTGTAGAATGTCTTCGTCGTGAAGACATTAAAACGGCGTTACAAAGACAGATAGTCACGGAAAAATGGGACGACTGGGCTAATCGATTGCGGCAATAATAGAACGTTATCTGTCGAAAACAGTCGCCGCGAAACGCTGTACACTTTATCGGTACAAATCGAAGATAGCGTATTCCAACATGGCACGTCACGAAGCCATGCATTCGATCGCGATTAACGATTATATTACATAATTGTCGTGGCGGAGACACTGCACAGAACGAAGTATATTCAGCCTTGCCGAGGCGAAAGTTGAAAGTTGCCGAAAACTTTTCCGCTCGATCGTCTCCCTCTCTCGCGGCGACTTTATACGGCATCGTTTAACCCATCGGCTAACTCATCGACATAAGCGTGTGCGGTGAATAAGCGTGTTGTGATATTAACATGCCGACCGGTAAAATTCCGCAAATTGAGCAGAATGAATCTAGATACACGTATGTTTTTTAATTTCAACTATATGATTTTTAAAACAGCCTATTAATTAACAGGCTTTCAGCTGACGAAATATCAATAGCGCCTCGCGATTGCTCGCAATTATGCTTTTCGGTTGAGTCCAATTTTCTAATGAAACAATAAATCACTCTGTATTAGGAGGTGAGGTGAAAAGAAGTCAGGTTTCTATATTTGCTGAAATCTCTCCGTCAAAGAGATACTATAAGATAACGTGTGAAAAATATAACAGATAAGATAGCAGATAATATAAAAATATTAACGACAGTTGCTCGACAAACGCGCTCGATGAAAGCTCTCCCTACCAACGAAGGCGATTAAAACGTCTATTGTATTTCTTTCAATCGCACAACGACATTTCATTTTGCAATACAAAAACTCTCACCATATCGGCGGAAAATCTATTTTCCGTAGGGGGAAAGCCCCTCTCTCTCTCTCTCTCTCTCTTTCCCTCTCTCTCTCTCTCCCTCTCTCTCTCTCTCTCTCTCTCTCTCTCTTTCTCTCTCTCTCTCTCTCTCTCTCTCTCTCTCTTTCTCTTACACGGAACGGTCGTAATTTTAGATTTTCAAAGAACGTGTCATGTCGCGAGAGTCCGCCAACAAGTCCCGAAGCTGGTCGTTCGCGAATGTGCCGAGTTCGAGTTTCTCTCGACGAGCTTTTCAGCGCGATCCCGAGGAAAATCTCTTTCGCCGGCGCCAATGGCCATGCCAACGCTCCAGCACGCGGAGCTCGCGTGCTCCGCGCGTGAAGCCTCGTGTGGGCGCACCTATCTTTCCACGGCACCACCACAATGAAAGCTCTTGTGTTCTCCGTGTGTGCCGCACGTTGCATCGTGGATGCGGCACGCCGCCGATCGAGGACGAGAGCCGCGACCGCAGCTGCGGTTGCAGCGGTGACGATGATGGCGATGGCTGACTCTCGAGTTTTTTTCTCATCATCGTCCCGGCAGAAAAATCATCTCGGACGATGACCAATAGTCATTTTTCTCTCTTCCCATTGCAGCACCACAATGTCGCGCACCATGCTGAAGGACTCGCCGAATGCAGCGTTAGACAAAACCCTGCTGAAAAAGTACCTTGACCTTCCTCAGCCGGACAATGCGATACAAGCGAAGTACATCTGGATCGACGGTACCGGCGAAGGATTACGTTGCAAGACCAGGACCTTGGACTTCGTACCGAAACATCCTTCCGGTGAGCGGGGACGACGTGTGCGCGTCGTGTGATTTTTAATTCCTAAATCCGTGTCTCTCCGACAAAATTTCGGCTGAGGATCGCATGAACAATTTGACAAGAAGTCTCTCTAACGAGTCTTTAGAGGTTTGCGTTGATTGCGAATTAACTCGCAGTCTCGCCAGATTAACAGGCAATAATACCTAATGAAATGTCATCGTAGTATTTTATCTTCCCGCCGTAAAACTTTATCTTTCATCACGTCGGAATGATACGTCATTCGCCGAGGCGAGATTTTTATTGAAATTTATATTCCGCATTTTCACTCGAGCGATAAGAGCGTTTGCTTTCGATTGCAATTTCCCTCAGGGAATGTCTCGCGTTCCCGCAGGGCGAGCCTTAATTTATGCGCATCGCTAATAAAGTGCGGTGATGAAACAAATGTTCAGACGCCTATCGGCCGCCACGTACTAGTTGCGAAAAGTTGTTTATCTCGACGCTCGCGTCAATGAAATAATATTATCTAATCTCGCAATACGCTAAGCAGAAGATGGAAGCCTTGCGGGAGCAGTGAACTCCGTTTGTAGTCAACAACTTGGGTAATTGGGAATAAATTTCTCGCGGCGCTGTTCCGAAATATGACGCAAATATCCATCGCCCCAGTACGTGATGGCATTATCCGTTCGCCGGCGATACGTGTGTTGGAAATTGGATCGGCGCTCACGGATCGCCTGTGTTCTAATTGCGCTTAATATTCATCCTTCCATTAACTCCCTCATGCATCCTTCCTGAGAGGATATGGCGAAAAATTACGAGCTGCCAACGCGCGAGTTCGATCGAAACCTACAAAGACAGGAGATATCGTATTTGTGTTACTTTTCGTACTCTAGAACTTTGATATGGTTCTGCTTTGCCTAAAATCTCCATTCGAAGGCTTCACTTCGCGAAGCGATGAACGACCATTTGTCGAAAATTGTGCGTGTAATCTTTAAATTCTCGATCTTGCCTTTCCGAATCTTGCCACTTCTCCTCTTGACGTCAATCTTCTCCTCTTGAAGTCAATCTGTTTGCAGTTTCGCAAAGTTGCGAGCAGCGCACGACTCTTCGAACTCGCTGGTGGCTTTTAATGAAGCAAACATTAACGTGTCGCCTGATTGTTCTTCGTAGACCTGCCGACATGGACGTACGACGGTAGCTCGACGTACCAGGCTGATGGCGCCAACAGCGATATATTCCTCTATCCGGTGGCGATCTACAACGACCCATTCCGTTGCGGTAACAACAAGCTCGTGCTCTGCGATACCTACAATAGCGATAAGACCCCAACGAAATCGAACAAACGTAATCGAGCGAATCAAGCGATGGAGGCTATCAAAGATCAGGATCCTTGGTTCGGCATTGAGCAGGAGTACACTTTGCTCGACTTCGACGGCAGGCCGCTGGGCTGGCCGAAGAACGGCTTCCCGGGACCTCAGGGTCCTTACTATTGCGGTGTCGGCGCCGACAAGGTGATCGGACGCGAGATTGTCGAGGCCCACTACAGAGCGTGCCTCTACGCCGGCGTGAAGATCTCCGGGACCAATGCTGAGGTGATGCCGTCGCAGTGGGAGTTCCAGGTGAGCGATCTGTGTCGCCCTGATTCGGACGATCAGCGGAGACACGCTCGTGGAGATCCTCGAGTTTAATTTGATAATTGATAATTTCATCCGAGAGCGCAAGAACTTCGCTTCGCCGGGAATCCAATTCCGAGAGCCGTGTTTCAACAGAAATGTAATTTGCTCGGATTCTGCGTGTATTCATAATTTGCTCAACCCGAGATTCATACACTGGATAATCTCCTAGACATCCTCCCCGGGCAGGAGAATGCTAGATCTGGCATGTTGCGTGAGCATTTCATCAGTAACAGTTCACTTCATCAAGGAGAGAAGGGTACTCATCAAGTCAGTAGTTAAGTTGCTCCTCTCCCTGATGAAGCAAACTGAAATGTTCATGAAACGAATGTAGTGAATTAAATGAAAACAGACTGCTCAACGAAGAGAATCTATAAAAAACGTAGCTTCAGGCCGGAAGCCAGATCTAGTATCTCCCCGCACCACAAAATTTGAGATGTAAAAGAAAATGAATTGCACTCATTTGCACTCATGGTGAATTATTATCATATCTTTCTTTACCTATGGATCCAGGTGGGACCATGCACGGGCATCGACGCCGGCGACGACCTGTGGGTCGCCCGATTCATCCTACACCGCATTGCCGAGGAATACGGCGTGATCGTCACGTTGGACCCGAAACCGGTGGACGGCTCATGGAACGGCGCCGGTGCTCACACTAACTTCTCAACAAAGGCGATGCGCTCCGATAACGGCATCGCCGAGATCGAGAAGGCGATCGACAAGCTCAGCAAGCAGCACCTCAGGCACATCCAGGCGTACGACCCGCGCGGAGGGAAGGACAACGAGCGCAGGCTGACCGGCAAGTGCGAGACCAGCAACATCCACGATTTCAGCGCCGGCGTGGCCAACCGCAACGTCAGCATCCGCATACCGCGCGGCGTCGCCGAGGACAAGAAGGGCTACCTGGAGGACAGAAGGCCCAGCAGCAACTGCGACCCTTACTCTGTCTGCGATGCCTTGGTTCGCACCTGCGTGCTCAACGAATAATAAAGCCGTAGTCGATAGCGGACGTCGTGAGGGACACATACACACAAAACACAAAACACATACACAGACGCATACAAGCAGACATACATGTCATACGGATCGACACGCACACCCGCACACACCTGGAGAGCGTACAATTAACTATAAAACTGTAGAACTAACTTGTCGATATATTCAGAATAATGATGTTAATGACAAGCAGCGGTGGATCTGCTTGAGGACGCTAGTGAGGTTTCGAATACGGAGTTTAACAGCTCCCTGGATGAGACACGTGGCTTGAGTATACGAAAACGGGAGGTCCGCCGAGGCAAAATCGTGTTCGATCAACGTCAAACCTGCTGCCGAATTACATTGAGAAAGAAGAGCGGTCGGATTGGCAAAATTTTATGGCCGTTAGACAGATGAACGATACAGTTGCGTTAACGTAGTTACTAAAATTCCGAAGTAGTGAATCAATCGGTAGCTCATCACAGCAATCGTATCTATGTTCGTCTAATGAAGCTGAACGTTTCCTCGAATACTTTAGCAAAGTCTCGCTGATTCCGCTACTTTTTCTCTCAATGTACATGTACATAGCCAAGCTCGCATCTCGGGTATAAATGCGAGCCTGGAGCGCTACCGTTTGATACTACATCGAACTTCTCACAGCTCTCTTGCCACGTGAAAATCACGAGTCCGCAAGCAGATCTACCTGATGGCGCGCTTTAACGCTAAGTATGAACTTTAAACTTCATATCGTTTGATGCGAAGATCGCAGGGATCTTCGTCGGTCGAACAGCAAGGCCCCTCTTAGTGTCGCGTTTAATTGTTCCAAGCGAGATAATACCTGATTCCGAGTTTAACGTCGAATATCGCGTTTGATATAAATATCTAAAGGTGAAACATTTGGCGTCCGATCTTGTATGCAACCGGTAAGTATAAATGCGAAGGATGACTTGAGAATAAAATTGGAATCAGGAAGGGAAACAATAAGATTTTTTAATTTTATTGCTCGATCGAAAAATACGGTGTAAATGAAAGGAAATGTAATTATAATTGTAATTATTAACATTATACATTGATTTAAATTATTATATATAATTGAAAAGATTTGGTCACGAAGTGCCCATTTAATCAATAAACGCGCACGCTTTTATCAGGAGGGTGGCGAGTATGATAGTGATATTACAATGATAGGGTGTATGAGAGGGTTCGATGAGAACGTCGACACTTTTATTCGCACAAACGAAGAACGACGCCTTGTCAGTATCAGTCAACGCTCGCTCTTCGTTTAAATTCGCTGAGCGTCGATCATCGATGCCATCGGGCGCTTGAGACGCTCGGATGGACCGCGTGGGAGCGACGAGCCTCGATTGCGGTCGCGGATATAGCGAAATTGCAGGTCATTATTGATAATATAGTACAATGCGAAAATGTAATTATCTAACCTTAGTAATGCGCACGTGGGATCAATAAAAGCGAGTGAAAAAGAGGGAAGAAGAGGGGGAGAGGGAGAGAGAAAGAGGAAGAAATCAGTTTGGAGCGCGAGAGACGATCGATTCGCAACTTGCCTTCGACTTGTCTCCGCGCACGCGACGCGACGTCGCATGAAGCAGTATACTTAGCAAATATCTAACAAATTAGTGCAATTGATACAGTTAAGACAAAGGGAGAAAGTTTATTGTTTCGTATCTCGTAAGTTTATTAATTTTAAGGATAAAACCAATTTTATAGAGTCGTATATACAATGTACAATCGCAGTGTCTCTGAAAAGAAAGGTGTGCCGACCGTTGCCAAAGCGAGAATTTTGTCGGAGGCGCGATCAATGTTAAATTTTAGAGAATTATATATACACATATATATATATATATATAATATAATAATATTACCAGTAATATGACCAGTTATTAAATAAAGAAATTTTATCTTTCCATTATTCTCTTAGATTTATTAAATTTTAATGAAGCCTCGACTATTATATATACTATCTTGTTGTTGACGTGTATGAGAGATTTTTTATCATATCTGTAAATACAACAAAATAACGGAGACTTTTTGTATTAAGCTCCCGGTGCTGTAATTAAGAGTTACTTCAATTATTGTATCTCTCCGACGAAATTATGTGGCCGATGATTTTTCCTTGTTTGTACACTGACGACTCGTCGACCTAGTGTGTATAAAAATGAATTAAATTAAATTGCAACAAGTGGTGTGTTGTCTCAGGTAAAATTTTCGCTGACGAGAGGCCAATTCTTTGCATGCCTCCTAAAAATTGGAATTCCTTCGCCGGTATACACCTTCTTCCCGGAACACTTCGCATATAGATGAAAAATCTGTACACAGGAATGCTTTTTCTATACCTCCCGCAGGACGGATTTTACACATACCAGCGATGCTTATATCGATGCATTTGTACGGACATTGCATCGATATCGCGACAATAAAGTATAAGAATGTTCTGCCTCATAATTGCGCAGTATATTGCGCACGAATTCCGTCGTAATGAACACCAACGAGAATGAAATTCCATCGAGACTCCGGATTTCCCTAGGCGCAACGAAACAATAGCGATTCGAAATCGATCAATCGATCGATCGAGAGAGAGAGAGAGAGAGAGAGAGAGAGGGGCGAAGGAGAAATCACGTGTTTAAGTAGTTTTAAACACTGTTAGAAATTATTAAAATACGGTTTAAAATTTTCACATTGTACAATTGTAAACATGAAAGGGTAATCCCTAATGTGCGTAATTTAATATTAAAGAATTAATACAACAAGATATCTCAACTGCCTGTCGTAAATATAAAAAAAAACTTGTACATATATAAAAGATATAAATTATAAATGCGACTCTTCGAGCGTAATCGCGAGCTTTTAACAAGTAGATTTGTTTTGTTTCCCACTCTTGATTAACGTTCAGGTTTATATGTTTGGTGTAAAAATGTCTTTATGTTGTATCATTTTGATTTTGACAGTATGCCTTTGCACACACCGAGAAAGCCTTGCACGAGCATTCTAATGTGACTTATATGTAATAGCAGCCGAAGATGCAACGCAGCGAACTAAACTATATACTATGTGCTCGTTAAACTATGTAAATGTGAATACATTGTCGTTCTATCTCATTAAATATCGTTATAATTATCAGATTTATATATATATATATATTATTATTATTATTATTATTATTATTATTAGACTCTTATATCGTGATTATAAATTTATTATTACTATTATTAACATTATATATATGTTATAGTTCTTTTATTTTTATATGGTTGTGTATAATATATAATTATATATATATTATATTGTAGTATATATATATATATATATATATATATATATACGAATATACACGAAATCAATGTAACTTGTATATTGTATATTTTCATATTTGTATAAAGGTATTTTTTATGCTAAATGCTTCGTTGAAGTAAATTGTGTATACCATAATCAATCGTGGGCGGCTCTGTTAATTTAGCGATCTGTGAAAATCGCTATTATCAGACATCGTTATCATTATCATTGTTGTTATTGTTGTTGCTAACGGTAGCGCGAAAAAAGAGATCGGTGGACGCTTTTTGCCCTGCGGGGGAGCAATTAGACGACATCTCTGCGAAATGGAGTATACTCGCACTTGTTATGTTTATGAAATAAAGTATATTACGAACTACGTGTAGAAGAGTATCTAGAATTATATTTCCATACTCTTTTTATACATCATGTGTATATATACTAGAGGAACATGTCACTCTGTGAGAAACGCGACTATATGACATGCAATTTCTGTATAAAATATCGATACCAAATATATGCTGTACTGGCGGATAGTCCGTACCAAGTGATTATATAACTTATGTGCTCATTTCTTAAAACTACTCTCGTCTGGCCGCCGATCGGGCCATTGGGTACGCCGTAACCAGCCGATAATTCTATATACACAGGCTCGGCTTCTGCCACCTTCGCCATCGCTTTTAAATCTCTGAAACACAGGAGTGTGCAAACTAGCATTATTCACAATTATTAATACTGATTGATTACGCGAGTGATCCAAAGCATAATTATATAAGTCAATAATTTTGCGAGCGTATATAATACAATAATATAAATAGATTATTCTATCTTTTTTTTTTAATAAAAGGGAGTGTTAGATCTGAATTCTACCTGAAATGCCAGACTCCACTCGCGGGAGAATTGGAAGGTATGAATGGCGGTCGTTTTTCATTGGCTCTAATAATGCCGATGATTTCCATAGAGTCTGTAATCTTATTTTCCTGTTTGTATGTAGAACGTGCATTTCTAGGGATCCATCCACGATTCACCATAATAGTCAAGCTGAAATGATTAGTGTCATAAGGTAGAATTAAGCAATGTTAGGGTAATATAATTGCTCTCTGCATATGAACCAGTTTTGAGAAAAAAGCAAATAATTACTCGCGATCCTCTAGCTTGAAGGGTGTAATCACATAATATCCTGTGCTTGATTTGCCAGAAAATACACCACCACCTTTTTCACTCACTGCTTGTCCATCTACGATAAGGCTTCTAGGTCCCATCAGGAATTCCTTTTCATATATAAACTTTCCCTTTGCCTTAACACGATAGTATTCCTTATCATCTAATTCATATAGACTGAAAGAATATACTTGTCAAGCAGTTGTAATTCAAAGTACATAGCATTTTACAAAATTCTTATAAATTCAGATTTTTAAGTGAATATTGCAAGTTTACTCTAATGGTAGATCGATAGGCTCAGCTGTGGTACGTCTCTCCAGATTGTCTATTAGATTCAACTTCCACCGCCACCTCTTGATTTGCCATGTACCAAGTCCAAAAGTAACAATGGGTACAGCCTATATTGAGTAAATTATAACAAGTAAAAATAAACTTACATATTTTATTAATAAAGTCAAATGGTTGCTTTCTGATTTAAAGATATAGATAGCACATTATATGTATATAACTGGTAGATACAGTTTGATTCGCAAATCTTTATCTGGCTTAAGATACAAACTTGTTACTGTAATGTAATGTGCACAATTTGTATGATAAATTGTAAGTTATAATCATATTTGTTTGTAGCATTACTTGCCAACAAGCTATATCCATAAAGTCCAATGTCCATGTCCTCTCGTTGGTATTTATTCTGTATTATAACATTTTTAGGTCTTGTCATCGTACTTTTACATCTAGCTTGTGTATTCATACTACCAAAAAGTAAAACGCGTGCTTTCCTATCAAGCACATACTTTGTACTTTTCAAACGTTCGAACATTCTTCCAATTATTAAATTCATGTTTGACGTTCAATTATCCAAATTCGAGAAATAAAATTTTACGTTCTCAGTTATAAGCGATTGTCATAATTATATGAAAAATATCATTCTGTCAACAATGTTCACACTATCTTGAGCAGCTGAGAGGATCAGCTGATGTATCCTTCACAAGAACATTAAGATATTTAGGTTATAAATCATGGATCTTCCGATATACTATCTACGATATTATCGAGTCATAATATTTGAAAGTAAAAGTCTATTGATCTGCCAAATTGTATTACTCGTTAATAAACAAATTTATTTGCCATTAAGTTATTTATTTATCATTTATTAGTTAGATTATTGAGTTAGATTAACGTCAATCTCTTTCCGCATGGTCAACTGAGTAACAGAGATTTACAGAAAGACGTCAATATTCTTGTTGAAATTTATTAAATTTATTCATATAAATAAAACATTACACACAAATAACATTAACATTATTTAAAAATATAAATCTTCCTCTTCAATTAGCATACTCGTAGAGTGCGGTGAGATTTTTTTTCATTATGTTTTTTAATATTGAAGCCAAAATTCCTCTTTAGTCTGATCATTTACAAAAGACAAACGAATTAATTTCAATCATAAAAATTAAATACAAAAACTTGTAGCTTATATATTATTAAAATGTAAAACATAAAAATAAAAAAACATGTGACCAGTCATAGTATTAAGACATAGTATTAAAAATAAGAACATTATTAGGTTTATTATTGAGTTGCAAATTAAAAATAAACTGATGTCTAACTTATCGTTGAGTCGTACTACTACCTGCATTCTTCGGTAAGGAAGGTGGCGGCTCGTAGCGGAAACCTCGGAACTAATGTTCAAGACTAAATATGTTCAGAGAATATACACCTTATTAATAAGATTATTTAAAAACATCTAACCAGTTGTTAATCAAAATTTAAACCTCATTTAGTCAAAATTCGCAGCTTACTTTATCGAAATTTGTAGTTATATTCTTTATTTAAACAAATTTGTTTAATACATTTTGATTAAATTTTTGGAAACCGATAAATTGTGGTTCGAATCTTAGTTAAATTTTATTGACGCTTATAAGCTTATAACTTGTGGTTCGAATCTCGGTTAAAAAAAGTAAAGTTTAGCCGAGACTCGAACCATAAATTGTGATTTGAATTTTGGCTAAAAAAAGTAAATTTTAGCCGAGACTCAAACCACAACTTATGGTTCGAGTCTCGACTAAAATCTATCTCTTTAGTTACAAGTCTCCACAAAATTTAATCAAGATTCGAACCACAATTTACCGGCTTCCAAAAATTTAGTTAAAACATATTAAATAAATTTGCTTAAATAAAGATATAAGTACAAATCCCGATAAAGTAAAGTACGAGTCTTAACTAAGCAAGGTTTTAATTTTGATTAACAACTGATTAGACGTTTCTAAATAATTATATAAATAAGGTGTATAAGAAATATTGACCCGTTATTTTGCCGCATTTTCATTTATTATTATTTTTATTTATTATTATTATTTGGGAATGATTCACTCAATTTGTTATAAACTTATGTTTGATCCAAAATATATGTTAAAGCATATTAAAATTTAAAGTATTTAAAATATTGAACATTAGTTCCAAAGTTTCCACTACGAGCCGCCACTTTCCTTACCGAAGAATCGAGGTAGTACTTCTTTATTCAATAAAAAAAATCGAGGTAGTAATATCAACGATTAATTATCAAACATTAATTTATTTTTAACTTACGACTCAATAATTTAAAACATTTAAGTACTTTTTAAAATATTCAAGTACTTTTAGATCATATTAAGATTATAACATTGTTATTATTTTTAATAAATATATATCAAATTATATGAAAAATATCATTATCTTTTGCAATATTATAGCCTGTTAAATTTTATGTTTAAAAATTTAAAGATAAAATCTTTCAATTATATAAAATAAGTAAAATTTAATAAACTATAATTTTAGCAAGAATAATAATGGTTCAGGAAATATTTTAAAGTATAACGTTTTTAATTTCTAAGTATAAATTTGGAAGCTATACATAAAAAATCATAACATTATTGACGATCTTAATCAAGTTTATTATTTTTAAAGGTAGGAAGGCATTTCAAGCGATTAAAAATAGAAGATATTTCTTGCGATTAATATTTATTTCTAAAACAAATATATATCCTAAATTTTAATTGCCATATTTTTATATATTTATATATATTTATTTATTTATATATAAATTATAATTATAGATCTATTTACAGAGCATTAACACTTCGAGGTTTCTTATCAAAAACTCTAGCATAACAACTGATGAAAGAGTCTCTTTTTTTAGAGTACTCTTTATTCTCAGTCGTCATGTCGCATACGCAGGTGCGAAATGGTAGATGCACAAATGCATTTTAAATAATATTTATAGTCATACGTACAAATTAGCGTAGCGGATATCTTACATCGTAGATTTTTCAAAAATCCAAACGTCTTGACACGTAACGAAGGTTATTTCCTCGATTAATCGTCGTCGATCGTCGCGAAACGTGTCAATCGAAACTGCTACATTATTTATTGTACAGAAACGCGTTCTCTCTCTCGTAACGCTCGTCTACCTTCTCCAAAAATTTTTACACATGAAAATCATACACCGAGAGAATAAATAAGGACGACTCACAAGTTGGCGAAGTTCGATCTTAACCAATGTTATGATCTCAGTTCTGAAAATTCTCACTATGACACGACTTCACTGCACAACAAAAATCATTTGCACTTTTGTCACTGAATCCTCTTTCAGTTCTTTCCTCTTATTATATACGAAATATTATTCAATTTTCTCTACAGAGTGTTAATAATAAATGGTAATTTCTCTACGAAGATGATATATGTACTTGACGAATAGAACTGAACAATGTTTTGTAACTACGTATTTCGTAACATTACATTCTTTGCCTGAAGAGCTGAAAGAGCTGTGTACTTCTCATTATTTAATAATAAGGGTACACGTTACTTGCAAAACGGTATATTTTAATATGAGAATTCAAAATAAAATTAAACTTAACAGTTAACTTAATAATCAAACGAAGATTAACATTTGTTGCTTTCTTTTACATTAAGGTCGTCGTTTAACAAACGCACGCAGGTGTTTTCGCAACTCACGTATAGAGGATATAAATATCTTTCGCGAGAAGATCTCTCCCTTAATTTTATTCTCCAAACGTGGGATGAGAGATTTTCGTACGACAGATGCATCAAGAAATGACCGGCTAAAAAGTACCGTCGGACTTTGATATTCTCACCGAATAAAGATATTGATTACGCTTGAAATTTAAATCTGTAAAAGTAAATTTGCTAATTTTGCGTGTGAGAGTGTATGATTCGAAAGCATTTATAGAAAGAGAATATTAAAATTGCTGCGAATAATCATAAGTTACGGATAACAAATAATTCAGATTCAGTAATAATAAATTGTTTCTCATAATAATTGTTTGATGATGACCGATCACTCGTCGATATATCTATTCTGTATGTAAATTATGAGTACTTTCAGATCGCTTATTGTGGAAGATATTTAGTGTCTAATCAATGTGTTTGTGTACGTGTGTGTCTGTCGTTATAAAATATTGCTTTAAAAATACTTCATTCTGAATCATTACAATCTGCAACGCGGAATCACTAAACACATACACACACACACATACACACGCACACACACACACACACACATACACGCGCGCACACACCACCCGATGTTACAATCGTGCGTGAGAAGACGGTACCCGTTAGATATTCCCGATACCTTAAATGCACCGCTAAATTGCATTCTCGCTCAATATACAATAAGTGTAACGAGATAAAATATATAACTATATAAAGTATCGCGATATCCACGTTGTAATGTCCGACGACGTGGCCGTAATTAGAATTCTCGGCGATTGTAAAACCTTAGATGCATAAATTTCTATATAAAATCAAGTTCCTATAAACCTATAAAAAGAATTCATTTTTGATCCATACGGAAATTCGTCCGTAAGGACGATTCGAAATTTTGGCTTTAAATCGGATGAAGAAGATAACTCGAAGGAAACGCATCTCAAGGTAAAAAAAGACCGACCGACGTCGTGCACCGTCTCCATCGTTCAGAGTGAATTCACCTCACAGCTGGTGGCTCAGTTGTTCTTGCCGCTGTTCAGAGTGACGTCCAGCGGCTCGTCCATGCTCGCTGTGACATCCTGTTGTTGCTGAGGATTACTCGACAGATGATGAAAGAGCGTCGTGACCGGCGGATGCCTGGTGGTCGCGTGATGGTGTCCCTTCAGGGTGAGGTCCATTTCAGCCTCTTGCGGCCGCTCCCTCGTCGCCAGGATGTCACTCCGATCCACAGGACTCGCGCAGATCCGCGGCGGCGTGGCGCATCGACATTTCATCCTGTCGGGTGATTTGTCGCAAGATACCGAGTATCTGTGAACCCGCGATTGTCTTGGATTAGATACGGGAAGCTTGTGAAGTTCGAGTCGGTGAGAATCGATCGAGATTGAAAAGAGCGGAAAGTTTTTATTTATCTCCAGAGATTTCCTTCTCGGGCGTAAAAGTCTCTCAGCGCGTGCAAAGGTAAGAATCGATACTGGTCGATGCGATCCTCGCGTCCTCGTGGGATTTTGATCGATTAGCGTCAAGTGTTCCCCTTGAATTTGATTTGAGCACTTCGATTCTACTTCAATGGAAAGATGTCGCTTTTGTTTCGGGCTCAAAACTTTCAGAGTATTGTTGGCTTTGCGTGTAGGGGTGTGTTGTTCGGAGGAAACATTCGTCGAGAGAAAAGAAACGTTGAAAGCGTCTAAATGGTAGGCTTTATATAGTGAAAATAATGCTCGACAAATTTCTCACCCCGGTGGCGGCGGCAAGATCCTGAAGTCCCTGCAGACCGCGGGCGGCACAGGACCGCCGGCCTCGGCTAGTTTGTCGTTCGCTGTCGGCGAGCTCGCGAGGTTCGCTCCCGACGAGGACGACGGTGAGGTCGAGGCGGCGTCGGCGGTCCTCTCGAGGCCGCCAGGACTCACGGGGGGCGGTCGGCCGAGCAGCAGCGGAGTGGCGCTCCCTAAACCCAAGCATCGCATTCTCCACGCGTCCTGCAGCAATTGTAACCGAGCTTGCTTTCTCCACTTTGCCCGTCTGTTTTGAAACCATACCTGCGGAGGAACCGCTGACCTGACCGATCGTTGCCGTGATTCCGCCCCCTCGACCACCACCGCGGGGCGAGAAAATGGCGAACGTCACGAACGATTAAGTGAGACTAAGGGACTAAAAACGACGGGATCACGAATGATCCCGGAGGAGCTCGAACACGCGAACGGCACCGTTCGCGTTTCCGATTTTCTGCGCACCCGATACATCGCCCACGACCGACTGGCGAGTTTCCTTCATTGGTATTCACTACACCAATAAAGATTATTCTTCTACCTTGCGCATTCGGGACGCTTGATGCTTCGACGCTGTCGAATCGCCGATTCGATCGCGTTCATCATCTTCGCAAACGGTTACATTTCTTTTTCTTTTTTGTATCACTTGCATCTATAATAATCGACTAACGCAAAATTTGAATAGGTAATGGACAGTTTAGTCTAAAATATCCATTAATTATATAAAGAAATTAATTTTATTGCACACAGACACGCACACATACACGCGCGCGCGCGTTCCAAGATTTTTTCTTCTAAACACATTCCACAAAATTAATTGTATCCGCATCCCAACAAAGTCTCTTCTGAACGTATTCTAAGAAATTAACCATATCGCACTCTAGACATTTTCTCTTGGAGATACCCGAAAGACATTAAATTGTGAAAGACAGTAATTTAAGAAATCTAAGAAATTAATTATCGCGCGATCTAAGAAATTAATTATACCGCGCTGTGACATCGAAGCGCCTACGACTTGCGAGCAGTCCGCGGCGGCGACGGCGGCGGCATATTACCGGCGGCCAATTACCAGACGTCCCCCTTTACGCTTCCCTTTTACCCCTTTTGCACGGAGATTCGCGGCTGAGGAGGCTCGAAAACACTAATCGAATTTACTTGCCGAACTTCCGAGTTTCTCGCGCCCGTACGTGCCCGCTGCACAGCGGCAGCTTCGCCCCGCTCGTTTCATCAGCGTTCGCCTAATCGTTTTCGCACAATGGCCCGCGCGTAATAGCCGCTATCGCAGCCAGATGTACGCACGGCGCCTTTGTGATACGATCGAGTCGAGCAGTTTTGTTCGTGTTCTAATATCATTAATGAATTCGAGACATCTGCGCGCAAGACGACTTGATTGAAAAGTCGTCTCGTATTCCGCCCTGATATTTCCGCGATCGCTCCCGACGAGGAAATCAACCGATCGGACAATCTGCATCGCGTCACAACAATGTGACTGATTGAGTAACTCGTACTCCATACACGCGCACACACACACACATACACACACACAATATCATTAGGAGATTTGAACGTCCCGCGATCTTTGTAAATGTAAATCCCCGCCGATTACAGACGATACCAATCCGCTTTGTTTATGCGATAACGGCTCTTTATGTTGCAAATTGACGGATTAAGTTGAGCGAAGTGGAAATTTCTTTTTCTCTAATGTACGCTTTAACGCGATGAGACAATTTGATTTTGCTTGCACTTCGCGATATCGTTTGATCAATCGTTGAATAAGTTAGTCATGTAATTCGCGCATTTCTGCGATATTGCAATAATGCAAAGAACTTCTACTCGATCTGGACTGATTAAAAACTGCTGCCAATCACGAACGCTTTCGTAATTGCGTTTGAAATTACAAGAAGAGGAAAGAAAAAAAGAAATATATTAATCCGACATTTCATTTCGCATTTAGATTCGTGTTCTCGTCGATGCCTCGTTGTGAACGGTAATATTTTACACGTTTGTATCGCGTTTACACACGAAATAACAGCGACCAATGGAAAGCTGGATACCGCGGAAATAAATTGCGATCGTTAACTGGTTAATTAAACTCCCAAGCGCACTCGGAAAGCGAATGAGGCTGGACCGCGCGTGTTTCCCGTAAATAGTTTATTCGGGCTTTAATTAGTGAACGGTTTTAGGGAATGAGGTAATCCGTTGGGAGCTCGCTGGTTTCGCAGATTTTGAGGTTGCAAGTTTTCTTAGCCCTTTGGTTGCCAGGCAGGCAAAGGCGGGCATTGGCTTTTATCTCGAATAGTTTCCCAGATAAAAGGGTTGTCTTCCTACCTACCTACCGAGCAGTGGAATCGAGAATGTCTAAATTCGCCATGAGAGCCGTGAAATACTAAACTGAAGAGTATCTCCAATCGCCTTAAAGATCGCTCCGCCACGAACGATCTTTAATTAAACATTGCCAGTTAAATTGAAATTCACCGTTGAATCGCGACGTTTGTCAATCAACACTTTTCGACAAAATCGGAAAATGCCTTACGTTTAAGCAAAAAACATTTGCAGTTTGACTCTTTCAACTGCAAATTTTCAAATTTATTCTCCATTTTTTTTTTTTAAATGGGAATTTTCATTTACTTACGCGACCACAGCGCGTAGTTTGCGTTTCGGTAATTAACTGATGCAACAACATATTCGTACTAATATATCTATATCGTTAATTGTATCGTATATTATTAATGAATAAAACGTTGATTTATAGAATATATATATATATATATATATATATATATATAAGTAGTGCGAAACGCGAAATGCGATATTGAGATTCGATGTAAGAAAGGGTTAATCAAAGGGTTAATCTTCGCGTTAATATTCGCGTTTGTGATAAGCGTTAATATATAAGCGCTCGGCAACTTTCTTCTTACGAGACGCGAGATCATTTGAAAGAGAGAGAGAGAGAGAGAAAGAGAGAGAGAGAGGAAGAGAGAGGAAGAGAGAGAGAGAGAGAGAGAGAGAGAGAGAGAGAGAAGAGAGAGAGAGAGAGAGAGAGAGAGGAAGAATCGAGGCAGGAGCCGAGAATAACACTACTAAAGAGCGAAATCGATGAGATATCGCATGGTAGATTCACCTGTACACGTGCTTCCGAGAGCGATATCCGAAGCGCGACTTCCTCTCTGAGGAAAACATCGGGATAATGCGTCTTCTGAAAGAGGGACTCCAGTTCCTGAAGCTGCTGCGGCGTGAATGTGGTCCGATTGCGTCTCTGCTTGAAAAAGTCACAAGGATTCGACTATTACACACGCCATGAAACGTCAAAGCCCCGCTGTACGTACCGTAATCTCGATAAATTACGGCTGTTAAATTACTCGTCGTCTACTCAATTACGGTATCATCTCCGATATGTCATATCGGAGGTGCGGTAATATTTTTTCATTAGCGCCCGCGACATTTTGCATGTAAAAAAAGTGTGTCAGAGAGAAAGGAGAAGATATGCGAATTAAATGATATACCCGTGATTATTTCTCCTCCACTTATGACGACGAATCAAAGAGAATGCGGAGAGTCGAAAGAATTTGAGTAAATTTGAAGTAGGATACTTTGCTTTTTCGTCTCAAAGATTACAGAAAGCTAATGTCAAAATTTCCCTGCAGATTCGCAAACTAAAAAAAAATATAAATTCTTTATTTTTCGTAACATTATACGAGAAACCTGTACAATTATCTCCTGTAACTCAATAATATTGACTTGTCACTCCCTATGAAATAAATTTGACGATAATTTTCTTCAGGAATAAAAGTAAAAAATCATTAATTGTGACTCAATTTTAACGAGATATTTAGTTCGCCGGATAGAATTAGATTTAGTATATCCTTGCGATTGTTACGGTGTATATTTAATGCCCGGATGCTACTCGTATAAACAACTATTATAAACATTAATTAATTAAAAAATAAAGGTAGAAAAGTATTCAATCTTAATTGCAATATTTCGTTCATCGGATAAGATTCCATTTAACATCTTGCGATTATTACAATTTGTATTTAACGATATTATTCGACTAAATAATAATCAAAAGCGAATGTTCGCTCTGAAATTTTATTCCCTCTGCATTACCTTAATAAAATATCAGACGTTTATCTCAATTTTGATGATACAGGCGTCCTTTTACGCACAAAACGTTCCATCAGAATCACCAGCGCGCTTTTCGACCTCCGCGTGAGGTTCATCCAGATTTCATCGCGCTATCAAACTTTCATTGCTAAAACGTACAAAACACTCGAGTACTCGTACGGTTCGACTATTCGAGTATCAATGAAGCCATTATTAACGAAACTGATAAGGAAGCCGTTCTTCAAAAAGTGGAGAACGGTTGGTATCCCGCGAGGGACCGAGACCGCGCGGCGCGGCCGATCAACACCCGGGCGTCGCTTATAACTCTTAATAGAAACGAGTACAAGAAGAAGAGAAACGTACACTGACCTGACGACGACGACCGAACATGTACTCGGTGAGCAGATCGGCCTGGGGTCCGAGAGGCGACAAGTACGGGCCCGCCATGGGGAGAACGCGGCCACGGCGGCAAGTCCCGCGGCGCTACCTTGACCGGTCTCGTGCGCGGGGTTGTGCGTAAAGGACGAAGAGGACGACGCGCGACTCTCCTCGGCGACTCCACTGGCGACTCCAGCGGAGATCCTCACTGTCGCAGGACGGGTTGCTCGCTCGGCGCGAACATGGCGAGAGCACTGCCGCGAGTTGTCGCCTCGTTCCGACGAAGGGTGAGAGAGCGGCGAAGGGTGAACGAGGAGGGTGAGGGGGGAGGAAGAGAGAGAGAGAGAGAGAGAGAGAAAGAGAGAGAGAGAGAGAGAGAGGAGACGAGCAACCTTCTCGTTCGTGAGCCTCGAGCTCGCGCATCAGGGGTGGCTGGTTTGCGCGGCGCCATTGGCCGCGTTGCCACTGGGGGCGGTTCCGCCGCGTTAAGAATCGCACACACCCCTCCGCGACGGTGCAGCTACGTTGAAAATCCGCTAAATCGCGGTCTGCAACCCTCTTCTCTTCTCTCCCTCTGCTCGCTCTCCTCTGTCCTCTTCATCCTCCCTCCCCGCGTAGTCTCCGCGATGTCCCCGCCGCTCACCCTCCTTCCTCTTGCCGTCCTCGCTTTTGCTCTTTCTTCGTCATTCTTCGCCCGCGTTCCGTTCGCGCTTTATCCGTTTTCTCTCCCCGTCGTCCCTCTTCCTCCCTTCGATATATGTGTATGTGTGTGTGTGTGTGTGTGTGTGTGTTTTTATCCTTCTTCTTCTTCTTTTTCCGCGTTTCTTCTTCTTCTTCTTCTTCTTCTGCGTCTTCTTCGTCCTCCGCTGGCTCTTCCGTCGGATTCTTCTCTCCCGCGTCTTCGTTTTTTCGAACGCGGAAATAAGCTCGATCGCTTGGCGAAGGTAGTTTTCTTCGACTTCTGGGGCGAAACCTCGAAAACGGTATCGAGGACGCTATCGGGACGCAGGTGGTGGCATCGATCATCGATAGGCTTTAAACATGACGTAAGTGCATACACACGTACACCGGGTGTAGCGGAAGTCGCTTTCTCCTGACTACGTATTTCATCGCTGATTTAAACGTAATCGTGTGTGTGTGTATGTGTGAGTGAGAACGTTTCAATAAATTAATGAAAGATTATAATATTTAAATATTATAATATTTGAATATTATAATCTTTCAGAGAGAAAAAGAGAGAGAGAGAAGTATTCATTTCGCATTTAGTATTGATATTCGCATGAAATTAATCGCAAAACAAATTCTCGCTATTTATCTGCGTTTCCAAAGGACTTCATTTTAATCCGCTCGAGCCGCCGAACTTTCACATGCATACAATCGTTTGTCAATTAAAAAAAATAATTTGAAATCAAAACAACTAGTATTCTTTTTTCTAGTTCAATTAGCAACACACGTAGCTCCGAAAAAGCGTGACTTTCTTTTAGTTCACCGTGTACATACATATATGTAAGTAGTCGTATATATCTGCGGTAGAATTTGTACGAACGAGTAGCGTTTACTTGGCGTGAGAAAATTTCTTCAAAATGTCTTCGAAGCCGAAAATACCGGCTCTACAAATTGTCGTAATTTTTCCTGCATTGTTACGTTTTCTTGATTCATTATTGCTATATATTTTTTATTATCGCCATATTTAAGAACGAAGCTTACCTTCCGACGAAAGAAAAGAAAAAAGAGGGAAACAATCGTTTGGTACAAAAGTTAAAATAAATTCGTAGATTTCTGCTGCTTTTGTCGCGTCGTATACGTATAAAATAATCGACGGCGCAATCGACAGTGAAGATATCCGTTAAACTTGCCGTAAATTAGCGACGGGCTTGCCGCGGTCGTGCCGGTGGAACGGCGGATAAATATGCAATCATTTGATTGATGCAAGCTCGTATATATTTGATACATTGTGACACGCGTCCCCGGGGGATGCGCCATTTACGTTTCCCTCCGGCTCGTGTTTCTTTGATACTTAACGCATTGACTGCAAACGCGGAGACACTGCAGGTTCTTGCTTTTGCTTTCGTTTTTTTTTTCTTTTCTTTTCAATTAACAGGCAGACAGTGCGAGAGAGACCGGAATATCTGTCCTAATTATCGGGTCGATATATTTCCAATATGTTATCGCGTAAGGCAGACTTCTTCCCTCTCAGCTTCAGAAGCTAAATTTCCACTTCAGATCTGTTCCTATCGATTGAAACACAATTTCGTACGATATTAATCTTAAAATAGAAACGATTACAAAAAAGTATACGTCACGAGAGTTAGCCAGACTCCGTTTAGATAAACCATAGAAGTTGATTGTTGTTTAATTCAAGAAATTTCGTGGTACTGCGATCAAAACGAAGGCATTCTCTCACGCTCGGAAAACAGCGTCCAGCTTTATTTGTTTAATGCCGAAAATTTATTGCGGCCTTTGTCGCTCTTAATCGATTCGGAAAATCTATCGTAGACTCATGCGCGAAGAGAGAACAGTTCGTATTTAACTCCGCACGGTTGGTTCTGCAGAGATTCATTGCGATTTTTGCTCCGATCTCCTTCTCTCTCGCGTACCAGAGTTGATTAAAACATTTTAATATGTCTGTCGGTTTCTATAGACGGTGTGTATTAATACGGTTATTGAATTCCACCTCTCTGTCTCACATGTACTGTCTCTGTCCGGAAAGAGCGACAGAGAGGGAGTGAGGGAGGGAGGGGGAGAGAGAGAGAGAGAGAGAGAGAGAGAGAGAGAGAGAGAGAGAGAGAGAGAGAGAGAGAGAGAGAGACGGTCGGTGCATGCGAGCGAGAGCGAGCGAGGGAGAGAGATTGGAGAACAGAACGGCGCGGAGAAAGAGGAGAAATGAAAAGAGGCATGAATAGAAACGGTAGGAAGAAAGAAGCGCGCGCAATCTTTTTAATTATGAAAACACTGCTTTGTGTTTCATTTTGTTTTGTTGTCAGGGGGCGCTATTCTAATCGGGCGCTCTCCGACCACCCCGCGCTCCTCTTTCACCCCCCGAACCGGTACATCCACCCTCTCGTCGCCACCGCCGCCGCCGCCGCCGCCGCCGCCGCCGCCGCCGCCGCCGCCGTCGTCGTCGCCACCACCACCGCCGCCGCCGCCGCCGCCACTCCGGCGCGCACCATCTTCTTTTTTTATATTATAACGTGCGGCTCTCTCGGGCGGCTCTGATGGGTCAGGGGCGGAGGCAGGGCTGCCGGCAGGGTGCACGGCTAGAGAGGGTGCCAGGGTGAGATTGCTTTAGTAATGAATTACATAGCTCGGGGCTATGTGTCTCTGTCTGAAGAACACCACCAACGCGAGAGCGTCCGCGCTTCTCGGTTCTTTCCCTCCGCGAGCGCACGATTTTTTCTCTCTCTCTGTCTCCCCTTTTCTCCCTCACTCTCTCTCTCTCTCTCTCTCTCTCTCTCTCTCTCTCTCTCTCTCTCTCTCTCTCTCTCTCTTTCTCCCTCTGTCTCTCTCTCTTTCCCTGTTCCTCTGTTTTTTTCTTTTTTCTCTTCCTGTCGTTCTCCTTATGTTCTCGCGCGGCGTTCGACGGGCGAATCATTCTTATCAATGGTCACCGCGCGCGTGCTCGTTACACGTCGCGAATATTGCATGTCGAGGTCCTCGTTGGGTCATCATCGAGCATCTGTCTGATCCTGTCCTCCTCCTCCTCTTCTCCGCCGGTTTTTGCTTATTTTTTAGCGCGGTCTTCGATGAGAAACCGCGTCAAGTCAAATTGTTAATGGTGTCGCACGGCGTTCCTGCGAGAGGTGCCTCGTGTTTTTCGCATCCCCTTGCCGATGTCCCACGTTGTTTCCAACGACGAGTAATTTTAATTTTGCTCCGTGAGTCTGTCGAATAAAAGATTTGTCCTATTAAAACAAGAATAGACACTTGTTCGTTACGATGATGTAAAACGTCGCTCGAATGAAATTTAACCCATTTGTGTCCGTTTTATATAAACATTTGAGAAGCGCGAAGATCTCGAAACGAAGTCCAGCAGCTTAAGAATGCCCGACTGAAGTTCGTGAAGTTTTCTCGTTATCGCATTGGTGTAACGCGAATGTAAAAACTTCGCGCGCGTCGAGACAATGCGTCGCGTCGCATTGACGTCTCCCGATTACGATCGCGATTACTTGCAATCGCAATTCAGTCGTCACTCTCTGTCCCGAGTATGCTTCTGTGTCCGTCGCAGTGGGAAGATTTATTTATTCCGAAACATCGTCCAGATAAAATCTGAAAGGCCGTCGCGCATAAAATATTAATCTCTCGTTTCATCGATCATGCCGCCGCAATTTGAATTTTTCACTAAATTCTTACGTCGCTTTTTCGCATCGGGATAAATTCCCCGTCGATGAAAGCTCGTATCTATCGAATTGTTTGTACAATTTACATTTTTATACGATTCTACTCTTTGTCCCATTATATAGTTAGTCCCATTTATATCTCGTACAATCCTACAAAAACTTGCATTTCTGTAGAATCAGCAGATGTTTCATACAATTATCATATGCAGCTACGAATATTAATATTAATTGTCACTTTATATTAATTGCTATCGCACGTTGTCGTAATTTTATTGCGACATGTTATTAACGTCGCGGATGTTTTAATCGGCATGATACAAGCACGCTGGGGTGCGTCAATTAATTAAACATATGGATGTAGGCAGCTAATCAGCATTCTATCTTTTCGCATGAAGTTCTCCGGTAGTACAACCGCCGTAAAATGGAAAGGCTGCTCGCGAAAAGCAAGAAAGGCAGGCGAACGAACAAACTCGCAAAATTCCTTTTCATTTGCATTATTACGGTAATGAGACTGAAAAGCCGGAAAATGTCGGGCTTTTGTCACAGAGGGATTGTCCGCCTGGTCCATTCATTGATTACGTCGGTAGAGAGACGGGGTATACGCGGTACATAATATCTCAGCCAATCCACCCTAAAGATAATGAGTGGTGGGCTTTGCCTTTCTATTTGTTGCTCTAAATATCTCGATATATAACTGGACGCCAGCGGATTGCGCCCGTCGGTCTAATAGGGCGCAATTACACGACATTAGCCGCGATCCTCGCTGGATTTCTCGCAATTAATCGTCGCTGTCTCGTAACGATCGAGTAACGGTTGGAATAAACGGATAAATCGGTAATTAAAATAAGCTTTGAAGAGGAAAAACAAAATGTCCAGTGGCGAATTATATGTATTTCGTGTAAAACCTCCAAGGAAGGAATTTTGAGGATAATCGAGGATATGTACGAAGGACAAAAACGAAAAAGAAAATTAAAAAAAAAGAAATAAACTCGAGAACGCGGGAACGATATAGCGACATGGCATCTTACCCGTCGCTTATTACGGAAATGACAAATATCTGGACAGACGGTTCGCTCTTTAAATGCGCGTTACTTAATTTGCGAGGCACGCGAGATATGTTAGCGGGATCTCACTCCGCGCACGCCTAGATGTATCTCGTTAATGTAATTCCAACGGATACGTGCGGGCGTGTGTGTATATTGCGTGTGTATCTTTCGCGCAGCACGCCTGGCGCTGAAGGTACGCCGACAAAAATCTACAAAGAGAAAATTTACCGATGACGGCGAGGGTAAAGCGATGCGAACACGCCACGTGAAAAGGAAGGGTTGCCCGTAGAAAGCAGAGATCTAGGATCGCGAAAAAGAGAGTGGAATTTCACAAAATCATTTTTATCCGCGGCACAAAGAGAGAAAGGCGCAGGAATATTATTTGCTGCATTTCTGGATAATATTCCGTAAGATCCTCTGGAAATTATACACTGAAATATATAATTAGACGGTAACTTATATAATTTTTCTAAAAGATTTGCGAATTTGAATATTTTAAAGCTCGAACATCCAAGATTATTTAATCATTCTCCTTATTGCCTTTCTTAGAAGACGTTTTGTGCCGTCGATATATCAAACGTATCAAATCTTCGGATATGGATTTTTGCGATAAGCATGAAAATGATAAGAGAACCTCAAATCTTAAGTGAATGCCATACTCGAAAATTTAATCGAAAGTGCTTACATTTTTCTGCAAACTTTACGTCAATTGGCAGAATTACAAATTTTATTTTATTTTCACACGATAAAAATGAATTAGAGTATTGCTTGATGCGTGACGGAAACGATAAAAAATTAACGCTAATATTTGCCTCATAAAATTTCTGCTCGCAGGGGAATTTCAGGGGAAGATTATTGCTGCATTTTTACAGCATGAATTTAGAAATATAGAAATACACACAGAGATACAAAAATAAATACAGAGAAGTTTGCCGACAGATTCCTGCAAAGAGAACACGACATTCCCTTAACAGATCTCTCAGAAAAGAATTCAGCGACGCTCGTAAAATAAACAATGAAAGGAATTTACCGAAGCTCTGTCCACCCTCTAAACTTCGACCAGGAGAGGAAAACGGCGGAGACAAGAGAGGAAACAGACTAATCCTTGCGGTCAGGAGTCGCTCGTACGTCACGCAGGCTCAGGGATGGTCGAGGGTGGTGCACATGTTACGCGCACCCGCGTGCGCGTAACAATAGTTTAATATTCATATTGTCACGTCCGAGTCAAAGGAGCGACAGTGGGCACCGCGCGCTCCTAATTCATCGGACAAAAATACGTTCCCTTTCAGGGGCGCGTTTGCGTCGCTCGTTGATGAATCCACTCGGAGTCGTTGACGCGAGAGCATCGCTGCACCACTCACGACCCGGATTCGTAATTAAACTTAGCCCTCTTCGCAATGCGTCTCATGTTTTCGCGTTTGTATACCGCGATGGATTCAGAAGTGATTCGTTGTTGATAAAAATATCGAGGTATCGATATTCGCTTCGTGAACGAAGGACAAGCGATTGGAGCGTTACAAGTGATTTCGGCGGAAATTAAATCTCGGGAAATGTCTCAAAGAAAATGACGCAAAATTCTCGCTTGTTTCCGCGACCGAGTGGCGAGCGGACGTTATCCCGATGAAATTTCAATTTGCAATTCGATTGTGACGATATTTTACGATTAACTATTTCGAGAAACATGCACATAAAAAAATATACACTGTATTTGAGCAAATGTTACTTTTTTCAAATATTTCGTAAATTCAAGTACTTCGTACTTCATAGATTCATTTCATCAAATTTCCTCAGAATATAATCCGAATCCTAGTCAGTACTTCGATCAAGAATAAAAAATTAAGACAAAAATTCTGCAGGCCGAAAAATGTAAATTTTGCAGAAGTTATCATGAATAACATGTGGCGACACATAATGAACAACAGAAACACGACGTTCAACGGTACAGCGATAAAATCACAAACTTGTTGCAGCGAAAACTTTCGTTGTCGAATATTTTTTGGCGGATAAACAAAGATTCATTCCGCGACACTACGCGAACTTATCGCGGGGCAATACGATGCATCTCTACACGGTTTCCTGGGTCTCTCCCGCTCTTCTTCTCGTCAGTACTCCCGCTGTATCGAGAAGCTCGTCGGAGAGCCTTAGGGATGTTAATTCGCGAAAGCGGGAATGGGATATCAGAGAAGAGGCTCCTATATTAATAACTTGTCAAGTTCTCCTCGATAAAACTTCCGTTGACGGAGAAAAGGGCGACACGTCGTCGATATCCGGCGAACCGCGAGAGTTGAGAGCGGCGTCGCGATTCAAAGAGACGGCGCTTTAACTTGATAATTTTAGAAGGGAGAGCCTCATAATGTAACAAGGAGATCCCATCGGAATTGAATTTACGCTTAATTATCGTTTCGTAAAGTTAATGACGAATCTAATATTTCGCATAAAAGATATATTAGTATTGTGCAACTTGAAGACGTCTCAAGAAGCGTTTAATTCCAGAAATTCTTCGTGCAAATCAATAGTCTTGCTGTGAAAAAATGTTCAATGTAATATAAAATTTACGAATAATTAAGTTTACTCGAATCAATTGTGTTTGATTTTATCGTAAAGAACTAGTTTCTCGATTTATCCTGTTTATCATTCACAGGATGCGTCTCACGACCCATCCGCTATTTATTGCACTCTTGCCTCTCACCCCTCTCGCTTCCCTCTGGCGCCGCTCACCCCTCCAGAGATGAAATCGCAACGAGAGGCGGCCCTTCTAAGGACACCCACGATTGGACGCCGAAGGGATGTGCCGGCCTCTCGGTAATAATCCTCGCGGTGTCCTTGGCCGCTCCATCGTTGGCATTTAATGAGAGATGGAATAAGCGAAGCGAGAAGGGACACGGGGGTAGTTTAGACGCACGTCACTGAGACATTTTATTTGTCTAATTGCGAGACACAATAACGAATCGTGATGTGCGAAAAATACTGATACGCATTCCCGAAATGTCAAGAAAAAAGAGAAGAAACTGCCGAGAGAGAAACGATCGAGAATAATCGTCGTAACGATCGCGCGCGATTGAGGCATAATTAATAAAAATATAATACATCTCCAAATATCTCGAGAATATATAGTATCGATAACTGAAAGACATCCCCGCTCGCAACGGAACACCTGTGTCCGCGCTCGACGTCGGCCTCAACGCAAATCTTCGCGTCGTCATTTCGTTACCTTCGAAATATTAATCTCGGGCGCTTCTGGCGAACACACGTGCGCACCACCAATCTATATGACGACTACGACGACGACGACGATGACGACGACGACAACGACGACGATAACAACGACCACAATGACGACGACGACGGCCACGACGACGACGACGACGACGACGACAACGACGACGACGACGACGACGACGACGACGACGACGACGACGACGACGACGACGACGACGACGACGACAACGACGACGACGACGACGACGACGACGACGACGACGACGACGACGACGACAACGACAACGACGACGACGACGACGACGACGACGACGACGACGACGACGACGACGACGACGACGACAACGACAACGACGACGACGACGGTCACGACGATAACGACGACGACGACGATGACGATGACGACGACGACGATAACGACGACGACGGTCACGACGACAACGGCAACGACTACGAGGAGGTGGAGGAGTAAGAGGAGGAAGAGGCACGAAACGAACATTGTGCGCACGCCATAACAGCGTAGCAATAACAGCGTTCCATTATATGTAGCTACACCGCGGGCGGCGAGATTGCAAAACATGCCTAGATTAATGTTTTCTCATCCCGCGGCTTTGTTGTGCAACGCGGGGGCGAGAGCGGGCAGGGAAAGGGGAGCGTGAGCGGGCGGCGAGGGTGGACGGAGAAGGGTGGCGGCGCACACCCTCCCGCCGCGAAGCAGAACTCCGCGCTCTCACTCCTGTCGTTCCCCGCCGCGCTCTGCCTCTCTCATCCACCCCCCTACATCTATATACAATCGCGTCATGCGACAATGAACAGTACGAATTACGTTGCATTCTCTTTTGCGGCTCTCTTCGATCGGTCCTCCGCGCGCGCACGGGCTTCCGCCGCGCGTCATTGTTCGCTCGGCGCCAGAAAGGAGGCACCAGCGTGAGAGATTGCGAGGACACGAAAAAAATAGATAAATTAGAAGGTACTGATGAAGAAGGAATTACGCGCGCGGCGAGGTATGTATCGTGTACCGCGTGAAAGGAAAAATACGGGATGGGACATACCGAGAGTATTGTGTGTCCTTCTCGCTAGGGAAACTCTTCGGCCGTTATCATCGTTGCACCGCAGGAAAAGAGGTATAGGAAGCGGTAAAAAAAAACCTAAAAGAAAAAATGACATTGCAGACTAGATCTCATTTAGATTGATTGCAAAGATAATATGTACATCTGAAAACTAATCATCGCGTTAATGACAATTTCATTCGACGTACAATTTATATTTTATTCTTGTGATATTTCGCGACGTGTATACGATTGCAGTGAGAACAGTTTCAATTAGAAAAGTTAAATAAATCTCAAATTAGAGAATTAAGTTATCGGCATTTGACAAAAACAAGTAAAGAAAATTATAGGAAAATTATAGGAGAATAGGATTGAAAATCATGATAGATTTTGACAGATAGACAAAATAGCAGTTAAATTTTATTCGATATCACATATCAATTTTACTTATATATTTCTCGTATTTCTATTTATTTTGTTTATATACGTATGTATGTGTATTAATTTCAAAATCTTTACACTTACTTAGACAAGGGAATGTTTCAGGATATTTCGTCAATTATAAAAACTTTCAATTAAAAACTTTTTAATTATATTTTCAGTAAACCAGACGTCTGTAAATTGCAAGTGTTCACCGGGTACTAAAAGAAAATGGAGTTTGCCAGACATGTCCATCGCACGTAATCCAAGCCGGTCCTGCAAATGATCAAACATGTATGTTAGATTACAAAACAGCATGTCAAAAGTTCTTAAATCGACTACTCGATTACTTACTTCTTGATACAATTCGCTTTCTTGCAAGCTCTGTACTTCCTTTGCTTCACCAGGTTTATAGAATCCGAACCATTCGGTTTCTACTGGTTCCACCATTGTATCATTCGCGAATTTCACGAGAACCAAATTGTGAAGCTTTTGAAGATTACTCTTATAATACTATCATGTAATCAATATAAATAATTAATATAACAATCAATATAAATGATAAATTACTATTTTAATAATTCAATGATTTTCATAAATTATTTACTGCTAATGAGTGCGTTCGAAAAGACACTATTAATGTTATCAGCGCAAAGGCTACCAAAATTATTCGTAGAGTTAATAGCGCGATAATAGTGAGTTTTATAAGTAGCAACAGCGTTAATATTATTACGCCATTTCCACAGTTTAAGCACTTCTTCAGTTTTGACATTCTAAAGATGCATTTAAGTGCAATTATCCATTACATACACGAATAATAAATACGATGTGCCGGTAGCGTTTAATAATTATGTACAGTGACAGATATGCGGTCCGTAGTGTTTTAAGTGTTTGCGAAGCTTACAAACAATAACGTTATCAGTGAACTATTTCGGAATTATGTTAATGACGCGTAATTAAGGCGTGTACGCTATCATCAATAACGTCGCGATTTGTAGCGTTACTATCCGCGACCAGTCTGTAAAACTAAACAGTGCTATTAGCACTGTTCTTTCCGAATGCACCCTATGTAACTTATTATTTTTCGAATTTTTATATTTTAATTATATCTAGGATTTTAATTCGTGATTACATACTTCGTTGATACCATTTTCATTATTGATATCGGAAAGGAATATATTTTTCTTTTTATATTCTTCTATATTCAGAGGATCATGCCAGAAGGCAGCTTGCACTAACGACTCTTGAATAAACCTGAGAAAATATTTAATGTATGATAAGATAAAATAATGATTTTAGGAGAAAAAATTACTGATTATATAATATGTACCATAAGTATGCACCGTGATAAAGCATACGCCGCATATATCTGCACAATACAGATGTATTTGAACACCTTGGCAAACCATAAACACCTTGATGTTGACCACCCAGAGATATTAAATTTTGCATTGGTGGATCAGGACATCTTTGAGCTATTGCTCTCCTAAAATAGAGAACAAAATCATAATACATATTATAAAGTTAAAATTGTAAATTATAACAAATTCCAACTTACAGAAATTGAGCTCCTTGAGAAAAACCAATAGCATTGTATCCCTGTTGTAACCTTGAGTCTTGTTGCAGTTGTTCACACACCTGTTTTATTTGCTCATTGATATTACCTAAGTAACTGTTTTCCACATCCTACAAGATATTTCTATATTAAAACAAGATCAAATTGTAATAAAATAAAAAATATTGTTATACATAATTTTAAGATAAAAAATAAATAAAATTTTAGGTTATTCTATATAATCATATGTATTATCTAGTAAAATAAAATAACAAAAATAAATATTAATAAAAGAAGATAAATTAAATATTAATAAAGGAAAAAGAAATACAGGAAAGAACAGGATATAAAAAGAATTATCTATTATTAAAATATTTTTCTAGATTTATTTTCATAATAAACTTCATGATAAATATAATTATACATAATGCTATCTCCTACCTGTATAACATCATCTCCAATACGTATGGAATTTACATAGACGTTTGGTATTTCATTCTGAAGAATTTGCTGTATTTTTCCAAGGCTGAATGAGAAACAGCAGCTATCACCTGCAAGATAAATATATTCTTGATATTATAATAAAGTAAAATATATGATGCTTCCAAACTAAATAATAAAAGACTACAAATTGTGCAATAACTTGTTAAAAGTGATATTTCATGCTGTAAGAAAAAATTATTTCAAATTTCATATTCACAAGAGGTCAATGATACAATATTTAAAAGCAATAAATCCAGAATCTAAAACGATAAATAATAGAATACTTCTAACCTTTTCTGCAAATGTCAAATTTGAAACATTTGACACAAATATCTATTATAAGTTAATAATGTTTGATTGCTTTGCACATAAAAAAAATTCCATTCATAACATTTCATTTAGAAGCGATAATAGGCTTATCACAATGCTCATATATCAGGGAGAAGCTGATATATAAAGCTTTCTCTAGTGAATTTAATTATATCTCAAGGAAAATACAAATGTTCTTATGTACGACTGAATGTCATGAATTCATTTGACAGCAATATATGCAACAAAAAAGAAACTATCGCAATTCATCAAACTCAAACCCTGAAGTTATTTATGTATTGACATAAAGTACGCAACTAGTATAACTTATTATTATGACACTATGTTGCATTGATTTTGACTATATTAAGAAAGAATATAGTAAGGACAAGAGAAAAATAATACAATGTGAGAAAGCATAGAAAGTAAGGTGATGTGAGGAAAAACAGATCTAATAGTCGTAGTAATCGTAAAGCAATAAAACTCACCCATTCCATGCCACAACACTATTGGCGTCGGTGAAATGGCTGTAACATTTTTTTCGTCGTGTAAACAATGACCGGCATCCGGCAAGAAAAATAACGCAATGGCAAAAAGACAAGCGCAGTTTGTTATCCACGTTTGCATGACACGAACCATGTTGACCGCCCAACCTCGCAAATGTTTGTGCAAATGAATACGTTGCAATATCTTACACACTACTAACAAACGTTAAATGCAATAGAACGTCACGCGCAGTGTAACAAGCAATGACAAGTTCGATCGTATCTTTGGATATACATATATTTACCGACAGTAACGCGCTACGTGGTCATAATGGAAAATACTTCCAACGGCTTTACATTCGATCGGTAAAACAGATTTCATCCTATACGTATGATTACAAATATATACTTTTTCTTTCTTTTTCAAAAGTGTTAAAAATATTTAAAATGCTTTGTGCTTGCTTAACAAAACATATAACCTACTTCTATATTGAAACATGGTGTAATTTAATGATCATATAATGCAATTTAACGAGATAAAAGAGTTCTTAATATTTTGAGAGATTTCTCACTTTATACTGTACATCAATCTCACGGATGCCTCATTATCAGTAAATCGATAGTTATTAAAAGATTCCAGCTACAGCTACACGCACACATATATGCAATTTCTTGCTATACGTTTCTTATTACTATTGAATAATTCAGACTGTGAAAACATAATAAAAGATAAAGTAACATTATATAAGTTTTACATCATAGAAATATAAATTTCATTATTTACGTAATAAAAATTCAATTTTCATTATGTACATAATAGAGATCCTACTTTTTTAAATTTTCTTAAAAAGCTTTAAAAGTTAAAATCTAATGTACTATCGAAACGAATAACGAATGTGAAACCGTACCTTCTTTGATATCAACGAAGCCTGAAGAACTTCTGACGCAATCAGAAATAATTTGTGCATAATTTCATGCTGTGTATCACGCAAGAACTGCCAATTATAAAATCACACGTATGCGGAATATTGAAAAATTGCATCGACCATGATTCCGTAATTGCATATAGTTTGCCGAGTTGAGCACGACACAGTCACGCTTGCGATCTGCACGTTGCATACTCAGTCTCGCCTTTCTACCGATCCTCGCATTCTTACATGCGATTCCGAATCGCGTGGCTCATTACGGGCCACCGACGTGAAAGCGCATCGCATCGCCGTTGTTATTTCCACGCATTAGCGAATGCCATTCGGTTCTTCGCGGTTGGCGGACGGCAGCGGGTATGCTGGAAGGAACAGCCGCACCGAGTCCGTCGGAGCTCCGGGAGGGTTGCGTCGTTCGTTTAACGGAGAGAGGAGTAACTGGGGGAGAGCGAGGGAGACAGGGTAGGAGAACCGGAGGCGAACCAGTGGCCGTTTTGTTTAGCGAATCGCCGCGATATCCGGAACACAATGCGCGATATCCAAGCCGCTTGTTCCGGGATACATTGTTTCCGTTCTTCGGCGTTCTGGCCGCGTATGGAAATGCAGTAATCACTTAAAGCGGATCTGTGCCGACGACCATCATCGGCACAGCAAGCGGGAAAAGACCCAGGCATTGTGTGCAATCTCATCGGGAGTCGCGGCCGTAGCGCGTGCACGCAGCTCTCTTCTACGTATGCTTGGTTGCTCCTTTCTTGAGACTCATCGGTGATATCGTTGTATCATTTTGCTTTCGTTCGAAAGTTCAGCTTCAGATCTTTCTAAGATCATCAATTGGAACTTAATATTTCTTGGAAACAATCAATTCAGCTGCCCCAGTTATCTGAAAAAATAAATAAGTTCTAAAATTATCAATTAAACGGATAAGTTCTAAGATTATCAGTTGAAATTTAATAATATTCAATCGAATACGTTACGTATATATATCAAAATTTCATAAATCTATATGAGAGAGAAAATAGTCAAAATTTTAGAAATTATTAGTTGGGATTTAATGTCTTATGTTGATACATCGTTGATTGGATTCTCATAATTTCAATCAGAGATATGTAATTTCCAATTTCGTATTAGACACGCGACAGCAGAGTTGAAACGCGTAAAAGAGGGCTAAGAACAAAAGGCGATTTCCGCGGGAGTCGAAAATAGGCGCATCCGATATCGTAACAGATGCTGCAGCGAGCGGAAAGAGACGCGAGTAAGGGAAATATTAGGAGTGAGTTTGAGGAGGAACAGGGGAGGAGGAAGAGAGGTAGAGAAAGAGAGAGAGAGAGAGAGAGAGAGAGAGACGAAGGGAGAAGGAGATCGATCGAGGAGATGATGGAGAGGGAGATCGACATATTAAATAGGTGGGCAACGACTGCGAGTGCCGGCCAGCCCAATGAGAGGTAAATTAAGCGGAAATCTTCCTGGTAAGATTCAGGACTGCCGCGGTCAAGGAATCCCTCGCGCAGGAAATTTAACGCCCGCTCTTCGCATTGCGCGATCGCTCGAGAATTTGTGAAACCGACTCACCCTCCGTTCTTCTAATCGGAATAACTTCGAAGAAAGAAAATCTTCCTTCTCATGTATCTTTTCTATTTCTTTGGATTCTTCTTACGTTGCAAAATATTATAATATCGGATCGAGTTCGCATAAAAAATTCTAATCAAATCAAACATCCCCTTTTAAGTACATATCTACGTTACATTGCTTCCGTTAAACGAGAGTACCGCGAGAGTAGAAGAGTACGAGACTACGACAGTGGTAGATTCAATCCCTGGCGAGAGTCACAAACGATCATCGCTCCTATTTACGTCCGCAAAAGAAAACACTCGGCCCCCGGAAGGAAAAGGGGACTTTCTCCTGAAAAGATGAACGGAGCTCCAACGGCGGCCCGAAGATCGGTCGGGCATCGCGGAACGGAAGAGTTCACCTCTTCATGTTCGCGACCACGCCAGTGGTGGTATGCTGCGACGCGCGTCGCCACCCTTTTACCCTCCACTCTTCCGCCGCTCAATCTCTCGCTCTCTCTCTTTCTCTCTCTCTCTCTCTCTCTCTCTCTCTCTCTCTCTCTCTCTCTCTCTCTCTCTCTCTCTCTCTTTCTCTCTTCACGTCGTCACTCCGTTCTACCTCTACCCGCAGCGTAATGAATCCAGTTTGTCGAACTCCACTGCCTTCTACGGCGCGTCGCCGGAGAGATTTTCCCGACCTAACCATCCGAACTATCCATCCATCCATCCATCTATCCATCCATCCATCCATCCATCCATATATCCATCTATCCATCCGTCCGTCCATCCGTCTGTCTGTCCGTCAGTATGCTCATCCGTCCGTTCGCCGGTAACTGCAGCACGCGAACCACTGTGCTTTTCGGTGCCACCCCCGCAGCGGCGGCCAACCCGCGCGCAGTCATTTCGCATCTCTCCGCCGGGGCATCCCCTTCCTTACCCCGCGCGCCGCGCGCACCCGATGCCCGTAATTACATCGAGTTCCCTTGACGATGGGGGGAACGGGAGGGAGGGTAGGGCAGAGGTTCTAATTAATCAGCTAGCCGCACCGCGCGCGAATCGTTCTCGGCACACGCGCTGCGGCACGCCTATAGGTTGACCGTCGACCAAAGCACCGTGGTCCCCTTCGCGGGGATTCCTCCCCCTCCCCGTCCCACCTCTGTCCTTTCGCCACCCTCTCCTGAGCCGGTGTTGTTAACCCGTTAGTTAGTCGCGTTCAACTCGCGTAGCGTAATTAGTCGCACGAGGTAATTATGTGTGACCTCGTTACATTATTCACCATTACGGAATTCGCCGCTGAATTAGAAACTAATGGTCTCACCCAATTCGCCCTTGAATTAATCTTGAACGAGAAATAAAGACGACACATCGTTCCCCCGAATTTATCGCTGAGAAAGGAATGTTAAGTGGTCGCAATTTTCTTCTTCAGTTTGTCCGCGGCGTTTCTCTGGCACTGACTCCAGCAAGGACGATGTCTTGATAATCCTATGATAATATGTAAATAATTAATCTTATCTTTCGGAACATGCATATAGACGACATTCGCAGACACAAATAAGCGCTAAAAACGACGAAAGAGTTGCACATGTTAAACACATGCGATAACGATTTTACAACGGGAGGCGTAAATCAACGGACCTGGTTACGTCCGCGCCAGTCGAGCCGCTTCTTGCGACCTGACATTTTTTAATCGGTAATGATATCCCCAGCTGGAGCTCTCCGGCGAATATCGTTTACCAGACTGGGCCAGATTCAAAACCGGAACGCCCAACGAAGGGTTAATCGGCTCATCGCTCGCCGCGGAACGGGGAAAATCGACGTTCTTTGTTGCCGCTTTGTTCCCGGGCGGCCTTTCAACGGCGGATCTTCATCGCCCCTCTGCAGAACGAGAGGGGGAGAGGACTTCGGGCAACATTGGTTTCGGGCAATAATTACTCGCTGGAAACCACTAACCCGAGAATACAGGACCGGAGGTTTCGCCACGGCCGCAGCTGCGGTGACGTCGTGCTAATGAATCTATTTTGCCAATTCTCCATATCGGCTCTTTCTCTCTGTCCCGCCATTTCGTCCAAACATCCTCCCCTTTACTGTTCCCCCGCTGCAGAGAGATATCCTGTTCGCCGATCAGGAAAAAATATCGACAGTTTTTTTCTAATCGATCGATACGGAGAAATGTCAGCGTTCTACTGTGCAATGTAATCATTTACAATGAATCTGTAGTCAACAATGAGAAGACCATGACAAAAATTATGCTATTTCTTAATAATATAAATATTGGAAAGTAAATACCGTTGTTGCGACGTCGTTAGCCATTTTTAATTATTCGTGCGACATCTATCGGTAATATATCGCGACTTTTGTTTTTATTTATTGATTGTGAGAATGTAGCGATTACCGGTACCTATTCCGACTATTTTATCAACGGAGGAGAAATAGGCAGTAAAGTTATCCACAATTTATCGAGCAAAAGTGGCGGTTATATCGTCAACACTTTTGGAGCATCTTATGCTCGTTGTCAAATAAACTGTCATAATCATTTTATATTATATTTTTCGATTTAACATGGATAGTGATTACTATCCTACCATGTATGCATGGTAAGTGTATATAAACAACGTATATATAATATTATACTTGATTACAATATAAAATAAACAAATTTGCAAGGTTATCTGGTTCTATTTTGTATATGTATGTAAATATATACATCTGTTGTGTGTCTCATTAGGTTCGACAAATGCGGAATTATATCGAATATTAGAACATACCTGCGCCAAAATTTAGTGAACGCTTTGAAGGGTAAAGATTTGGGACTATGTCAGAGCAGAGAGGTGAAATCTGCAAAGCAGTATGTTTACGATATGTTAATAGCAGAGTATCTATTTAATCACAATTATTCCTTTACTCTGTCGATATTTGCTAGTGAAGTTCCACTTTTAGTAAACTTTTATAACAATATGCTACATCGCTCTGATGGCAATGACAAAGATGGCAAAGATGGTAGTAAGCATAAGTTGCAGAGCGATTATATAGAACATACCTTGGAAACATTGGGCATTGATCCAAAAAAGCCTGAAGGTCAACACATCATATCAAGTTATTTGAACAGTGAGACACCTCTGTTGTTATCTATCTTAAATTATATAAACTTTTCTACCGTCAATACTCAATCTTCAGTCAGAGAAGACCCTCTGTATGACAAGGAAATACAAGCTAATTTAGCCCTGGAAGCAAATATTATAGATACAGCAAAAATACGAACAATGAGAAGAAAAATTATACAGCAGAAACAATTGTATGATGATGAATTAAGGACAAAGGAGAGCAAGTTGAAACAGCAAGCTTCTGTCATAAAACATCAACTTAGTTCTCTGAATGTAAAATTGGAAGAAGCTCAGGTGATATACTAAATTAAACATTTTTAAATATCTCTTTTAACTGTAATGCAAAATTTCACATATGTAACATAATCATAACTGATAAAGTGATATCAATATATGTAAATATATAGATTAATATATTATATATAGATTAATTTTATATAATTTCTTATGCATCTAGAATTTAATGCAGTCTTTGACACTGAAAGAAAAACAATTGAATGAGAAGAGAGACAGTGAGGCACGAAACATTTTACAGAAGGAAATAGAGTTGTCTATGAGACAGAATTTTTTAACACAAGAAGCTAACAGGTATTCAGTGCTAATTAAAAAGATTAATATTAATAATTGATAAAAATATGTACAGTTATATACTATATAAATTCTAAGTAATAACTAATATTTTTGTAATTTTATGATTTTGTAATCTCTGCCTGCATTTCAAAGCTCTACATTGATGAATATGATTTCAGATTGCAGAAAGAACGGAACAGTTACAGGAAATTTGAGGATGATTTGAAGAAACTTCAACGAGAGCTAGTGAAGATGCAGAAAGAACTGTCGCAAGGCGCGCAAAACCAATGCGGCCAAACGACGAGTGTCAGAAATATTCACGTGCAAACTGACTTGGAGAACTGTACGTTAATGGACGAGTGCAAAGCACTGCAGAGAGAGAAACTGGAACTGTCGAATCTTGTGCAGGAGCAACGATCCAGAATAGAGCAGATCACTCTGCGAAGCGTACAGCTGTCGCGTCAATTGGAGGAAATGCGTTCGCTGCGATCTATCGTCGACGTTGAAGTGCCGGTTTCTGTAACCGGAGTCGGCGCGAATGTGATCGTTAGTGAGAGCAGTTCCACAGAAGATATCTTACAGGACGCTAAGATGAGGCTAAAACGTTTGGAAGAGGAGAGCTCGAAAGCCGATCAGTATTTCTGCAGTTTTGTCAGCACATCTTCGTAGCGAATAAGATAACTGAAACTTCGTTGAAGTTTCGTGAAGTTTGTTTATTATTTATTGTCGCCGTATTATGCACGTTTGATGTTGCACAGCGTACACCATGTGCATCAACCACAAAAGTTGCAATTTGTCTCCGTCCTCCTATATTAAAAATGAAAGAAAAAACTGGATTATGGAAATATGAAGAAAAAAATAATTTCTTTCGATGATCAGACAATTAGATAGTTTATTTTATAAAATTGGATGTTAACTTAATATACAAATTATCCACTATTTCTTCTTACTTTATTTCGAATTCTACAATCATTACATGCAACACCAAACATAGCATAAAAAATGTTAAGTCGGAATCTTCTCCGTTGTTGTACATCATCTCCGTTTCGGGTCTGAACTCCTCCTGGTGCACTTGAGGTTAAGGATTATATATTACTTTAATATTTGCAACTGGATGTTAGAATATTTAATCAAAACACTATCGTGGTATCAGTAATATAAGTTGTAGAAAATAACAAAGATAGAAAATATTGGAATATTTTTACATATTCGCACTTTATTAAATAAAAATTTGCACTTATTATAGATAAAAGTATAGAAAAGGATATTGTTTATCACGATTCTCACGGCCTTCGCGTTCATGAGGACGATCCTTTGCGTATGGAGATTTTTCCTGAAAATAGATTCTTGAATGAATCTTCCGTATGTCACGATTTCTTGCGGCTGACATTGGGTACTTGAGACTGTCACCTATACTTTCTTGTTTTTGCTATTGCCGTCCATTTCGTCCCTTTAACGTACTCGAAGTAGACGTCTTTATCAACTATGAAGTCAAGTAATAGAAAGTTGTTAAGAAAATAATAATCTGGATTCTCCTTTTATGAAAGAAGCCAGCTAATTAGAAAAATCTACAGAAAAAAAATTGCAATTTCTACGTAAAAAATCTCACAATATATAATGTAATTTGATCGAAGTATCCAAAACACAAAATATCGGAAATACGCGTATTTTGCAAGGCATAGAGCTGTGAATTAATTGAACAATATTTTGTATATTTCAATAATAGTTCACGCGAATTAATGCAAATCACGTATTACAGTTATTATTTCGTCATCAGTCTAATCATACTGTGTATTTCTTAAAACTTTAAATGTTTCTCGTACTCTGCGTGCGTGTGTATCCTAAAGAGTTTTATAACAAACTTGGAAAAACATCCAAAACTAAATAAAGAAAATGTAGAAAATATCTACGAATTTAGCGAGTAAGAACATTTTAAATACAATATAAATTAGCACTTATCGTACCTGAGATAAGTTATATAGAATGTGAGAGAATTAATAAAATAATAATAATAATAATGTTCACAATAGAAGAAAAAAGAAGGTACATGATCGACTATGTCTCTAACAAAAGCCTTTCAATGTGATATTACATTATTAAGGAGAAATGCTGATTAATAAATACCAACCTTACTGTAATGATGTTTCTCTCTATGCTCAGGAATGTCGCCGTTCTGATGTGTCCCTTTGGCTGAGAAACATATTCATTTTTTAATATCTATTTTTTGCAAGTGATCTCTGTACGATTGCCATGCAGTCAGTTCGTACATACGCTAGTTTTTATACTATGGTTTAAAAATAATTACGGACCTCTTTCATCATCCTTTCTTCGCTTTTGTTCAGTAGTCGCCACAGATTCATCCGTTCGATCCTGCGCAAAATACTTATTTAACAATTATACGGTTCTCTGAATTATACATTGTTGCATTACGCATATAATTACCCTTTTTCGTCCCTGTTTTTTTTCCCTACGCAGCTCTTTCTGTTCATCGCGCGTTTTCCCTTTGCTGGAGCGTTCTTTCTTATCAAGGGTAGGTTCCACTCGCCTTCCTTCCTGCTGTATAGAAATATATTTATTTACAAAGAGAAATGAAAGTAAGTTAAAGTTTGTAATACAAATAATATAGTTACCTTTGGAGCGCTCTCTACTTTTCTTCTTTTTGCGTCTGAAATTGAATATAAAAAGAAATGAAATTTAATATAAAAAAAAATTTATATATTGTTATATTATTTATATCAACATATGACAACAACCTAAAGTATCCTCTTGGACAATATGGAGAATATTTAATTTCACAAAATTCTAATTTCACAAATATATTTTATATACAGCCAGAGTAAACGATATCATAAATATGGTTATAACCAACCTCTTTCAAGGCCTTCTTGTGTCGGTCCTGAACTGGCACTACTATTTGACACACTAGAAAGATCTCGATCTAAATTGTCTACACCACCGCTATAATAGTGCTCTTCCTGAAATTATAAAATATATAATACATGAAACTGAAAGGAAACTAAATTATAAATCTTAATTACAAGAGACATCCAATATATAGCACTGATAATATATAACATTAGATAAAAATGTATAAATAAATATTAGATTAACATTAGAGAAACATTAACTAACGTTTAACTAATGTTAAAATTTAATTTGTTATTAATTTTAACGTTTAAGTTCCAAAACTTCTTTATGATCTAGGAAAAATAGTGTCTCACATTGATATAATAGCTACCTTATAATATTTGCGTTCCTTTTTATCTTGTCCTTCTTCTTCCTTCACTTCTTCTTTTTTCACGTGTTTTTCTTTTGCTTCTGAAACATCTTTGCTATCTTCTTTCTTTCTGAGCTTTTCTGTGTTTTCACTGTTCAGAGAAATAACATTATAATAAATACGTAAGAAATAATTAGATTTAAAAAATATTTTCCACAATTAAAAATTAATATAATAAGATCAAATTAATTCCAATTAAAAATTTGCAAGATTTTCTTAAATCATTTAAAATAATTTCTACCTATAAAAGAATAATTCATAATCATGGTCATTTCTAATATAACTTGTGTGTGTGTGTGTATCACAGACATCATGTACTCACTGATGTGCTGGATTAGATGAATTCCGTTTTTCTCGTTGTTCTTTATTTTCCTTTTCTGGTCGATTATCTCCATTATTAATTTCTTTCACCGTTACTCCATTACTGACTTTTTCGTTTGTATCATTATTTGTAGTATCTTGTGTCTTCCCAGCCTGTATAAGTAAATGTAGTGATATAAATATTCCTGTAGTATAATTTTTCGAAAGATAACTGCATAATTGTAATGTTAATTGTGAGAATATAAAATACAAGAAAAACTAATTGTATTACAAAACGCAAATTCTTAAGATGCAATATCCGTTTTTCACTGCCAGTAAATGCTAAATTTCTAAAATTTCCAAATTTTTAATACACATTCTAAAGTCACCAACCTTATCGCCTACGTGATGAAAATCTGATTCACGTATCATACTGGGAGTTTTGGCTTTCAGTTGTCCACTATAGGACGTGGCCAGGACATGTAAGTCTTGACGCTGGCCACGCTCTTCTTCTCTCACCTTCTCTACCTTTCGTTCGAGAATCTGAGAGAGTTTTGCCAAGACAGGAAAATGTGGTAATATCTTGATCAATATTATTAATGAATTCCTAATCTGCACGTAATCCTTGGAGTCAAGACATACTACAATAGCCTTTAAAACGAAGCGAAAGTATATTCAATTATAGCAGCATTGTTTGTGTCGGTGTCGAAATAATTTTTTAATCATATAAATGTTTAAGGTTGTGCATGTACCTTTGTGATTTTATAATGCCACTTGTGACAGACATGTCTGTAATTTTCGAACCCAACCATATCATTTGCTTCAGAAAATTGATTGCTTACGCGGAATTTTGTCACGAATCCCGGATAATTGCTGCATTCCTATATTGCAAAATACAACATATGTTTAAATCAATGAATTATATACTAGAATTAATGTTTATACAAACTACAAAAATTCCTTCCTAACTAAAACTCATTTTTCATTCATGAAATTTGTCGATCTGTGATTATTACCTTATCGAAAATGGCTTTCTCTGAATGCCACCTCATCACAGTCTCCAGCATGGCGCACAAAAATCTCCCATATCGATTCGCTTCGTTCTCTGTGCACGAAGTGACTGAATATGTAATATCACAGAAAAGCTGAAAACCGAAAATATAAAAATGACAAGATGAATTATAGAATTGAAGAAGCACAAGATATTAATTTTATCAATCGTATGATTGTCGATAAGTTAATGTTGCATTAACGAATACTGAAAGATTCTCTTACACGATCGTAGCAAAGCAAGGTTGAAAAGTTCGCAGTCTTCAGGGAGTGGATGGTATGTACAAATTTCGCACAATACATGGCGTCCACAGTCGTGAATGTACACCGCGGAAATAGGCATAACTGTAGAAACTGTGTTATCGTCTCGTTCTTCGCAGATTTGGCGCTTCGCGATAAGAACCATGTATCCTTCTCTTGTCTACACAATAATACGAGGATTGTTAGAATCACAAAAATATTTTGAAGTGAATCTTAAAATCTCGTACTTTTCAAGGATATACTGAGGATTATTTGCGCAATATTGCAATTTGATCAATTTGCTATTTTACCTCAGGTACGCAAAAACTTTCTCAACGTGTTCCTCTTGCTTTCTCTTTTCTTCTTGCAGTTTTTCGATCAGAGTGGTGTACCTCTCTTGTTCTTTTTTCCCTTTACTCACATTCTAATAAAAAAGGAGGGGAAGTGTATTTTTAAATTTCATTAGAAGCAGTTAACATCTTGACTTCTCTATTACCTTTTATAATTAATGAGCTTATTAGATATTAATATTTTCGTGACACAATATTATAATATTAATAAACGCGCAGTTTTTGCTTACCATATCTTTGGAGTCAGCAGTTTGCGTCGCTAATTGCTTCAGTTTGCTGACTTCCCTCTGGTAACTTTCTACTGGTACGTACAAGTCGTACATTGACAGAGACCAAAATGTGACCAGGAATTGCGGCGATATATCTTCCCACACTTTCAGAGGGTGTAATGGTCTGACTGATTGGGCAACAGGTGCCATAACGGCTTGCGCTGCCTCCGCATATTTTAATTGTTTCATAGCCGTAGACATTTTTTTATAATTTGCATCGGCTTTGCGGAGAGAATCGTATTTCGTCTGCAAATATATAAAATCGATTTCTGTGATTTACGAAAATAGATTAGGAAATTCATCTTATATTATTCAATCAAATGTATTTGCAACTGTAACTGGGGGTGATTTTTTAAATTAAAATTACATATTTTTAAAATAGTTTGGAAGATATAATCTACTCGCAATCGACGATTTGATAAAAATGTCGGTATTATTCATACACAAACATCGATATCGATAAATTTGGACATGCGTGTAGATGGTAAACTTACATTTATGGCGTGTGCGAACATCGGTCTTGCCAGGAAAAATGCGACATCTGAATGTATATGATTGTCCTGAAGCATAGAATGGATTGAAGGTAATCGTCTTACGTATTCGTCCACAGTCATAGTCGACCCCAAAAACGTTCCAAATTGTACCAATGTATCCTGACATTGATCGTACAGCTTGCCTGTTGTAACAAAGTGAATTCGTCAGAGAATAACATTTTTACGAAGGAACAAAATATCGTTTCGTAATATTTTCGGGTTTTTCGCATAATTACCAACGAGCTTGAGATGAGATTTGTCGGTTTCTCTATAAACGACACAATGTTTCTGTTGAGCCATTAATAGACATAAAGCAACTGCGAGATCATGTTCGGCCAGAGCATCCTTTAAACGCATTGAGGACTTCTTCGTATTGCGAACTTGGCTGAAGTAACCGGCCTTGAAAAAATAATGTTCTTATATGTTAATTGATTTGCATAAGAATTATGTATTATTTAACATAGCCCTGTGACGCTATCAATTTACCTCGTTCTTCAATAAATCTCCACCTGCCATTGCGTCTAATTGATCAGACGTCATTTCTTCGGCTGCTTCGATCCCAGCCATTTTTTGTACTATCTCTTTTAATATTAATAGATCTAAGCTGTAAGTGGAGAGGAAGAGAGACTAGAGTGGCACATGTAACTATAATGTATTTGCGGCTTAATGATTGAAATAATTATTATAATGTATTGATGTGATATATATATATATATATATATATAAATAAAATATTTGGATTAATTACAAGGATATCTTAAATAAAATTTTCTTTTTTATATTTAAATAAAATATTTTATATGTAAATAAATAAAGGTGTACCTCTTTTGAGCTTTAAGTTGATTCGCTACGTATTGTAATAACCCTTTGAGTTCGATGTTATATTTTTTAAATATCGCTCCGCAAAAGGAAGCTAAAGATTGCAGCCATAAAGATATACTGGTGCCGTCGTGTTTAAATCTATCTCTATCAGCGCTTGCTAATGCCTCTACAAGGCAGTATCCTAATACATCGTACGAAATATTTGTCAAATATTTTAAAGAATCCACCACAGGTCCTGTAATATTTTCAATGCAATATAGAACATGTTATAAATATACTTCACATATATTTTCAATCAATCTTATATTTTTCAATTATTCTTGTATTTTTGTAATTAATTTTGTAATGTGTGTCTAAATTTTTCAGCAACTTTAAATTTAAATCTTTATTAGTTATTGTTCATTTTTTACGTTCAAACTTTCCATGTTCAATTTTTCGTTTCAACTTCAGTGTTAAACTCAAAATAAAGAGGCTACTTTGGTTGAAACAAGGACAAATGGATTGTCGTTGCTTTCCTTTGCAAGATAAAAAAAGAGATTGGCCGCAGAATCAATGGTTGGCAGTAGATCTTTCACGGAATGTTAACTCAAAATGCACGTTCATGACATACCTATAAGATTGTCGTACAACTGAATCTGTACGAGGACATAATCGAAGAGTACTCCTGGCGAAGAATGAGTAAGCTTGCCGATTGAACGACCGACGGGCTTAATCGTTTCCTTACTCACTCGCTTCATGATCGACTTGATCTTCTTTTGGGCATCCGCGCGTTTTCGCAAGAGAGCCGCGTGCTGCAACGGTGTTTCGTTCTTCCAGCGCGCGTACAGGCAGTAGCGATTTTGGTATGGATAGCACTTGAGGGTGTTCCACAATTCCTCAGCTACACAGCAGTTGCAATCCATGAAAGAAAGGGAGGGCAGTAACGCGACATCGAGAATCGTCAGTACATCATAGTATAATCTGCTGTCTTTGTTCAACGGTTGATTGTTCTCGTCCAGCGGTTTGAGGGCGGCATTGCACAACCTCATCACCTTGTACATAAGAATAGGATCGTGGTGCAGATTCGGTCCAAGGACAATCAGCATTGGCAGCAAGTGATCATGAATGTCATCTAGGTTTTGTATCGGCGCTGGCGCGAGCGAGCTCTTTAAGGGAGGCACTTTACGGCCTGGTAATTTCGGAGAAATAATGCAGTGTCTGCAACGGAATAATATGGAAGAATATTAATTTGTTCAGGAGCTGGTTTGAGCATGAATTGGTGAAGCGATTCACTCGTTCATAAACGCGATAATTTGAAGCGTAGCGTTGCTTTGTTTGGCTATATACGTTTATAATTTTTACTCGATTTTTACCTTGTTGAAATAAACGAAATACAAAAAGACACTAATAACTTACTTTCTATACACGGGTTCGATAAGGGCCTGAATCATTTTACACAGTGCTAAAGCTATGGGACGCTGATCGGTGAGACAATAATCTGGTAAGCGATTAAATAATCTTTGAGCCACCTGCCAAGCTCCGACTTCTAAGAGGGCCTCGCATAGCCCAAACTTTTGATTGCTTGCGTACTTTTCCTAATAGAAGAGATATTAGTTACTACGTAATGTTCGAAAAATCGCATCGTGAGATCAAATATGATAAATAAAAAAAAAAAAAAATCAACAAATTTGATTCAGCTAATTATTAATCAGATTTAAAAGAAGATATTGAATTATTTGCAATATATTACGTTATATATTTATTTACAATAATTAATCTTGCACAGAAAAAATAGTGCGTCTCGTTTGTGAAAATTTTGGTATTCGTTAATTAGCCGAAATCGAATTTGTAGTACGAAGAATGAAGAAGTTAATTTGTTTGCTACTTGTGAATTGTCCTTCTCTTCTGCAACTTCCTCCTTGTCTTTAGTAGAAATTACGCTCATTTTTCGCACATATTCCTTAGCCTGTTTCATCGCCTGCTCGTGATCAGATATGATAGTTTTATCGTCTGGCATTAGCCAAGGCAATATGTCGTCCAATTGGATCACGTTATGCTGTAGCATGAGCGCGGTAACCTTTTGCAGTGAGAACGGCGTGGCGTTGACAGTGGAGCAATACTTGAATCCTAGTACCTCGCAGAGTACCTGCTGATCGCTCATGTATGAGCGTATTAAGGGAATAAACAGAGCATCGTCCTGTGCTCGATTTTCAAACGTTTCTAGCAAGATGTCGAGTACTCTATTAGGGTCAAGATTGAAATATCCTGTAAGGACAACGGCACTTTGTACAACGCTACGTTCTCTTAACTTGGGGTATTCGTCTTGCATATTTTATCACTTAAACATACTTTTATATAGATCTTCACAGAATAACTCTTATGACTTAGACATATTTCCAAAAAGAAAAAAAAAAGAAAAAAAAACAAAAAAAAGGATGATACAATATTCTAAGATAAAAACACAGCAGAAACGAGAAAATTCATACCAATAAGAGACTTAACAATTTCCAGTGTTGGAGCCACATCATCGCCTTGATATTCTTGATTTAATTCTACAATGAGCTTGGAATAACCCTCACTCTCTTCACGAAATAAATTGAATTTCCTTTGCTTGTAACTATAAAGAAACAGACGAGTTTTAAGATACACTCGTCTAATACAAATAAGTTGAACAAGCTTTGAGTACATTGGTTGGGGCATACTTACTATAATTTCGTTTTCACTTTTATAAATTTTGTTTGAAAATTTTTGTTTTTTAATGTTCCAACATCTTGCAAAGTCTCAATTTCTAAACGTTCTTTTAATATTCTGTCTGTTAAAAACTGTGGAAACAGAAGAAGACGCAAGAAATTAATAATAACATGTGGGAAAATCCATTTTGTTTAAAATCATTTTGTCTACTTTAAAAATTATAACATCTAACTGTATTTTTTTTAATTTCTTCTTTTCAGCAAAACATTACATTAACAACCTTAACATTTCTAAGAAAAGTACAATAAATAACTACATATAAAGATAAATATATATGTACCTTTTCACATTCTTTCACGAAATAATAAAAGTTGTTCCTCTCTTCATTTTGTACCTCCGCATCGAATAAAGTTAACAAGTCTACTATTACAGATGGTATTGCACCATCCAAATTCTACAAGTAAATTTCATACGTTTAATATTGCTGCAATTTCAATTTAATTTTAATAATTTTGCAAAGTTTTAAACAATGAGGAATATGGCCATACCGTAAGTTCACCTAACGTCTGGGTTACACTGTCCTTTTTTATGTTCCCATGGATTCCATTTGATAGTAATTCGTATAATCCACGTCTCCATTCTATAAAAGTAAAGGAACAAGTTCTTTAGTATTGCTTAGAAAAACCCAAGGAAAAGCATATAAAATCAAATGATGCAATATAAATATGTACACAGTACACAGCATATGCGAAAAGCAACGATATAAGAATTGATAGAAATTTTAATAAAATAAAGTATAAAAGTAAAAAAGTAAAAGATACCAAGAAGTATGAAGTATGAAGAAATATGATAGAAGAAGAAAGTGATAAAAATCAAATCTGAAAGGAATAGTAAATATTAAAATTAAAGATACTTTTAGTACAAATATCACTGATGCGTATAAATAAACAGAAAGATGAAGAAAATACAGATAATTGTTATATTGTAAAAGACTAAAACATAAAATTATATTGTATAATCGACACAATGCAACATAGGCATAAGTAGCACGTGCATATGTTAAGGTGTAACGATACAAAGGAAACTGTGCCCGTCTGTAGAGAAACAATAATGGTGCGTGCCGCCAAGCTAGATAGACATGAGGCTATATAGTCACGGTGTATTACCTGATGTGTTGCCTTCCTTAAATTTGTGCTTGATAAGCTTGAGGCTGCAAACAGTCGTGAATTCACAAATTAAGTCTTCAGAAGAGCGAGTTAACAGGAGTAGATAAGTGTTTTCGCGACCAGCAATGCACCGTGTCGATCAGCGTCGACCAGGCGACGCGCTAACAACACCACTTACAAATCGTTTCTTCCATGCTTATCCCATGACTTCCATAATTCTGTGTGCCATACTTTGCTGGCCATATTTAGCGCTCCGATCCAATTTAAAAAGGTGCTCCGAGCGTACTAAGGATTAAAAATCAACTCGACATCGCAGGTTAACGAGCACTAGCGAAAACGTCTCTCTCCCCTATTCGCCACCGCGAAGAGAGCGGTAAGCGCGTCCTCGAAGCGATTGCATGTGATCACACATGCGATATTCTCGAGAGGTCGAGAATTGTGACGCATTTGAAAATTACACCACGAAATTTTGGTTCAGGAACACATAGTCTTGTCAAATAATCGCTTGTGATTGGTGGACAATTGTAAGTTCACCAATCCAAAGTAGTTGGAATGCTGTTCACTACAAGCTCATTCGCTGTGCAGCATTCGGTGCGTTCCGATATTCACTGCCAGCACTGAAAATCTATAGTATATGTGACATAAACTATATATTTTCAGCACTGGCAGTGTATATCAGAACGCAGCCAAAGTATCAAGTTAGTGAAAAGAAGGGTACCTTCAGGCCTTTTGGTTTTCCAATATTTTAGAAATTTTTTGAATATATATTAAAAATTTTGTCCTATTTGCTTTCTAATAGTCTCTTTTTGAATGTCTATCCATATTAAATATATAACGTCTTAATAAATATATTTATTAATACTAATTTATCTTCTGATATAAGTTATTTATCTTGAGGCCCAATAAAGTCTTTGCACCTATATGTATATACATTGTGTACGTCATTGTATCGTTGACTCCGTGGCGCGTTCATATTCTTTCTCGCATAGCCGTATATTGGAAAGGTAATGACGATATTTTGTAAATCGTAATCCTTGAACATCCTGCGGTGCAGTTTGTACGAGGTGTTGGTTCTAGTAAAATTTTATTCGGCAAGTTTTCTTCTCACGAATTAATATTCAAGTAATTATTGTACTTTTACTCTTCTCCTTATTAATCTGTGTCGGACACGTGACGAATGCGTTTGTTGTTATTGCTTACTACTGGAAACTCATTTGACACGTTTATTGCATGAAATAATAATTGTAATAAAATTAAACACGTTATTTATTTGCTGTAATGTGAAAACTGAACACTACTTTTTCTACACTGCTGAGATTATGTTTTACTATAGAATTTTCTATCATATATCAGCGGGTATCCTGTATGTAATTTCCATATATATATGTATATTTATCTTAATAATTCTGTAATTAGGTAAAATGGCAAAGTCTTCTGAGAAGAAAGGCAAGAGTGCTATCAACGAGGTGGTGACTCGTGAATACACCGTCAATCTTCATAAGCGACTGCATGGTGTAGGTTTTAAGAAACGTGCACCACGAGCAATAAAAGAAATTAGGAAGTTTGCAGAAAAGCAGATGGGGACTCCTGATGTTAGGATAGATACACGCCTCAACAAACAGTTGTGGTCCAAGGGTATCAGGTAATTTTAATGAAACTCAAAAGATAAAGATATCTAAATTTCTAGATTATGAGTTAAACTATAATAAAGAGAGGTTATATTATCTTTACTCAAAGGATTCATGTGCCCTCTGTTTAGCTGTACTAAATTGTATTTTGTGCTTAAGATAAAGTAGACATATATTTGATATTTTGCAGAAAAGAAGGAAATAAAAAAAACACAATATAATTTTAGAAGCTATCTAAACATAGATCTAATATATTGGGTTTGATAAGCTTATAGAGATTCTTCTAAAAAACTCCAAGTAGATAAATCTACTTGTGGCATAACTTTATTTCTTTTGTATTGTTTTCAATATTACGATGGTTCTTTTTTATATCTTCCATTGAAAGTCAGTAAATAGATTATTGTTATTAAATAGCCACTTATTTTGATAAATAAATTATATAAATTTAATTATATTAATTATTACTATATGTCAGGCCAAGACTCACAAAGGGTTGTAGAGCCAAAACTGATGATTATATGTATTAATTATATTAACTATTACCATATGCTAACTTGGATATAGTGAAATCTACTGTTTTATATATTAATATAAGGTAGCAAATACTAAAAAATTAGTAATATCTATTATGTGAGTTTAATAGGAAATGGCTTTTTCTCTTCTTTTTATAATAACTTCTATCTTTTTTTCTCTTTTAGCGCTAGTCTACATGTAGAAAAGTTTTATGTCCCCCTAGCTAAACTATAACAAAATAGTTAAATATGTAAAAATTAATGCATAAATAACTTAATAAATGTTACTATCTCATATCAAATATTAGTCTCTTATAATCTCTTATAATCTCATACTAAACATAATGAAAAAAATGAATAAAATAACAAACATACAAATTTATTGTATATCTAAAGATCAAAATAGATCTTTTCAAAAATCTATAGTTTTTGATTTTTATAAGTTCTGTTTTATCTTGTGTATCAAGCATATTGATATTAATTATGTAAAATTAATTAATCTTTTCCTTTTTAGAAATGTTCCCTTTAGGGTACGCGTAAGGCTGAGCAGAAGGAGAAATGATGATGAGGATTCTGCAAACAAGCTGTACACCCTTGTCACATACATCCCAGTTGCATCTTTCAAAGGTCTTCAGACTGAAAATGTGGATGCTAGCCAAGATTAAATACATTAATATGTATTTATGTATAATAAAAAATATAAAATACGCTGTAATATTCTAAATGGACTATTAATTTATATGTTAAATCCTATGAAATATCGTTAGAAAACTTGCAAAATTAGTTTGAGTCTGCGAGAGATATAAATTAATATTCCATGAAACCGAATTGTACATATAGAAGTATCATGTTAAAAGTTACGTTATCAGCGGATAATCTGATTGTTATCCTACTATATATATATATAGGATATATTGCTTGTTGATATATCCGGGAAAAAATGTATACATATCGTGTCAGCGTATAACTAATTTAAAATTGAGAAACTACCGACAGAGATACCGTCGACGCGCGCTAAGAACATCAACCGTCGTAAGCTTATCGACCCTCGTCTGTACCGGTGCACGATCATCGTCGTACCCGCCCACGCAGCGCTCTTCAGCGTTCAGCAGTGGATGACCGCGCGTGTGCGCTTTTCGCGGCGAACTTGACGCGCATACGTCCGCAGCGTACGAGGTCCCGGAGAGCGGGAGAGAGGCACGGTGCAGTCAGTGTGCGCTCAGTCTGGCTCGAGCGTGGTGATCTCGGAGAGACGAAAGCGCGAGGCTCGTCGCCTGCCCGCGATGATGGAGCTGCGCGAGGTGAATCGCGCGTACGGCACTGCGGAGGAGACGACGGAGCTCCTGCCGCAGCGCGACAACGCCGAGTACGAGAGCTACTTCATCAAGTACGCGATGCAGAAGGAGATGATCAATCGCAACCGATGCTCCGCGAGCCGACGATTGCTCAGCCAGGCCGCTCATTTGGACTTCAATTTTCCCAATAGCAATCACGTCAAGGTTGGTCCTTGACGGCTGTAAAGGATCGGGAGGTGGCTCCCGAGGAGATCAGTCGTATCGCATCTCTCGTCCGGAATTTGGCACTCGTCCTATGTAGAAAATCGCAGGATAGCTTCCCCTGGTTTTTGCGGATGCGAGGTCGAAGATAGACAGAAATTCGAAGATATGTGAATCGGAAATTGCACGGAGAGTCGCGACGCTCCAATAATTCGCGAGTCTTTGGATCCAGAAGCTTCCTTGAGAGGAAGCAGAAATTCAAAGATCTTTCTTTTATTCATGATTTGGATGTTCACATATCTAAGAGTTTCGTTTGTATCCGCTCGATGATCTATGTGTTGTAATTGTATTTTTTTCACTGACAACAAGATCATTGTATTGTTTGTTTAAAGTTACCGCAGTGTCGACGTATTACACAAGATTACGCGAACGTAACTTGATAACTCTCCGTATTTTACAACATTAATACGTATCGCATACGTATACATCTGCTCACAATAGCGCGGGAATTTAATTCATTTATGTTTCACAATTTATTTATCGTCGTTTAAATAATGCATGAATATTCATGCACGGAAATCATGAATTATAAATTTTTGTGGAACACTTGCGGGGAATCTCACGTATGCAAAACGACGAATCGCGATAACAAGATGACATTACTGCAGAAAGGTCTTTTATTGTTATAATAATATTGTAAAAAAATTGGTTCCCGTCAGGAATCACCATGTGCCGGAATCAGCATGATCCACACGTCGAGCGCGAACTGGCCGCCCTCCAGGAAGCGCGAAGAGGCGACAGCTTTAGAGAATCTCAGAAAAAGGGTAGAACAGAGCAAATTGTACAAGGCAGACCGGATTGTTGATTCGGTGGTGTCCACCACATCCTCGCTAAACTACGAACAGACTCAGCAACAGCTGGACAATCGGCCGAAACTCCTGAAGAAGGTGAGACAATCTAAATCTAAGATATTGTTTCGCAAAATCACGTTTTTTGTTTCACTTACAATTGAGTATTATTGCTGAGAAGCTTCCTCAATTGAAGTTGTGGTTGAATTATATACATACTCGATAATCTAATATAATTTATATATAATCGAGAAACTAAATTTATTACATTGGCTCTCTAGAAAAATGAAAAAGTTATCAAAGAATTCTCATCCTGTGAATTGAGGCCGTGAATTGAAAAAACTCTGTGGATGAGATAATTATTTGGAATTATTGGCAATAGCGAAATGAAATTGACAAGAACACTTGTAGGATTGTGTCGTTCTGCAAGTTCGAGTGGAGATCTAGACGTACGAGACGAACGTCACATGTTTTTGGTCTGCGGAATGTAATTTCCTTGGCGTTCTTGGCTTGCTGTACGTGCGACTGTGTTTTCGAAATGGAATACGAAATCAAAAGTGCGAAGGAGCACGCGCGCATAGCACTTGGGTCGATACTTTGAATTCAGGAGCGGCACACCGATCTCTCGGCTCGGCCCTGTTGTTAAACGCAGTTAGGAAACTGCACTACTGATCTATTTAACTAAACTAACTTTCAGTTTGACGAACTTTCAGTTTGACTATTTGTACAGAATCTTTTCTCCGCAGAGTGAAGCTTCAAATTCCTCGCATCGCTGAAAGTGAGAAAATATGGAGAAATCAAACTCGAGCATTGACCTATAACGTCTTGGGATTCTTCGAATAAGTTTTGAAGTTCCTTAAATTTTGCGAAAAGAATTCAGAACTGTGACTGCAAAATTCGAGGATTAATAAGACAAAAATTCGAGACATCTGAAAATTCAAGGACTGCAGAGTAAATTTTAGAGTCCAGAGATGCGACGATTCGAAGGTCCAAGACCAAACATCGGACAAGCCAGTAATCAGAAAAAGAAAAAAATACGCTACCAAGAATTTGCAGATCTGCGAATTAAGAAACTCGAGAATGCGAGGATCTGAAGATTGTGCAGAATCGAAAATTCGAATAATTCTAAAGCCTCAAGCTTCAGAATTCGCATTCTCGCACATTTAAAATTTTTACACCAATCCTTATTATTTTTATATTAAGATTATACGCGTTGTTGTTACATTGATAAATTTCGCGAACAATCATGTTCCGAATTAGATTGAGTGTCGCATTGACGCGAGAAGGCAAACGAGTCACCTTAGGCCGAAGGACAAATACTAACGATATCGCGTGTAACGTATCAGATAGATCGAGTAGAATTCGTTATACATGGCCTCACAAGTGTCATACCCCGTCCTTCGTACTTTCTTATAGATACTCAGCAACCGACCGATGAGTATCACGCACGACAGGAGCGACTTGGAGACCGACTGGCGCGACAGCGAATTTATCACCGAGTGCCTTTGCTGGCACAACGTTTATCGGCAACGGCACAATGCACCCCCGTTGACCATGTCACCTCAGGTAAGGAACTTGAGAACACGCGAAGCATCTCTCTCTTTCTCTATTTCTCTCTCTCTCTCTCTTTCTCTCTCTCTCTCTCTCTCTCTCTCTCTCCACGATATTATTGCACGATATAAACTTAAAATACGCCTGACGAAAAATAGAGCGGCGATAAAAAATTCAGGGTACTCACAAGTTTCAATGTTCAGGTATCCGTTCTAATATTATATTTTTTATTGTATTGTCATTAAATATTGAGCGATAATGTTGTGTTATATATAATAATATAATATGATAACATATATTTGCATTATTATTAAATTATATTAACTAATTTTTAGCACAGCGTGCGGTCCGGTTATACATTTAAACGACGAAAAATACATTCGCCGGTCGCTCATATAGCTGTTAAAAGAAATTGGGAGAATCGATATGACGATATATTACGTTATATATGACGTTTATAACGTTGCAGTTGTGCGAGTACGCCCAAACATGGGCGAATCATCTGGCGCACACGAACACGTTCTACTACAGGAACGACCGGAACGTGGGTCATAATCTTTATTGTCGTCCCGGCGGTGCCGTACCCGGTGACGTCACGGGACAGGAAGTCGCGTCTTACTGGTACTCCGCAGTGAGGCAGTACGACTTCCTTAAGGAGCCGGATGTCCTCCACGCGAACGTGAATGCAGGTAAAGCGCAGTGGGGTCGTGTCCTCTGGGACTAAAATAATCGACGTTCCTCTCTTAGACCTGTATTAATAGTTGCAACTTGAAACTCGCCTCGAGCAAGATATCCAGGTTTAAATTAAGGAGTTGGATGTGCATCGGTTCAATTATGATTATAAATGCATTACTACATATATCATGTGATTAAACTGCAACATCCAATATTTACTCGAATATAATATGTATTTTTCTGAATGTAGAAGACACACACACACACTGAAAAGTCGTCTGGAAAAGTGAGAAGTCTTTTAGAAAGTTCTATGTTACCTGAGAAGTTTCAACTAACGACTGTTATAATATGGGCCTTAGATTCAGGCAAATAAGAATCTGCCGTCGCTATTGATTATCGCGCGGAGAACGATTAGCGCAAAAAGAAAAGGAAAAAATGAAAAAGAGGAAAAACGTCGTTCCAGGTCACTTCACGCAACTGATATGGGCGAGCAGCCGCTACTTCGGGGTCGGCAAGGCGCGCAGCCGTAGCGGCAAGTTGATCGTTGTGGCGAACTATGAGCCGGTGGGCAACGTGTCCGGCCAGTTCCAGAACAATGTGCTACCACCGTTGCCGGAAAACATGAATGTGATGATGTCGCCGCCGACCGTGCGGATACCGCGGGGACAATACGAGCTGCTGAGGTCAACGGCAGCGGCGCCGTTGCCGCCGCCATTGCCACCCCCTTTGTCGGACACCGCCTCCACCGGCAGTGACACCATGTCTGTCAGCTCCGGGCAATAATACGACAGCCGTGCAAAATGCCTTCTCTGTGTCTGCGCGCGATGGGCCGGACGCTGAGGACGACGGGACTTCCGGCGCGCGCTTGCCGGCCCGTCGTGAGCCGCGAGTTAAAGACTTCGAATGCGAAACACGATGACCGATATTTCTGTGAAAAGGGAACTCGCAGGAAAAGCGTCGCGGAAGTGGAAGTCGGAGGTCTCTCGGATGGACGGTGAGCCGGACGAGATATTCCTTCGAGCGTTTCTGCGAGCGGAGTTCCCTGAATAATCTCGCGGGTATTCTACTGACGCGCGCGTGGGTGTATTCAATTGAAACTGATTCCGTGGGAAGTTCAATCGACCGACCTCCGTACCGGCGGTTTTCGTTAAAAATGTCCGCCCGCGGTTAACACACTTGAGTTTATGCTAAAGTTCAACCATCTTTCTTTGTCGAGTCCGTGATACTAAATGTAATTCATTGTGCTTTGTTATAATGTCCTTCGGTTGAGTACGCGAACACTGTTGGAAATATCGCGGTATTATCTTTATCCCATTGTTGCGGTCAACCGTACTCGGTGATTTCTGCAGAAATATCGGTCACCAGGTTTTACTGCCCCCAACTACCGCTTGCAAAAGCAGTGATAATCAAAGGTACACCGAGCTTTGTCAACGATTGGTAGCTGGTAGTACATAATAATACGACTAGATCTCGAGCAGTACAATTCGCGATGTGGTTATCGACAGTGGCGTAACTGATCGTTCGCTTCAGGACTCCGCACGCGGATGAGACATTCGTCACGCCGGAACGGCCGGGCGAAATGTTTGGAAAATAAAGAGAGACAAAATTGAGTAAAAATATGGAAGTTGGGAAGAGATGTTTCAAAGGACGCGATTATACAATCAAAATTCTCGCATTTAGCGTTATAAAATAATAAGGCTAGTTAATATCGTGGAGTAGCTTGCTGAAATTCATCACATTCTTCGATAAGGCTTCCAGCTAGATTATCGTAGCAGGGCTATGGTATTACAGATGTTGCGCCACTGTCCGTATAGGTAATAGAAGTTCAAATTTAGAATCACCGTACTTATTTCTGATTTGGAGATTTGGAGAACAAAAAAATGAAAAAGAAAAAGAAAAAAATTTAATGTTAGGAACGATAGGAGAACGGCAGCCGTAGAATTCGTTTATCAAATTCCAATGAGTTTATTCGCTGAGATCATTTGTCGCACATCGCGTGCAAAGTGAAAGCTGAGATTGTTCAGAACACCAAAAGCTCTACGCGCCTATTTTGTATATCGGCTTAGAGTCAACATTCGTTTGACATTTTGCGGCCCGCCGACGGCACGGCGTCGTCGCGTATCCACACTTTCAATATACCGGAAAAAAGACAGCGTGACGACTCCGTGCGGGTCATGGGCCGCAGAGTGTCGAGGGACTCGTAGTTGTAGCTATGTAAGATACAGCTGTATGATATAATTCGAGGAGCCTAAAGTGACAAATCGCGCCTAGCAAGAAGGATATGATACTTTGCACACACACCTTTCCGTCCTGTTATACTGAAATCAATGGTTTGCGAAACGGGCGTTGAATTTCTTAGCGTTTTAGCATTAACGAACGTTCCTACCGAGTAAGATGAGGACTAGTGTGTTCACCGGAGATTAATCTGAGAGAGAATAAGAATTCAAGGTTCCTCGAAAAATAAGAATCTCACGGGATGTGCTCGCGTGCTTGCAAAAATTCCTCGGTGTCGAGGGGATTCTTGATGCGGGAGGTTCGTGACGAAGTTCGAAAAGGATCGATGGAAACTGAGAAATTAGGAAACCGTGGCAAAGACCTCTGCGGAGCCACCTGATGCTCTGCGACTGAAGGAAATGTTGAAACTCGAGCTAGAATCCGCACGGGCGAATATAAATCGAGAAAAAAAAAACAATGAACATTAAGCGAAAACTATCGCGAGCGTGACTACAATCAGAGCGTATTATCGCGATCGACTCCAAGCTGCTCAGACGAACTCGCCGGGTGTCATGTCGAAAGCGACAGTTGCATTACACAATGGACACTTCTCGCTTTCAACGTAGAACGAACACAAATAAATATACTATGTCCGACGTCTGCCAGAGAGACTGTTTGATAATTGTTACACACATACGTACACGCATATAAAGAGAAACGACTAGCTCCCCCTTATTTTTTCAATTTAATTGTCCACAACATGCATCACGTACATGGCCGAGACGAGGGAATTAAGAGAGGGACAACGTAGCGGTGATCCGCGAGAAGTCTTTAGATCGACTCGATATCATCAGACACTTGTAGTTGCTTCGAATGTTGTCGCAGCTGATTTTAGCGCGCTAAAGTTAATCAACGAGAGATATATGATGGTCGCGTAAGAGAGAGTCGTTTTTTCTTCGTGTACGGCGAGATTATTTATAAAGTGATGCCCGATCATTATAGACGGTGATCTCTCAGGTACGTAACTTATTGCGAGAGGCGATTCTACGTAGTAGAAGCAAATTCACGGCGGTTTTGTGATTCGATCCTGTTGGCCCTCGACTTGTTTAAGGGGATTTGAGAGATAGATTGTTATTTATATATATATATATATATATATATATATATAAAGATAAAAATTATTTTCCAATGACGCATCGTTGTAGAAGAGAAAGCATTATTTCTTGCATAGTCGCCTAGTGATACTCGCTTTTTTAAACGTGAGGAATACGTGGGACGATGTACGAAGTATAAGATCCAGAAGAAGAGACATGTTTTAATTCTGTGCTAGATCTCTGCTTATCGCGATCTTACGTGATGTTACGATAAAACGATAAAATCGTCTGACTAGCTAATAGCGCATTAAAAAGAACGAGGCACGGAACGATCTGTTTCGATTGAATTAAACAATGAAATTAGGCTTTATGTCATGTAATGTAATGCGAAATGCATCACCTCTGCTCACACGGCACGATCCGACATGCACGTATCGTGACGTCGATAATAATATCCAGCGTAGCGCACAGTATTAAATAATAAGCTCGATGTGATAAATAGTTAAGAGGCTTTCGTTAATCTTAAAGAAAGTTCCAATCAAATTGCGGTTATAGAGAAGGTCAACGGGATCGAAATGTTGTTGGTCGCTTCTGATTTTTCTATTTGACGCATGTATTCAAACGATGAGTATCAAACGCGCGTGTATAGCAGCAGTGCTGCATAATCGACAGCTCACCTGTTGACAATCGATACTGAGACGTCGTTTCATTGACACATGTATACTTGTATATCGTAGGAACGCTATCTTAAACGACTGATTTTTCCAGTCAAAGATCCAAGATCGTTTTTCTTTTCGACGTGATATTAACGAGAGAAATCTTACCGAGCTTTCGGATTTGAAAATTTATTATGCAAACAAATGTGCATCTACGATGAAATTAATTTTATCTTTCATCAAAGTTTGATGTATCAAAGAGATAGGACACTTTGTATAGCTATACAGAACATCGATCCACAATGATAAAATTAATCACGCTTAACATTGTTTACGAAAAATCATAGTCAGGAGTCTTGTTATTCGTTTTATTATGAATCTATCTAATATAGATTTTATCGTTATCGATGATAGTGTTATCGTATATCGTACCTGCCAAAAGAAGCTCACGTAGTGTTTATTGCTAGCTTTGGTAATGTTATAATCTCTAATAAAAGCTTGATTCATTATTGAGTCTTTATCGACCGACTTATAGACGTAGAGGTGAGAACACATCGAAAATTAAAAGTGGAACGACGTTAATGTACTCATGATTGTTAAAACGCAGGGCATAGCCTTAATGAGTGAATTAAATGCATCGGAATCCAACGTGTTTTATAATGATGAATGTTAATAAAATTATCTCTTTACAGAAAACATGCTTTGTTCTATCCTTCGCCCTTCGACTCGAGAAGTTAACATTGTTGTACGATATTTCTGTAGCGAGCGAAATATTTACGTTACACTTCCACATACAATGAAGCAAACATAATTGTTTCCATTCTTGTGGAAAAATTTATTTTAGAGTATTAAAAAAGTACGAAAAAAAAGTGTAGATTATTTAACGAAAAATAATTATTTCCTCGAGTAATAGCGGTGCATTTGATCAATGACGAAATGAACAAAATGCGCGATTACTGGACGAGAAGAATAAGGCGTCGAGCATTGAATACAGCTGACATATATTTTCCGTCAAATATCGTATTTCGCTAGTAACATTACATGATACAATAATTAAAAAATATACCGTATTTTGCGAAATTACAATCGATACTCTATAGGTAAAATATAGTAATATTAATAACATCCGTGACGGTGGAGCTGCTTTCGGCGATTAGTCAATCGGCCGATACCATCGCTACGAGATTATGAAAACAGTTTTACAAAATATAGTGCAAGTATGTACGCTCGCTATACACAACAAGCGGGGAGTTATCTTCCGATTATCTTCCCGTTTCGTTCTCTTTTTCTCGATCTCTTCTTCTCTTCCTCGATCTCCCTCTCTCTTTTCCCTTCGTTCACTAAGACATTTGATTAACGTCGAGTTTTGTTTAGGCTTCGCTTCGACGCGAATATGTTTAGTTGCCAAACTAAGCGTCTTCTCTACCAAAGTAATTTATCTCTATCAATAAAGTCGATTCAGACCTCGACCGGCGCGTTTTATGGCTAATTAAAAATTAAAGAGTTAAGACTACGGACACGATGGAACCTCGCTCGCGCGTTATAATTGTACAATTAGCGTATTACTTAATAAGAGCGGAAATTCGTTGTGGACAAGAGCAAAATTCGTCACACGACAGCGTGTAACAAGCTGCTTAGCACTATCACTATCGTTCCCAAGTAGAGGAATGGTGTAAGGCCGGAACAACGAAAATCGGTAGAAGCACACGAACGATGAAAGTAAAAAAAAAAAAAAAAGAAAAAAAAATGAATAAAACGAAAATACAGTTTTGGAAATTTTTCCCACGATCAATACTCACAAGAAATTATTGACGCTGCTGGAAATTAATCAAAGAGCTCTCCTGAGAAACGTTGGATGGGCTCGTTTTCGCGAGAAGTGAATTATGGATGGAATAATATTTCATACGCGGTTGTAATGTAATAATGATATGTAGAGTTCTCTCTAGAATATTTAATGCAAAATTAAGCATTATCCATTCTATTCTTGGAGATCGTCAATCGTTCGCGAAATCAATGTACTTCGCATCGTGTACAAATGCGCGCGAAACAAATATCATCCGCCGTTTCTCCGATGGAACTAATGCATAATGTAATTTCTCTTTCTCTCGAAAGGCGATCGATATTCCCCGTGCACTGCCGGAAGATAATCCGTAAGCTTTAAGAGAATGGGAGTGTCGGAGATAACTCGTTCTTATCGCGAATAATTAATCACAAATAATACTCGAAACATACTGAGAGAGTTCGTTTCTAAGAATACTGCTTCGAAAATATAAAGTCCTTCTTCTTCGATGATTTCTCATCTTTTTATAGTAACACGCGGAACGCACAGACTGGACGGCGAGGAATGCAATGATGTTGCATAATTAAAAAAGAAAAATTAAACATTTAAACTAAAATTTGAAGAAAAGATTCAACGAAGTACTGAGTGGAACGCGCGTTCTCTTTCTCTTAAGCATCGATCCGCTCAGTTTTTCGTGGCGATACTCATCGCGCGCGAGATCGGCCAATAGACACCCTCCACGATCGTTTGTACAGTTGCTACGTAGTTATCTCTTAAATTCTAATATTGCTATGCTTTGTGTGTTCTTCACGTTAGATCACTAAGCGCTCTCTTTCTCTCTCTCTCTCTCTCTCTCTGTCTCTCTCTCTCTCTCTCTCTGTCTCTCTCTCTCTCTCTCTCTCTCTCTCTCTCTCTCTCAATCTCTCTGAAATACTGCGTTACACCATCCGCGCAAATACCTCGAGAGCGTCTAACATGAACTCAGAAATCTTAGGACTACGCGAAGAAGTATCTCGAGCTGAATTTTTGCGTTATCACTTCACATCAAGAAGATTATAACATGATGATTGTGTGTAATAGAGTGAGGCACTTAAGATGTCGATTCTCGACCGATCGCACGCAACGTGTTGGATAACTCCGATACGAATCATACTCATAAACTGATATTTAAAGCAATAATTTCGTAGAGAATAACTAAAAATCGAAAACTATCCATGATAATACATATTACACGGTATAAATATTTTACCCGTTATTCCACTATTGCGAGTTACAATGATTTCTGCAGTTAAAAAAGTACATAAGAATTAGTGAGAAAAACGAATCCCCAAATTTGTAGCATCTGAAAATTCAATGTGTGTACATTGAAATCAAATATAAACATTTCGCAAGATCTACCACGTTACGATGGTAACGGCGCTACTACGCGTATAATAAATACGTATCAATCACTGCAACATAAACCTTACAGCATCGCCAAATACATCATCGATATTTGTTTTAAATTTTCCTCTTAAAATATTTAACAAAACATCAGTTCCGATGTCTCTTAAAAATAATATCGGTTAATCAATTATTAAAGCAAAACTTAATTTTATATAATATACACTAAAAAAAAACTCGTTTAAAAACTCATTTATAAAAATAAGAAATAGACCGCGACAAACATCTTAAGTGAGTCACGCTGTACATCAGTGAAAAGTGTCTTACATGGACGAGCCTAACGAGCAAAAATATAATTTCTTGTTCTAAATACCACTAATGAAACGACGATAATTTTTGTATCGTCGAAAGATAGCAAGAATGCAATTTAGTTTCTCGCCCCATCTAAATTCAATAGCAATATCGATAATTCGTCGTGTAAGATTTTTATTTTCGACCGTGGAATCTTCACGATGCCAATGGAACAGATATAATCGGAGATACATTAAAATAGAAATCTTTCATCCTAATCGAATTCCATCCGTATCGTATCTCTCCGCGGAACAGCCTATTCGTTTTACGCTCTGCAAAAGTAGAGCTTTCGTTCTACAAAAACAGGGCGCTTTCGTCGGAGCTCTGTGTAACGTAGGTCTTTCATTCGAGTTCTAGAGAACAGTAAAACTCTTATTCCAACTCTCTACGTAACACCGAGCCTTAACATGAGAACTAAGCTAGAGCTCTATTTCTTCCTCTCTACTTCTTTCTCTGGAACGCATTATATAAATATAAATCTTTTGCCATCCACACTCTTCCCACTTATGCGCATACAGATACACACATGCACACGTATGCGTGCACACATACACACGCACACTCGTTCTCTCTCTCTCTTTCTCTTTTTCTATTTTTCGTTCTATTCTTCTAACTACGTTCGCTACTTTGTCGTACTTCGTTAAGTGCATAATGGCATAAGTGTGTAAATCCGTATAGTCGTATAATTTAAATATATATCAGAACCTTTCTGCTATACTGAGAGTGATAAATATAAAACTAACGCGTACGATAATCAATGTTGCCCGGCCTACTGTGTTCGTCACCTCTTTATGTACATTTGCGATATAATCCGCAATCCCCTCGCGAAACGATCCGTGTCTGTCAATGAGCTTAAATCAGTCCTTTATCCTACGCCGTTACTAGTCGTCTCGACACAGTACATTATCATTTACTATAATAAGATTACGTTGGTCCGGAAATGTAGTCAGGAATAACGGACGCGTTGCGCTCGAGAACCGCCGTCCTCCTCTTCCTCGCCGCGACTAACATCACGCCCGTAACATTATCGTTATCTTATTAATGGTCCTCCTTCGCCGAACACACGACATTTTTGGTCAAAGGCTATATAAAATTTCGTTTGTACTTCGACGCTGGTGTATGTGGTACGGGTGTGTATATGGAGAATCGCCGGATTCGTCTCAAACGCAAAGAAATAGGATGTTCCCTTTCCGCGTAGTGGGACACCACATTCTGTGAAGAGTGAATTAATTCGTCGCATGTGGCTGTAAACTACACACGGTGTACGTAATTCCTTCGCGTGTGTCTCTCTCACGGAACGCATGGCGAAGTATCTACGGTGCTCGGAAAAAAGACTAAGGCAGAAGTTCGTTAATCTTAAAGAGTTACTTTGATAAAGTATCATGTGCAAATTTTCGGCGAAGAGCGAAAATACGAATATAGACTTTAATATGAGAATACGTAGCATGAATACTTCTCTAGATTTATGTTAGCCCATAAGTTTAGAGAGTTTACTTTAGTTCAGTGAATACCTCTCTCTAAGCTTATGTCAACCCATAAGTTTAACTTCTCACTTTGTTAACAATGGCATTATCTTTTTTTAGTTGCATGTATTCTTTTAAAGACGACTTTTCTATATCATAAACGCTTTCTATAAATTCTAACAACAGTGATATCTAATAAAGTTAATTATGGTTCAATAATCTATTTACTCTTTCAATCACGACCCCCTACATGTCTCGCAACAGTGACTTTTCTCCAAGCATCCCAGATATTTCGTGAAACATTTGAACTATCAGGCACTTCCTGCTCGCGCGCTAAAGCCTGAAAACGTAAAACGCAACGCCGTTTAGGTCCTATTGTTATTGTTGTTATTGCCGCTGGTGTTATTGTTGTTGTTATTGTTGGAATTGAGAGGGCTGCTGATGTTGTCAATCTCGCGTTGGGCGCGCGAGATCTTCACTTTGTCACGCGGTGTACCGTCCTCGCCGGTCTCCATCGCGAACATTTTCATCTTCTCCTTAAAGCTGAGCTTCTCCGGCACCGCGCCAATCTGCGAGTTCTGCTGCTGCTTCTGTTTCTCCGCTAGCCGCTTTTGTCGCGGGTCCCTTGAAAAAGCAAATATGTCAAAGTGCACTTCAGTATCAGTAAAACAATTTATTGTAACCTAATTATATTTGAATCTCCTTTGGAGGATTCTCTAATGGATACGCTGTGAACACTTACTTATACACTTCTTGTGCTCCAATCACCCCGGGAGTGGCGCCAGAAAACGAAGTTCCGGAACCTTCCGGTGTCTTGGGAGACGCTAACAGATTTTCCGCGTCGTTGATAAAATTCTGTGAACATACAATGCATTAGATGCAAATTGAAATACACTGAATACAGTGAATATAATAATACAAATGATAAGTATACACCACTAGAGCAACATAAAAAATCTCGCGTTATTTATATGCAATTGTACCTCGACGAGAATTCAACCTGAAACTCGTTGATGAATCATCCAACACTAATTTATTGGTCATTTTTATATATTTGAGGAACAGATCTTATGCAGCAATAAATTAAACAAACACAAACGGATGTCTCGAATTAAATTCCTGTCGAGGAAATATTACATTTAAATGTATAATGCTTGGAGAGAAGTATGTAATTTTTTCTGCAGCAATTAATATAACGTATGCGTAAAGCAACGATTATAGAGACTAGCATCGATCACGTACAACACGTGAAATAAGAACGTAGATCACATAGAATGAGATATGAACAATACATCTAATAATGAACACGACGAACGAATGAGAGAACGGACACTTGAATGAGAGATATATGATCGCTATAATTGACCAAGACGATAATCACTGTAATTGACGATTCATGCATCGTTAAACGCAGACATTGTAACGTAGACAGCATGATATAGTAACGATCTCTTTTAAAATTTATACCTTACTTGTTCGTCTGCCATCGTATGCATTTTGACAGAATATATTCAAATTTATAATAGAAATTCATATTGACGACGCACAAAAAATAATCCCCTCTCAGGGGCTACAATTATTCCTTAGTTTATTCTTTTAGTTATTCAAACCGCACATCACATCAAACAAAAAATAAATTATACGTAAACAATATTTCACTTAAAAGGATAATGAAGAGGGTACTATATTGTAATTTAGACGTTGAAACATAAAGAATATAGAGAAGATTTGTACGTTTTTCTTAATGGATAAAGATTATGCCGAAATAAAACATACGATAAAAAGGCTTAAGTTAAAATAAATGAGATAAACGTAAAAGAAGAGGAAGAAGGTAAATCGTAAGAGATAACTTACGTTGGGATCTTCTCTGATAGTATCCATCGTTATCGACGGCGGATTTGACGTTCCGGACGGTACATTGCGCAGCATAGATTCGCTATTTGCATTCGAATCATGAAAAGAAACCTTTTTCATAGATGCTGGCTGCTGAGAACTTGGAGGTAGATTAGACACGGTCGAGCCGTTCGACCTGAGAGCGCTTTGTTGCGACATAACGGCATAGCTGGAACCTCGTTCTGGTGGCGGAGGTGCATCGTTTGTATTGTTTTGCGAGGCTGAAGCGGAAAAACAAAACTTCCCGTAAGTAAAATATTTACTAAGGATGTAGAAGATTAGTAATGTATTTTCATAAGATCACTTCTTGAGTAAACGTGAGAATTCATATCGATCCTCATTTTTTGTTTAATCTACTTACACATAGGCATGTTGGGCCCATTGATAATCAAGTTATCCAGACGCAGCATGCCGGGATGCAAAGGTTGCTGGTTTCTCGAATGCTGGCTCTGCTGATACGTCTGCTGTTGTGAGTGCAGCTGATGCTGCCTGAGCTCCTCTTCTTGCTTCTTCTGGTTCTCCTCATATTCAGCTTGCTTTCGCTTCACCTCGTCCATCCTCCGTTGGAGCTCCCTGTCTTCCGAGGAGTGTGACATGCCGACAGAATAGGGCTTCTGGCCGGTGCCAAAGTGACTCAGAGGTGTGCCGTAATTAGTAGACATGTGCATTTGCTGCTGCTCCTCGCTGCTTTGATTCGCCGTTTGCTGCTGCTGCTGATTCGATTGCATGTGCAGGCCACTGTTATCCTGACCGGAGCTGCTCATCCCGACATTCTGAGACGTCGCTTGGCTGGACAAAGAAGCGTGAGAGTGGCTGCCAGCAGTAGGCTGCATCTGACTGCTTATCGGCTGGAGAGAGAGGCCGCCGCCTCTCATAGACTGATTGCTTGTGTTGGTTCTGGACAAGGTCGGCGGTTGTTGATTCCCTTGGACTATTCTCTCCTGGCTGACTGCCATCCTCAGCAAGCCCTGAACACGCTGGGCGCTCTCGTTATCCAGGTCGTTGCTTTCCTCGTCGTCGTCTTGATTGGCAGCCTCCTCCGCTCGCTTCTGGAAGTCCCTCTCTAGCTGTAACGCTCGGAGCTGCTCCTCCTGCTGCTGCGTTCGGTGCGCCAGCGCGCTCAACTCGGAGATCTGCTGATCACGCCATTGTCTCGCGGCTTCTCTCCTGCGCGCTTGTTCCTGAAAACGCCATTCACACTTTAGGTAATTTGATAAATGAGAGCTTAAAGTAAAATAAAATAAACATGCTCAAAGTTTAAAGCAAACAAAGGTTCAAAGTTTAACGAAGTTGTCTTAAAAACAATTCTTGATACTAAAGTTCTCTGACGTGCAGCAAACAGCTGTTGGTTTTTGTTACCTTCTCTCTTTCTTCTCGTTGCCAAGGATTCGTCGCGCTATATTGATACTGCCGAGGTTGTTGCATAGTGCCGATTCCTCCCGCAGGATAGTAACTACCCCGTGGCGGATCTTGCATGCTTGCGGTATATCTAGAAAAGGAATTTATCTTTATTATTTCGCAATTAGACTCGTCAACGTATTTAAAAATCCAACGATTTAATTTCTGATATAATAATTATTATAAGTTATAGTTTATACTTTAAGACGTGAGATATTCAAATAAATTTAATTTAACTTTAAACGGTTAATTAAATTTAACTTAAAATTAGTAAAGAAAATGAAAATTAAATGTCAATGTTATTCGATTATTTGATTAAAATATTAACATATAAAACCATCATCTCTATCAATACTTTCACATAGCAAAGTAACATACCTTGTGTCAGCTTGTTTGTTATATAAAGGATGTGTTGAAGTGTTAGGTGGCGGTGGCGGCGGGCTCTCGCTATAACTGCTCTCCTCCGGTAGAGCTGGTCTCGTCGGAGGAGTATCCGTTGTCGTCATAGAGTGCCCCTCTCCGTTCTGCGCTCGGCTGACGACGTTGTCGTTGGCGTATTGATCGACGCGCTGCTCCAAATTGCCGTTTGGATAATGTGGACTGTTCTGTGAGCCAGCGAAATGTCGGTTCGGATCGATGTAGGATTTCGCATCCTGACTGCCGGAATCCCTACCGAGCAGGTTCTCATTGGGTATTGTTTGATGGCCGCGAATCGTTCCCTCGTTCTTCGGCTTCGGCATCATCGGGCCGTATTGGCCACCGGCCGCTGGGTGCTTAGGATATTGATTGTACTGGCCATATTGGCTGTACTGAGTGCTGTTGTACTGCGGGTATTGGTTGTCCGGATAGTTGTAACCCGGCACATTTTGTCTCGCAGCGGTGTACGAGGAGGTGGTGCCCAAGTTCGATGTAGAACCAAGCGGTCTCGGTGATCGGACGTTCAAGGTATTCGACAGTTGCTGAGAAGGCGCTGCTCCTCGTGCACCGATGTTGTACATCGCCGGTGGTCGATGTTGGTTCAGCAGCGGCGCACCACCGCGTAATTCCCGACGACGAACCTCCTCCTGCATCTCCTGCAGCTTCGCCTCCTGGCGAATCATGTCACGTGATGACTGCGAACGCGGCGGCAAACCTCCACTCTGCTGCTGCAGCTGGTTGTTGATCGTTGAGTAGCTCTGTTGCTGGCCTTGAGTGATGTACGCGGACGTCGGACGGTCTCGAATGTGACCGCTAACTTCCAAAGTGGACGGACGGTTCAGCGAATTTTGAGAGCCTCTCAGCGTCTTCTGAATGTGTTGGGGATTCCTGAAAAGTGCATACGATGAAGTACAAATGCTTCGAATGACGTTCAAGAGAAATCTTAACTCTCTACAGTCGTTTATGAGAATATTTTAATCTGTAATTAATTACAAGTGTATGATACTCGAAATAAAAGATTGAAAATCTTATCTCTTATCAATTAAATTTAATGAGTTGTGTAATATCCTAATTCCTACGAGTATCGAAATAATTTGCAAACGTTCTTTCAAAATGAAAGATTAGAAAATTGCGGAATAAATAAAATTCCGCAATTTTATTGCGGAAACTAGGTACCCCCCTCTCATTTATGGCAATTTGTAGATTTTACCTCTCGTCCGATTGATGCGGACTGATCTGTTGTTTCACCGTCGGGTCTTGATTTCGATAAACGCTTAGGTTCTGATAAAACCTCTCTGCCTCCAAGTTCTGCGCATTCAACGGTGCATTAGTGTGCGTTGGGTTCGGATTCAAGTTAGGTGACGACTGCTGCCTGCTGACCAAGCCGGAAGGCGGTAAAGTCCCGATTCTCATGGGGTCGTGTAAGTTGTGACTCGATCTGCAACAGAGAATTCATTCGCTTGATATCACGAAGCTCCAAGACGAAAGTTTATGTCAAGAGCAATTTCAGTGAATTGAAATTATTGAAAGGTGTAATAAAGGCGCTCACCTGGAACGCAAGGAAGTCGCGCTGTTAATTGTAGCCATGGGAGGCGGCTGGACAGGCGGCGTAACGCTGTTGCTGGAAGAGGCTCTGCTGTATCCAGGGTTGAATACCTCATGCTGCTGCTTGGCCTCGGTACCCACATCTAAATAGAGCCAGGTTTTGTGGTATCGAATGTACACATGAAGTGTCGCGACGTTCCTCTTAGTTATCGCGTGATCGTTCTTACAGCTCAATTAGAACTCGACGAAGCCGAAAATGATCTTGAAACATGTGCGCGCGCACATACATACACACACACACACACACACATACATAGATGCACGCGTATACACAAAGCTCGCGCGCTACTTACTATGCAATGCCGGCACAGACTTGCTGCTGTGGATTTGCTGAGGAGTGGCGTCGTGTCCAAGCCGTGACGGTAGATCCCGCTCGCTCATGCGACGAGGACCTGCGGTTGCCCAAGCGGGTACACAAAGACAGCTTTGAGTTAATGCATCGGTGAACACCACAAAGTGCTGAAGGCGCGATATTAAATGGTCGTTCATGCACATACGCAAAGCATTTGTCGAGAGCGAAACGCTCTCTTCTGGGTCGCCGAAGTCCAATCGCGGTACTCTCGCGGAATGTATGCTGACTTTAACGAAAACACTTTGAACAAGCGGAAGGAAAATGTCATACGGCCGAGTGATGACATGTCGAGCCACGTTCGAATTTGTGCTACATATGTTATTCTGTCACATCCGAGCTGTAAAATCACTTTGACTGCTGTGTTACCAAAGCGTCGACTATGACACCCAGAAGAGTGACGTTCGCATCGCTTTACGTAATAATATAAAGAAATAAAAATAGACGAGAAAAATAAAAAAAATTGCGCTGCATCTCTCTCTTGCAGAAAAGCCGCGTTGAACGTAACGTTGAACAGATAATTATGAACATGAATGCACCTAACACACATATTACACTGCGTGCGTTGCGGTTTACGATTAGGCGATTATTCCCGTTCTGATCCCTTGCGATGAAACCAATTTAAAATAAAAGAAGATCGCGCGCGTGCAATCAACAAAGTGAAAGCCACGTAATTACAGCAGCTCGTAAATGAGACAATTAACACTTGACACACGGGCATTCTTACTACGTACATAATTCTACAATAATCACGTGCACGCATGGTAACGTTGTACGAGCTCGTCGTTGCCGAATGCGTTATCACCATGCGGAACGACGGACAGTGGCGTCTGAGAATTCAATTAGCACATCATGCTCTCGCGCATTAGCACAGAATCGCGTGTCATATATTATGGAGCACACAGAATCGTGTCGGTCATGGATACATGTTAAAAAACCCGGAGAATGACACTTTCATCACTCTGCACAAAGCGAAGGCGGATGTTACGGTAACATATAAGTCATAAGAAAAAAGTAATAGCAATCGATCATATTAAGTCAACAACCGACAGAATCAACTTCTCGATCCAGAAGCCAAGTCTGGAGGGCCAAGTCTTTCTTTAGAAAGACCTTTGGAAGATTGCACGCATGTTCTACGATCTTGCACAAGCAACTCGGTCCGCTGTCAGTTCTTGACTTAACAGTATGACGAGTCGTGCCGCAGAGCGACGTGTTGTTGCGTAAAATGCGAGAGTGGTTCATGTCGGGAGCGAATGTTGTCGGGACTTGATGGTTGCGTTGCGAACGCGAATGAGGGAGAGGGGGAGAGAGAGAGAGAGAGAGATAAAGAAAACTTATACAACGTGAATGACAAACGGGTCCGAACGCGTGCGACATTGAAGCGTCGGCGAACGTCGATTTTCCATCCATCGTCTCTGATTCAGGCAGTGCACGGGGAAAATAAATTAAAAGATCAACTAAATGCGCACATTCAACGCATAACACGTGGGTGTGGTGTGGTTGCTTACGCGAGGCGTGCGACCGGTCACCATCTTTCAGCGAGCTGATCTCACGGAAGCTCCAACCGTCCCTCTCCGAGTCGGACTTCCGCCTCGAAACGTCCAACTCGCTCTGAGACTTGCGCGGTTCCTCGTCTCTCGCCTCGTTCTCACGCGACAGTTCGAGAGCGCTTCCTCTTAGCCGATCGCAACTCACGCGTTTTCTGCGAAGTCTCTTCGGCATCCAGTCGGGCCGTTGAACTTCGGTAACCAAAATCGGACTGTCTTGTTCGCGCGACTCCCTCCGCGATCTCAGTTCCTCGAGCGATCGGCGACCGTCCCGTCGCAGCTCCTCTCTATCTTCGAGAGCTGATTTGTCGCCGGCTGGTCTGCCGAGTCTTTGAATCTCGTCGGTTCGGACTGAGGTACAGTGGTCCTGCCAGCTCGATGCTCTCTTCGACTTCAGCTCTTCGAGAGAGCGGTGACGATACCAACGTGTCCTCTTCTTCGATTCAGAGTTTAATCTGTCGCAGCAGGATTTATGGGACGAATCGACGTCTTTACGAAGGCTTCCCGAAGGCCACTCTCGACCAACGGGATCGGCTAGGAACTTACTGCTTAGGATATTTTCGCAGCTGCGCGTCAACTTAGCGGATTCGCCGCGACGCTCCGCGATCTGCAGATCGGTCTCCTCTTTGCTGTAAATCGCAGCGCCGATTAAATTGTCCTCGCTGCTGCAGAGCGGTCTGGCAATTCGCACGCGCAGAATGTTGTTATCGTGCGCACTCGATCGCGTGCACGCGCTCGCACGTGGCGGAAGCATAGACGGACTCTCCAAGGAACTGTCGTTCGAGCGGTTCTTGACGGAAGAATGAGAAATGTCTATGAACAGGCACGACTTGGGATGCTTGCCGCAACGTTGATGGACTTGCGACTCGCTATCTTCTGGAGACAGAGAACTTTTCGCGACGTTCGAGAAGGACAACACGACGGAAGAATGGGAAGATGAAGGAGAACGTACGGAAGCCAGGGTAGAAGAAGACGACGAAGAGTCGGAAGCTTCATCTTGTTCAGTTTTCTGTGGGTTATCACTTATATTGATCAGCGACGGTAACTTCTCCTGAGGCATTACCTCTGATTGATCTGTCACGTTTAACCGAGCGGTGTTATCAGGAGCAGACGTCTCATTATTCTCGTCCTTCGAAGGAACTAGTTCCACATCTCGTTCAGGTATGAATAAAGGCGCATCAGCGTTATCCAGATTTGAGAATTGCTCGAGTTGCTCTACGATCACCTGCTGTTCCTGCAACGACAGCTTAGAGCTGCTGTTTTTCACACTTACGTTTTTAGCCAACGGATTTTTACTTTCGGGAGCCTGAAGTTCGTTCTTATCAGTTGCTGCTACCTGGTGATCTTCGATTCCCGCGACTTGATTGTTGCTCTCGTTATTCGACGCGTCATCGTAGTTTTCGATCTCTGTCAAGGCTACGCTCTTCCCAACATCAGTGACGGCGATTTGCCCGGTACTATCGCTCAACGAAGGAAACCTGGCGACGGTGACTCGTTTGGCGCCGCAATGATGGAGTTTGCATCCTTGAATCGCAAAGTTGCCGTCCGTTTCGACGTCCACTAGTATGACATTACGCCTGGCAACCGAGCCGATTCGAGAATCGTCGTCAATATCCCTCGTCAGATTGGAGTCCGACTTGTACTCTTTCACGCGCCAAGGTTCATGACGCGATCGTTCGTTGCTCTTTTCCGGTGTCATGATGTCCGGTTCCGATACGAACTGCCGAGAATCGGTCAATTTGGTGGACTTGAACCTGATGAGACCGGCGTCGCCAAGTTTGGAGAAGTGCTTCGCCAGAGCGGCGACTCTGCCGCACCCCAGACGCACCTCCTCCGGCGACTTCCAGCACTTCTCTGTCTTGGACTCGTCGCTGGACACGTCGCTATTCAGTCCGCTCAGGTCGAGGTGCAGCTCCGGCATTATGGTGTACATCTTGGGCGTCGAGATGCCGTCCTCGGTGCTCCTGTCGGCTCTACTCGACGCGAAATCGTCGTTAATCGTGGAACTTGATTCGTCAGCACAGTCTTCCGAGTTGGAAATGTCGTCTAGCCTGTCCTCATATTGTTCGTTAATATCTAATTCGCGTTCCGTGCTATTATTTGCGCTTGGTATTTGCAGGTGTGAGAAGTTGTCTTGGCTGGATTCTACGACGGTATTATCTGGCGTGATTACTTGATCTTCGACGGACAACGTCGATCTACTTGGTGACAAGTACAAATTGCTACATGCGCCTAACTCATAATTAGATTCCACGACATTAAGAGCCTGGTGACTTTGACGATCTGTGCGCTTGTGGGCACCCTTAAGATTAGAGTTACACGACGTTCCCTGAACACATTCAGAAGTTTCCGCGAGATTAATATCATCGGTTTGGTCGATGTACGGTATAGTGTCGAAGAAGTTTTTGTCAAAAGTCAGTGACGAGCGTTTACCGTCTGTCATAGGCGCTGCGTATTCCTCCGGTGGTGTCGTGATCCTCTCAAATGGATTTATAGCGTCCACCGAGTAAGACGAGCGGTTATCCGTCGCGATTCTACCTTGCTCCGCGATACCTTCATCCTCTTCGATGATTTTATCATCGCTTTCGTCGCTTTCATCTTGATATATGACGGATGATACCGCGTTATCGCTCGTGATTGAGATCAGAGGGCAGTATAGAGGCGTACGGGGTTTCGGAGGGCGCACAGGGGAGACGGTGGGAGTGGATGGACGACACAGGTACTCTCTCTCGTCGACGAAGCCACGGAACTCGTCGACAGGATAAGATATAGTCGAATATGCGCTTCTCTGATGGAGAACAGAGAACGGATCCTGCCGCGCGGAGTGGTACTCCTCGAGATCTAGTCGCGGGAAACCTCGATCGAGCTGATTACGGTAAAAGGACGCCTCGAGAAAGCGTTGGGACGGGATCGCACCTGGTTGAGCTACATCCTGACACGCCGTCTGCTTCGGCAGGGACAATAAGTCGCCCATCGAGTGTGACGTGGCTGGCTGGCCGGCTGCCGCAGCTTCCGCTGGTGCCGCCGGCTCTAAGAGCTCGGACCTCGGTCGACTCTTATAGGCTGCACGAAACAAGTGGTTAGTCAAGCGTTAGTAAAGCGACCTTTCTGCGGGCGAAGCGAAGCGGAAGGTGTTACTTCGACGGAACGGTTATTTGGATTAAGAAAACGCCCGTCAGCGGGGATATTGGTAATCGAGGTGTACACCCGGTCGACATTACGACGCACAGAACGGAATGTCGCTGACACGTGCGCTTGAAGCGAGATTATGATGAATTCATCGGTTGAACCGAAAGTTATTTCACCTCTCCCAATTGATGTAATTTAGTTATTACGTAACCGTGATGTCTCGTTGGATTTCGGAAGTTATTCGTGATAAAAGGAGAATTATTTCCCGCCGTCGACACAACTCATTATTTTTGTTAGATCTTTACACAAAGAACTGAGGAAAAAAGATCGAATTAATTAAGTTCTACGTTACATTGTACGTCACATGAACGATTGACTGTTGTTCCTTGCGAATTTTGTCACGTAGACGACACACAGACGACAAAATACAATTACGACACTTCGATTATTTTTTTTCTTGCTTCAGATGCTGCTATAAATTAGCCTCGCAAATTGGCTTTGTTTTTATAAGTTTTTATACGTACCTCTCGTCATAACAGGGGAAGGTTGAGACAACAACGTTGCAAGACCGTGATATATAGCACCTTGCTTTGCAACCTCCAACGTCACAATTGGCCCGGTACGTACGAGATATTCGGCAGCCCTATAAAGTTTTAATGACATAAGGATTAAAACCTTGTTTCCTGTACGTATATTCTCGATCGAGGAATTGATTGAATTTGTGAATTATATCATTGTCCGTCGTACTTTTCTTGCGTAATCCCTACGAGACTCTGTCCATCCACCTTGAGCAGCTGATCGCCTGCTGTCAGTCTACCATCCTGGGAAGAAATAGATGAAATTGATTAGATAAATTTAAATAAAAATTATATAGTTTTTTATTTAATTTATTTTTCTAATATTTGAAAAGTACAATGATTACAATGTCAAGGGAGATAGGTTTTCTAATCCGTGTGATAATTAAGCGAATACGACTACTTACAGCATCTGCTGCACCGCCAGTGACCACACTCTTGATGTAGATGCCTAACCGATCTTGACCCGCACCCTACACTCAAATTAAACCAGAATTAAAATATCACATTTCACTGATAAATAGATATATAATTGAGGGCACATACCTTGGCCGCGACGATGCTCAAGCCCATACCGTTGGTACTCTTGTGCAATTTAATGACATGTATTTCCGGTTGGGCTTGGTTTTGAGTGATGTGACTGGTATAACCACCCGATCTGTTACTCATCGCGCTGGGACTACGCAACTGCAACAAAAGTTTAACAAGTACCCGTGAGCTGGCTTGTATATCTTTTTTACAAAAATAAGTTCGTATAGCAGACAGTTGCAAGTTTTGTTGAAAGATTGTTATAACTTTATTTCCAATTAGAAAATTTAATGAGAGCTTGTGTATTTACCAATTAATTTTAGCATCGGGGGTAAACATAGATTATTCCATTTGAATGAGTTACAGAGATATCCAGCTTACATTGTTATGGTGATCTATCATGTAAATGGTCCAGTGCCCACTGCTAGTGGGTTGAGCCGCCATTCGACATAAGCCGTCTCGCTGTAGAGGTGCCAAAAATTCTGCCAATCCTGGTGGAACGCCTCTTATTACCTCGCAACTATAACCGTCGTCAGGTAGCAGTAAAGCTAATCCCAGAACAGGTTCTTCTTCCAGTCTTATCTCCCGGCCGTCTGAACGTGCAAGCGTATCAGCGACACTCTCTGCTACCTGCACCAAACAAAAAAAATCATGTAAAAAAATGATATATTCTACATAAATTAATTATTGAAATATCAACAATAATAAATAGATCCGAATCATAATTCCGTCAAGCGTACTCACCCTTACAACGTTCTCGATCAGCTCGGCGGGCAGTCTAGGCTCGTCTGCGGCAGGCTGATATTTCTGCAGTAATGCCCTGACTTGCAGAGAATTCAGCTTGAAGCAGGTAGAGCTTAAGGTAGCCAGCTCTTCAGCGTTATACTTGGGCGCCTGTAGCAGATGAGTCGCCTGCATGATCGTCGCCAAATGACATTGACTGGCGAGTTCCAAGCCTTGTCTCTCCGCCCAGGTCTCTAAGGCATTCAATCGCGCCTTTAACCTGCGCCCAAACCATCGAACACACAGATTCCCATTGGAGACCAGAGTATTGAAGGCTGTGGCATTGATCGCGTGGAAGAGATGACTGAATAGTTGTATCGTCAATGCAGCGTTCACCCGGCATCGTCGCAACAATGCCATCGAGTTTGAAAATATCTGCAATACCCCGGCCTCTTTCGCCGGTTCGTCCGCGTCTGCCATAAACTGAGTCATCGCTGGTGCCAGTTCCAGCGTGACACATCGCACCAGCGAGCCGAATGATGTATGCACCGCGTCCGTCAGGATATCTTGCGCCCTTGTGGAAAATGCTCCCACGTGTCGGTCACTCTTCAGCATGTGTAACAGCTCAGAGCCGTTCGCTAACCAGAAAGCCAACGACGAAGCGTCCATGTAACGTTCCTGGGAACGACATATTCGATTAGCAGCAGGAAGCGAATAAGGAAGAAATTAATTCAACTTCCAAATCAATTAGTTAACTTCTAAATACCTGGATAACACGTTGTATCATAGTAGCGACATTCGCCAACATAACAGTGAGACGATGCGCTCTCTCTGTGGGCTGCAACTCCGGCCTGTAGTGAGTGCTGGCGCGATACCTCGCGCTCAGATAGAGGGTGTAGGTCGGAGCCAGCTTGAACTGCGGCGCCGAAGGTTCCACGTCGGTGATAACAGCATGAAGAAACGTCTCTTCGGTTTCCTCGAGGAATTCCAGGACGGCAGGTAAGATCGGGTCTGCGCCTCGTGGCTGTCGTTCGTACTGTGCAAGCCTGTTGATAATTAATGTATATATTAGCTTCCTTCGTTGAAATTATTTTTCAGAAAAAAATCGTGCTTTGAAAATGAGAAAATAGTTAAATAACATCGAGTTTGCATCCTGATATTAAACAACATACAGAAAAGAAGATTAGCATTAATCAATTCCCAAAAGATCTGATCTCTTCGCATTTACGGTCCGGGCTTTTCGTTATAAATCCGGTCCCAGCAGTATACTTGAGTGTGTTAATATGTATAATTTCTTTTTCTTAGCTCGACTCGAGCATTAACTCATCGTGAATTCATCAGCGCGTTTCTACCTGTTGCCGTCTCTACTGCTGCTCAGACTGGCAGTCTCTACATTGCCATCCAGGTCGAACGTGGTCTCGTAATTGTGCGTGGGTTCCGACGGGTGCGTAGGGCTACGAGGACTACGAGCGGCAGCGGACTTGGAGGGACTGGACGGGGTCGCCCGCTCTTGACTCTGATTCGGGGCCTGAGCGCCGCCGTTCGGCGTGCCGGACCCTGGTCGGAACTTCTCCGAGCTGACGTCCTGGCTGGTCGCGTCCGGCGAGCGTCTGTCGTAACGTGCGTGCGAAGCGCAAATATCGCGAGGAGAAAAGCAAATATAAAGCAAACCGAACGAAATAAAAGTAAATGGAGCGGATACATAATAAACTGAAAGGGAAACTGAATAGACGAGTAAAAATACATGAGGATGTTTGGTTGATTAACGAGCCGCTCTGGCCGAAGATGAATGAAGATTCTTAATAACTCGTTAGCTAAACTGATCAGCGTTGGACAAAAAAAGCGTTGTAGTCTATTTATGTCTTATTATGTAGTGACATAATAAGACACAGCAATAAATGTGTCTGATGATTATAACGAGCTGAGTAAGTGTGATTATTATAAGTGCATTTGAAATAAACCACGAAAACGAGCAACTGTTAAATCACACAACGAGCGGGCAACAACATTCACGTCTATCCTCACCTGATTGCAGCGGCGAAGGGTACAAGTAAAGACATTGGACTTACCGGTCGTAAGCATAGTCGATCTGCTTGTTGGAATCGTGTCTCTGCCTGATGCGTTCTTCCGGCGCTGGGTCGATGAATCGGAAAGTGTGCATCCTGCCGAACTTGATGACAGCTCCATTCTGTAGAATAAAATATCTTATCAAATATCTTATGTGTCCGTTGTTAAAATCCCTATCTATAGAACAAAAATAACGAGGATAAAAAAATGACAGTTGCATGTCACATAATAATCTCAGAAACACACGACAGAAATATGTGTCAGCGTTTTAATAATGTCAGATATTATTAGTCGTAAAAAGGATTAAGCCGTAAAAAGCGGCTATCCTCGATGGACGTACCTGCAGTATAGTGGTCTGGTGTATCCTCTGGTTGTTGACGTACGTGTGCGCGTCTCTGGAGCATGGCGTGAGGGTGACAATGTTCTCGGTGAAGGCTATCACGCAATGCCTTGGCATCACTGTTGGCCCCGGCAACGTAAGCGTTTGCGCTTGTACCGCTTGCGGTCCAATCGGCCGCTCCGATCCCACTTCCGTTACATTGGGTTGTAATCGATGTCGCACCCCGGCACCATTTGGAATATCGCTACCGTCAGGATTGAGCTCCAGCAGAAAAGGCAGCCTCTCGTCCTCGTACCTGTAGAAATATAAAAAATCACTATGCACAGAATATAGCACAACTGTAGCAAAAAGTGGATTAATATACGTCACGCGTACTTTCCATACACACGTGATGAATTACCTTTTTCTTACTCTTTCTACGAAATTGTCGTTAGCAAACGCACATATAAGATCGTATCTTATGATTTCCACAGCTTTCTCGCAAATTATTTTTCGCTCTATGTGTAATTTGTAATTAATTATGGGCTGTGTCCCGACGGTAGTTCAAGTTTTAATTGCAAAAAATACTTACTTGTTATCAAAAGATCGCAGGATAGCTAACAATATTGGCTACACTTCAAATTTTTCCGGCATAATTAAAAGCGGATTATATATATATATACATATATATGTATATGTATCAGATAACTACTCATCGAAAAAATTACGCCGCTTGCGTAACTGTATTCTGCAATTATATTGTATATTTAAGATTACATACCTATGGTCCAGTTCGTTCCATTTTCCGGCGGGTTTCTTTTTACGTTTCCGCGGCATGTAGTCCGCAGGCCTCCTCCTCACGTGGAACATAATAGAACCTGCAATGAAAATCAAGACCAAAACACTTTACTTAAACGTAACAGACATAGCGAGACGATGTAGTTTCTCACAACTATGTAAATTATAAATTGTATACAGACTAATGGAAGTTATAACTTGCGACAAAGTAGTAAAATACGAGGATAAACAAAAAGACAACGAATACAATGAAAGTAATGAAAATTTGATGTCGGCGCGCGCTTCTGGAAGTACAAGAGGCAAGCGATGTGAAGAAGGGAAAGGGAATAAAGGGAACCTCTTCGTCTTCTTCATTAACCATTGCGGCGAATGCTCATCGTTAATTCACAGAGCCGCGCGGCATATAATAATCGCGCATGAGAAGCTTCGCGGTAAATCGTCGAATTAGTATGATGGACTAGATAGTGATCGTGCATTTTTCTCGCATTAAAGTATTACCGCGCGTTCCCTGCCGAGCACGCACATGTGCTACAAGGCCCGCGGGCTTCTCACGGAAGAAGACGGAAAGGGAGAATGACTCTCGGCTTCGGGTCAGCGCGCCGCACAGTCATTGCACCCGTCGTCGCTGGCGTTTTCATCGCGTTTCCCTCGTCCTTGCTTTCGCGAACGACGTCGCAATTTCGTACTTTCGGCCACGAGCGCGATCGACGAGCTGGCTTTCGGACAGCGAATCATCGTGCAAGCTCGGACTTTAACGGATTCGTAAATTCGAAGACCGTGGAATCCAATGATCCGGGATCCAGGATCTAGGAATAGACTTAAACCGTTGAATTTCCAGTAGCCGTTTTTTTTTTTTAATTACTGCTGGATTCCGAGCGATTCAAAGTCCCGAGTGACTTACGGCCGATCTTTGCACGTTTGAAGGAAATAACAGGTAGAGGATGTTCCGGATTATATATAACAATGTAGGATCGCAGGTAGTATTCAAGAAATTCCAGGAGCCGATTGAATTCTGAAGACTTCGAAAGGAAGTCTATTGTGAACCATGGAATTTCCAGATTCAAGATTTCCTAACTAAAGAAAACCGAGTTGCTTCAGAAGCAAAGAATTTTCAGGTGTCGTGAGGTCAGAGAAATGTGTATTCACGAGAAGATTTGAAGAGTTTCGAAGGAACCAAAGAAAAGAAGAAACTTGTGCTGCTGAGGGAAAACGCAGCGTGATTTCAACATTCGGAGAGAGACCAATCGTAGAACCGAAGCATATCGATTGATTTTGGATTACTAGTAGATGATTTCTGATATTTTTTTCTTTTCTTTACACCGTATGATGATTAACAGCTTCTTCCTGATCGAATCTAACGAGCCAACAGTCTGATTAAACGAGTGTCCTAAGCGCATAGGACTTGAAATCTTTTCAAAAGCACTCACCCAACATCACCTCCACCTTGCCGCTTCGGCGTGGCTTAAATGGCCAAAGTCCGATCATGTAATACCTCTAAACCGACCACTTACGTACACGTAACAACATCAACAGTATCAATATCACGTGCGACTTTATTATTATTATTATTACTATTATTATTATTGTTGTTGTTATTATTATTACAAGAAAAAATTCTCTTATCCGGAATGCGTGGAAGCTGTTCTATGATTTTATGTCAATGATGTCACAGATACGCCTCGCAGCAAACGACGACCTGTTTACGACGAAATCTCACATTTTTATCACACATTTTTACGCGAGTCGCTCATCTCGGCAATTTTCAAGACGACGCTTCATTTTACGAGAACGTATCAAACGACAAAATTGTTGTCGCATATTGTGTCGCATTATTGCTCATGATTAATCTTTTACACACACAGCAGCCGATACTCGCGAACAAAACGTTGATCGACGTAATGTTTTTATCGCGCGGAGAATTTAAAGTGTTCGTAGAATAAGATATTCACAGACAATGATAAATCTTGATGTTATTCAGATGTTGGAGTCGTGTCAGAATGATGAACGGGAATGATAGATTCAATAACTGCATTTTCTCGAGGACATCAAGAGTAAATATAGATTTCTAGTACGTATTCAATGCTGATTTTCCCAGTACGTATGTATGAACGTACGTATGAATCGATTAGTAGATTTTTATCGGCGCTAAATAAAATCTCAAGTTCTGAGAACGACAGAAAATAAGGTACACGTCGCTAAATTCGCTAAGGTACACCTGTTGCGACATGTACATAGCTTTTCCAGCTTTTCGCAGCAAATGCCAGAACGATATCACGCAATACGAGAAACTCTCAGACATCACGCGCGCAATCGATCAGGTATGCATACGATATGAGGAAAAGGTGATGTCCTTCCGCGCGAAAATGAATCCTTCCCTCGATCACTTTGCGAATATGTAATTTACGAATTAACTGTGTGTCGCGCTTCTTTCTACCGGATCATTCGCATTTTATCGATAATAGGCAACAAAATGCGCGGAAGGGAAGTCTAAAAGAACGAAGAGTAATGTATAATTAAAACTGGCAAGCTTCAGGACGCGCGCGTCGTTGAATAATTAACAATTCATATTTGCACACACACAAATTATGCACAAATTATGCACGTGGTTTAATGGGTGCTCTGTCCCCGTTAGATGTCCAATTAACTTTCGACGGGCGCGAAGTACCACCGAATTCGCGAGTCACACGGTCCGGGAAAGGGAAGATTAGTATTTTTGGCTAACGAGCACGGCCGTGCATACGCGCGACGGAAATGTGCGAAACGTGAACGTAATTATTCGCGTATCACGAGAGACTCGACGCGTGAAAGCGAACGTGACGCGTTGAACGTTTATGGCGCGCCGGACGATACTCTACACGGCTCGCCCGTTAAAACAACACTGGTGTGTAACTTCTTGTTACTTTCGTTCCGTACAACAGCACATAGAAACGAGTACGATAGAGCACACGTGAGACCGGCGCAAGCGTGATGAACAAAGTCGCTTGCACCGTACGAGCCTATAGCGGTTTCTTCATTTACTCGCGCCGCGAAATTATTTATTAAGCCGTCGCATTAGGTCGAGAGGCATTTGCGCGATAGGTTTAATTTTTCATCAAAGCAGAGACGGATAAGCAAGAGGGAGGGAAGAAAGGAGGGAGGAGAAGAGACAGGGAAGAGACTCTGCGGAAGAAGAATGTCGTTTCGCCTAATTAGCTGGCTGGCTGGCTGACTGGCTCGCAGGAGCGCACGTGCAAGAGTCTCACTTTTCGAGCGAGAAAGAAGACCGCGAGATGCGAAAGATGGATGGAAAATAAGAAAGGAAGAACGTGTAATTTGCAGGTACGCTTAATAGGCGTTTTCAAGCTTCAAGTACCAAAGTTCGAAATGTGCCAACAGATGTCTAACCGTCGAAATAACTTGCTACAAAACGCATGTCAACATGTACAGAATCAATATAAATTCGTCATCACTGTATCCGACAGAGAGATAAAAAAATGAATATTCGTGCTCTTTTCTTCTTTGATACTTGATCGATCCAAGTGCAACGAAGGCCAACTGGCTTTGACCCACCCACGGTCAACGTCCTGCTTCTCGAGCAAAAAATGTATTATGAATAAACTGATATAAATAGATTTTCCTGTTTTTAATTACTTTCTTCCCTCAATTTTGTTTTCTCTTAGTATATAAATTCTAAACGTGGTAAAATGGAGAGCGAAAGATTGCTCGGAAATGCTTAAGTTAATCCAAAAAATGTAACAAAACCATGATGTACTACTCATGTGAAATTAAAAGAAGTTGTCGTGCGTAACAGTCCATGAGTCCTAAAAAAGAAACGCTATATTTGAAGTATAAAAATTTCTACTTAATAATCCTGGGACATTGACACAGGATTTTCAGAAACTAGATATGACTTGGACTTGATTTCTGATGATGATTTTGAAAATTCCTCATGTGTTATGTCTGTAGCCTTTTTGTGTGTCAATTGTGCTCGGAACGAGTCGAGCGACTTCGATCGGGAGCGCAATTCATCATCGTTGCGTTCGCAATCGAGGAGCTGGAATTTCGCTTGGTCGCGGAGCAACACGTCGAAACAATCGGGATCGACGCACGCGACTATTACTACCGGGCGGAAAGGAGAAACTACCGACGGTATTTTTAGAGAAACGAAGGTAGCACGCTAGTGCTCGAATGTAGGTCGACATACAACGCAGGCTGTTCCGGCGTTTTATTGATTTCCCGCGCACCCAATTCCGGCATACATACGCCGCGTCGTCTTATCATCGTGCGATGCGTAGAAGGTGCACGATGCACAAGGGAGATCATGGGAGATCACCTTAATACCCTACTTGCCCTTTCTTTCTGATTCTATACGACCTTTATGTCGGCCTTTGCGAACACTGCGCGCTATAAAAAAAAAAAAAACTTGCGCAATCTATGTGGAAAGATTTACCCACCCTTTCTTATATAAAAATACTTTGTTTTTCTCATCTTTTTTAAGGCTTGTACTTTCAAGACGTTAAACTAAAGTTCAAGTACGCAGTACTATGTAGAAAATTGAAAGTTCAGAATTAAATAGAGACCTACGTGAAATTGTAAGATCAAAGAATACGATCCTCGTGTCGAAATTACATCATCAATGCTTAATCGACAGTGTGACAATAATGAATTAAAAAAAGAACGCTATAAAGTTTCCTGAATTTATATCCAAATATTTGTGTCAGACGAAGACTCTCTGATGACGGGTCATTGTATAAACATTTCTCCGAAGGGATCGATCTATCATCCCACGTCATATATTGCAAATCGCTCTTACACTTCGCGTTTCCTACGGCATTTGATCAGCTTTCAAAAGAGCTTACGTCGTATTCCCCAATCCATCATGTCGACCGGCTATTCAGTAGACTTCGTGGTCCCTTTGTCGGATTATTGCTGCTGTTAAATATTGGTCCCCCTTGTCCCCTCCTTTTTTTTCTTCCTTTCCTTCCGTTGTCCGATACTCCCTTCTGTCTCGGCCCGGCGAAAAGGCGCTGGTCCCTTAAGCTAATCGCGCGAATCTTATCAACTAGTGAGGTCGTTGGGCGTCGACTTGTAATCAAATTTCCTCGGCATCAATTCCCGCGCTGGCGACGTTGACAAGCCGCTGGTTGGAAGCCGCGATTAGACGCAATTATCTTCGTCGATGAGCCAGATGCTCCATCTGTGTCTCAACGGCATCGCTCGCATTCGAATGTTCGATAACAGTCAGCTGAGTTAACACGTCCGAGTCTCACGTCGTTCGCTTTTTCTTCGCAATAGGGAAGCATCGCGAACTTGCTCTGCCGGTCGCATTCTCGGAGTTGTCCCGACTCCCGACACCGTCGTTACGGTTATGATAATCTGCATCAATGATGATACGCTTGCGAAAGATGTCGATGTATCGATGTGCTTCGTGAGTTGTGTGGTATTAATAGTCATGTAAACACGCCAGGCACGCTAGGCACGAGGACTGTACGTGTCTTATTATCGCGCCGATAGTCACACCAAGAGACTCGTTTCCCAGATATTCTTCTGCTCGCTGACATCCCACAATACATCGCCGCAGATACCGATCATGGTCGATCACGTTCTTGGACGCGTCGCAGTGTCATAATTATCTCTGCCGCGGATCGATGGCTATCATAGGGAGAGCTTCTTCAGGATTTCACGGCGGCGTGCTACTGTAAATCGACGGTATCTCATCGATCCCACATCGACCGATGATTCGATGTTTCAACACCTTTGTCATCTTCGCAAGCTGACGACGTATGACGATACACTGGCTGGAAGAAGACCGACGCACGAACAGTCTGCGGAGGAGTTCACAGAGATGATCTGTAACGATCGCGCGATAATTAACGGCCAAGTGAGGACGTTGCTTCGCGAACCCGACGTGGTGTCTCATAGAGATCAACGCGTGTCGAAAGTACCATCGACCGATGATGAATCATCGGTCATTGCCGACCAGGTCGACTTTGACACCTGCAAGCAGATGTAAAGCGTAGTCATGATCGCCGTCACGTGTTATTGGTCACAAAGAGACACCTGCGCACTTCGCGCAATCGCATCTTCACCCGAGGGCTCTTGTCAAAACCCGCCCGCTCGATAACCCGGGCTAATCTAGTGGCTTTCGTTCTCGAGGATGACTCTTTCGCTGAAATTTCGACACACGCACGACAATGCCGCGCGGAGATCGATAGGCGTGGGTGCGACTGTCAAGATCGCACGCTCGGTCACGGGGAAGTGACGCTCGATAACGGAACGACCGCGGCGTCGTGGCACACTCGTGCGCGGAACATTCTCACGGAAACGCCGACGCACCGTCGTTTCGAAAGCGCCGCCACCGTGGGTTGCGTTACTGTCGACGATCGTCAATCATCACGAAGATCCACACGAGATTATATCGATTTACCCTCGGATCTTCGCACCGTCTTCACGGACGCCGCGATGCACCCCACTACCACGATAGAGAATTCTCTCTTCACCTTGGTGGATCCAATTATTAAAGTTTCTCGCTGACATATTCTCGTCCTCGTTAATATCGCAAAGTCTGCGATATGTCTCGCCGACTAGACGATTTGGGTCATGATGTGGATGATGACTATTGATTCATAATCAAAGTAAATTTCTCTGCACGATTACAGCGGCCATACGTCGCTTGATAATTACGGAACGTCTCTCGTTTCTGCTGTTGCTTTAGCTTTTTGCACACTATTTCCATAATAACCAAGCTATTAACTTTGTCCAAACAATTAACTTTGTCGTTGTGTTCTCATTGATGTATACACTACTCATTATGCAATTACAATGGTCACTTTGTTGGACGAGATTACAAGGAACATTACGAACATTACGCGCCTGTTGTTAGGAATTTCTCTTCACGCTTTCACGACAAATCGAATAAGAGTTCGATTAAAGCCGCATTGCGTCTATTCAGTTGCTTGATTGGCGCCTTGTATTATGCGAGTGCAATAGCTGTTTGGTCCTCAATACGAAGCTGAAGGTAATTTCCGAGACCATATGCGTGTAGGTGGATCTACTTTCATCGTTAATTCCCTTTGATATGTCAACGATGGGTCAATCAGGCTCGATGTCGATTATTGACGCTTCATGTCGCGTTTGCGAGGTGTATAAAGCGTGACAGATGCTATTACACTTTTTTTTTACGAGATCACGATGTTCGGCGCCGCGAGTGGGTGGATCCGTTCTCGTTATTACGTACTCTCCTTTGATATGTCGCTGATGAGAGCCAATCACCGTTCGATGACGCTGCGCGTTTACGCGCGATTGCAATTATTGCGGCTGCAATTGCAGCCTCTTCTTTTGCGATCACGGGGTGTTGCGACAAGCATGTGTGGGTGGATGTCTTTATCTCTGTAAATTTTCTGCCGCAATACTTCGATAGGTCAAGTGAGTTCGTGTTAGGCTATTAATAGTTTCGCGTGCTATTTATGCACGCTGTTGTGACCAATAGCTCAGCTATTTATTCTCGTTGGGTCTAAGGGCTGCGCCACCGTGGGTGAACGACACTCGTTGGATTTCTCTCATCAATTTCTTCCAAATGCATCTTGAACACGCGATGTTAGCTGAGAGGCTCTGGCTATTGAAAGGCCTCGAGTTTGTTGTGCGATGGTGACTGCATAAAGAAAATCTCGAGAAATCAATTGATACAACAAAGAGACAGCACAGCTCTGAATCTGCACAGATTTCACGTAAGATATTTCGAGACGATCATTAATTCGCCGTAGGTGGGATCGATGACGCTGCCCGGTGGCGCGTCACTTGAATTTCGGCTCGGGAGCGTCAATTGTCGGAATCGCGGACAATCATTTCGTCGCGAATGACGACGACGGAATGAGGACAAAGACGGCGACAAGGCGGCGGCGACGACGGCGCCCGCGCACTGGCGCCGGTACCGACGATAGCGAGTCTACTGAGGCGAGAACGGGACCGATGTCGAGACATCGGTTGTTCTCCCTGCGCCATCCCTCTTCGACCACCCACACACTTGGTCTCTGTCGCCCCTGCCCACTCTCTTAGTCTTTCCCTCTTTCTCCTTCTCTTTCTTCCCACTCCCTTCAACTTGCGCCCTTATCAGCTGATACCGCAACGTGCTTTCACGCACACTCATGTATCTATCTCTCCTTCTTTCGTTCCTCTTTGCGTCCTTTCACTCGACGTCTTAATCTTCGTCAGACTACTTCACAAGTACTGTGCTCCCCCTTTTTTTTTTTTTTTAGTATTACTTCCTACTTTACACTTACTAACTCTAATAATCGGGCTTAAAAGGTATTTTTTGTTTTAAGAAAAAAATCTATCCCAAATTAGTCAAAGAAGCTCGTTATGTATAGAGAATACGGATGCAAAAACATGCTTCATACAATTACACACGGGCATGATAAACAGATAGATATTGTATAAACTGCTCAAAGAATTACACTCGTCAGAGATAAATCCTAAATAGGAACGATGATAGTTAATTTTGCTTACCTAAACCTCTTTCCTTTCTATGATACAACGATAAATACAAAAAGAAAATTGTTCGTAAGAGTTATGGTTGTGCGTAAGTGAACTTAAAGCGTTCGTGTAAAAGTAGAGAATTCTTACCTCGAGTAGAAGGATGATTCATTAATATTGCCAGAGGACATTCGTCGTCGTCTAATATGTACTCTTGATGCGCATTGCCACTCATATTTTCGCTATTAACCTATCAAATCAAAAAGAAAACGATTTATATATGTCGTACAAAAATATTTGGCGTTTACATTTGATTCGCAAAAACTGTGAAAAACCGCTATATCTGTATATCTTCTAATATCTATTAAAAAAAGGACTGTTCCACTTTCCACGATTAAAAATATTGCTTTATATTTTTTGCATATTGGAAAAGTAATCCGTTGTTTTTTCGTTTGATCTTAATCAAGCAAATTAATGAATGAGAGATTTAATAGATCTCTATTTTTAATTTTTCAATTTTATTACAATTTATCAATATTCTTATGTTATCGTACTCTTCTCTTCCTGTCTGTTAATTTTGTCTTACTATTTTCGTTGTTTCAATTATTGTTTTAATTGTATAATTATAATTATTATATATGTATTTGTTATATTTACACCTCTTCGCTGTTATAATATTTATTACAAACGTAGTATTAAATTCGTCATTTTATTTTAAAAACGATTTGCGTTCATATATTTTTTACAAATTCTATTAATAAATTCTGGCAGTTTTCCAGCAAGTTGGCTTCTTTCTTGTGCAAAATAGATAATATTGTATGTACCGCTATTTTTTATTGCAGTATCCAATAGTAAAAATATTTGATAGCCGAGCCTTAAATGTTTTTATATTATTTAACATTAATCAGTTTATATTAATTGAAAGAAATGTGTCGCCTATTTATTTGCGTAATCATTAAGTTCATAATTTCAATATAAAAATAGCCAACTTGTTCGAGAGCTTTAAAAATTTGATACTCACTACCGTTTCACATATACGACGTTACTCACGACTGAATCATGAACTCATACGCATATGCTAACCTGTACAAGGCAATACAACTGCGGGTCCACTTTTTCTAGGCCGTATTTAGAAAGCATCTCTCGCACGACCTGAGCGGCGGAGTCTCGTACGCTCAACAGTAGCGTCTTGTATGGCACGTCCTTACACAACGCCTCGCCATAAATTTTCAATGTGCCGCCAGTGTCGGGGCCGCCGTCTTTGCTGCGAAATTGCTGGAGTCTCCTCTCGAGCTTCTGTTGGCGACGGCGTCTCATCACCGCTTCTGGATTCGAGATGCTTCTCGTAAAACTGGTCTCGGGCAGTTCTGAAAAAAATAATGTTGTCATTAATAACACGAAAATAAGACGTCTATTCGTACTTGCACTAGTCGTAATATAAGGAAGTATCTCGGTCTATCTATTGAAATTATCATAAAGCGATTATTAGTAATCAAGCTAAGGTGATTTCGTATCTGACGCAACGCACTGAAGTATTTTTAGAACTTACGTTTGCTTCAGAGGACAACAATTAAACGCGACGCAACAATACTATAATTTAAGGCAGGATGTTCATTACACGCACGCACACATATGTTTCAGTCATGTATTCTCCGTGGAAATTCGATTCGATCGTTTAGACGCGCAATGTTTTGCACAAAATAAAAGCATAATAAAATAAACGCTAACCCGTGTAAAGCTTCTCAGCGACGCCGTTCTGATCGTCAGGCGCAGCGTTTTCGTCTTGCTCCAAGCTCTTCAGCCGACTGAGCTTCTCCTGCTTCTTGATCTGTTTCTTTTCTCGCTTGCTCAGCTTTCTACGGAAGCTCGAACCCTCGGCTGAAGTAAAACCGACGCCCTGCGTATTGGTCTTGTCGTCGATTCTTTTCAGCAAGAAGCGTCCCTCGCGGTCGTCTATGTGCCAATTTAGTTGCACCAGCAATGGCTTCTCCTCCAAGCCCAGCTTACGCTCTTCTGCGAGTGAAAAAGATTACATTATACACTCAAGATTAATATCGATAAAAAAATTAAGTTATTAAAATATTAAAAGCGATTTAAAAAAATCGTATGTTTAAATATAATTATATATAAATATTCAATATTTAAATATCACTGTATATATAATTTATTATTAAATAGGTGTGATTTTAATTTTATTTGTAACAAAAGTTACTTCCTTCGTGATACAATCGAGAGTATTTAATTCAACTCACCTCCGTTTTCATGAATTTCGTAGAGAGCGTATTCTGGAACGGATAACATTCGCATGTCAGGACGAAATTTTTCTATAAGCGTTTCTATTACTGCTTGGCTGGTCGCGTCTGAGGCAACCCTGATGCATTTCGTAGCGACTTTCTGACCACTATCTTGGAAGTAGAACCTCATTACTCCATGGAATTCCAAATCCTGTTGAGAAAAATAATGAGTTAGACAAAAACGTAAAGCGAATTATTTTACTAGATAAATTTCAGTTTTTACTAACATTGAATTCCAAGAACACACTAAAGAAAAGTGTATAGTTTACACTATTAGTTATACAATCAGAGCAAATATCTAATCTCAGTTGAAAACCCAAGATATCAGGAAAGGTAGAGAGATTTTTTTATACAGAGTTGTATGTTTAAAGATGATGGAGGAACAGTCGTTGTAGTACTTACTTCGTTGGGTTCCGAAAGTTCGAACAGGTCTAAGCGATTAGCATTCCATTGTTGTATGACCCCCCTGAGAGCCTCTCGCTCTGCCTTCTTGCTCGCCAGTTCCGTTGCCATCCTGAAAAAACACGACACGTGTAAGTAATTGCAAGTAACCGACACGACCGACCGTCACAGAAAACCGCGGTACGATCGATGCAATGATGCTTTGACATGTAAATCGCAAATGACTATATATATACTAGTCTCTTAATATTTTTTAACAATGTATCATTATTTTCTTTCTTAGTTATTCAGAAAATTCAGAAAATGTTTTTCTAAATTTTGTATTTTTCACGTTTAACGCATTCCTTCACACACACATATCCGTCCTCTTTAAAAAGTGAACTTAACTTTTACTACTTTACTTAAATACTAACTTAACTTTTCATTCTCTTTAGCTCCTTTTTGATATTTTCTAGAGCCGTCCCTATCATGTAGCTCGCGAAGCTGACTTTGTCTGTTGATACCACGGTGAGATAAATTACCACAGCAGAAATAAAGTGCGAGGCGTCTGTTCGGTGCACCAGGCTACTCTAAGTATCGCGCCGTGTTATGATTCTCGCTATGCAGTACGAATGTCCGATGCATGCGATGCATCCAGAAACGACTCCTCCTCGAATACTACGAATTACACAATGTATTCGAGAAATACGCACGTGCAGCGGCCTCGCGATAAATATATTTCGCAGTTATAGATCTTTGTGGAGGAGAAAACAGGAACCGCGAAACGTGCCATTCGCGCCTGTGCGGAAAATCTAAATTTGTGTGTCCGTCTCAAACAAAGTTGTGGATCAATATCCTCGGATAAAATTAACCAGAGTTATTCGGAGATTTATGAGCGAAAGAAATGCAACATCGCATGTGTGTGCGCATTGCTCATTTCTGTGCAGAACTGAAGCAGCATGAGCATCTCTAATGTCGGCGCTCCTCGACCTTAGACTTTAATGTTTAATTAAAAAAAGAAAAAAAATCGTTTGTCCGCCGATTTTTAAAATTTCGCCTGTAATCATTTTACTTGCTTAATTAGCTCGCTGCATCTTTAGTCGGTTAGTCGCGTAACTTTAGTCATCACCTTAATTAATCCAAGTTGAAGTTCGTATCGAGGATTAACCGACGACGTCAACTAACTTTAATCTCAGCTAACCGAGGCTGCGCACAACCGAGCCTCGGAGTTTCCAGACGGTGAGACGATCCTCGAGAGGTGTTCACGTGCCATGCATTCCTGTCCTTCTCCCCCTCCCGTGTCCCTTCCGCCTTCACGGCACGTCTCGTGTCCTCGATCTTAAAACCTTAAAAGCGCGTCCGCGCATTTCTTCTAAGGGTTTCGCTGCACCGCTACATTTCGACGTGTGATGCACTTTTGTTTGTTACTTTGCCCGCGAAAGAATTACGATTTGGAATAAGCAGAGCGTACTCTTGAGATGTAGAAACGTAGAAATAAAATTCCCAGGTCCGCGCGCAGTCATTTCGAATTCGAAAGTGCATTAGTGGGTCAATGCGCGCTCTTCGGACGAGAAGACTATGGAATCGTGATTCTAGGCCGTCTCTCCATTAAGGGGCCATTCCATGATCGCGCTGCGATAACACCACGTATCAGTAATGTCACGTAGGTAAGTAAACCGGCGATGACTCATACACTAAAATATAAGACGCGTCATTCGTTATAAACCTGCTCGAGCGTGGTATGCGTGACGAGGCGCATCCGAAGTTTTCTGTCCCTTTAATTACGAATTCCTTAATCACGATGGAATGTGGAACGGCGCGCAACATCGCCCTTGTCAAACGTAAACGTAAATCAAGTTCAGAACAGAAACTGAAGATTCTTCTACAAAGGAAGGAGGAATCGAAGTCTCAGATTTTTAATTTCAATTTCAGTCGCAATCACGCAGCGAATATTCCAGTTTTATACGAAGAGAACGTGAAGTCGGCAGAGTGCCATCTCAAAACTACGATGTACCTTTCGATTGCAACTGAAATTAATACTCCAGATTACAGCCGCGAGAACTTTCAACGGAACGGAACTTCAGTCCGATCTCAATCGCGATCCCCGTGGCGCTTTTCAATGGGACCGCTGGACTGGATGATATTCGCCTTCTCATCCAGCGCGAAGCGATATCTCTCGAGTGTCAACCTCATAACGCATTCAAAGCGCAAAGTAACGCGCGTACGCGCCGCCGCGTGTCTCGTCTCGTTCGACACGTTTGCACTGTACGGGCTTACTTACTACGACGACG